TAAACAGTAGATAGTCACTTTGAAATTTGTCCCCAATACAATTAATATATAACAAGAAGAGGGTAGGCCCAAGAACAGATCCCTGCGGGACTCCGGACAATACGCGCCTCTCCTTCGATAGTATATCATTGATTTTGACTTGAAATTTTCTGTCCGTGACAAATGAATGAAGCCATTTTCTTAGTTTGGGAGATATCCCAAAGCTTTCCAACTTATGAATCATTTTGTTTATCGGCACTGTATCGAAGGCCCTCTGGAAATCAATATAGACGCTATGGGTATCTACCCCCTTTAAAGATTTGAAACAAGCTTGTTCTGGTAGGCGATCAGTTGGGGAAATTCTACTTCTCTGATTAAGGAACCCGAATTGTTTTTCTGATAATAGATTATTTTCGAATAAGTATTGGACTACATGTTTTCGTATCAAACTTCTCCATATCTTGCATATATTGGATGTTAAAGAGATTGGTCTATAATTTAAAGGATCGGAGCGGGAGCCTTTCTTATGAAGCGGCATAACAATCGCCTCCTTCCAAGATTTTGGTATTCTTCCAACTCGATAACTTTCTGTGAATATAATGCATAGTGGAATCGCAAGAGGAGTACACGCTCCTTTCAAAAATATTGACGGGATACTATCCGGAGAAGTATTATTTCGGCCTTCCAGTTTATATAGTAATATCTCGATATTCTCGGCGTGAATATGACATCTGAGTTGAACTTAGAAATTAGATTCCCTGTAGCAGGAAGGATATCTTTGTCAATGTTGAAAAATTCACTGAAGCAATCTCCAAATATTTCGGCTTTTCCTTCATCACTCATGATAACATTCTCATTAGATTTATATCGTATTGCCGGTATATCACTGTTTCCTTTAAATTTCGATTTCATAAATCCGAAAAATTTTTTGATCCAGAATTCAGACGTTTATAGATTCTTTCTTCTTCAGATTTTACGAGTGACCTTTTGAATAGTGCTGAAACATGTTTATACTCGTCCGAGTTACCTGCTTTCTTCCAAATCAATAATTTCTTCTTTAGTAATTGTTTGGTTTCTTTGGAATAAATTATATTATGAATTCGATGAGTTTCTGTTGGTACAAAAGATTCAATAAGCTCCAGAATAATTCCTCTCAAATCATCAAACATTTCATCAATTGACATTGTTGAAAATCGTAAATCCCAGTCGATATTTGATAGAATATAATTCATCGATCTAAAATCTCCCTTTTTGAAATTTTTCGTTGATTTGAGGGGTGAAATAGAATTAAGCAATATAAAGGTATCAATCTCAATCCTGCAATGGAAGATATTTTGGTATAAACTGCACTATTTTGCTTGTTTTTTTGTCGATTTGTTTGAAAAAGTACAGTTTCTCATAGTTTTATTGATTGACCAGCAAGCTGGTGAACCTTCGGCGCGATTCCATCTATTTTTTTCAAATCTTCGTTTCTCACTTTTTCTAAATAAAAGGGTCACGTAAATATATATGTACAGGGTGGCTGAAAAGTATTGAGACACTTGTTTTTTGTTGTATTTTCAAAAATGGAGTTTCAACAAAAGAACCAGATTTATTTTTTCAACAAATGATAGTAATAGAAAAGAATCAGAGGAGATATTCGAAGTTTGAGCCTTCGGCCTTGATGCACGCCTTCAAACGAGCTGGAACAGAAGCGACTGTGCGCCGGAGGTAGTCATCGTCAAGATCATCCCATGCTTTGAGCAAAGCGGCCTTCAGTGAATCCACATTTGGGTGCGATCGAGCCATCACCTTTTCCTCCAAATATCCCCAAACGGAAAAGTCGAGTGGATTCAGATCGGGCGAGGAAGCGGGCCACATGTCCTTGCCCCAGTAGCCAGGGAAATGAGCGTCGAGAACAGCTTTCGTGGATTTCGAGCCATGGGACGGGGCCCAATCTTGTTGAAGAATGAAGGGTTGCTGGCCAAAGTGGCTAGTGACCCACGGACGTAAAACATCCATCAACACCAACTTTTGGTACACATCCGAGTTGATTTTCACATTTCTATCAATGAAAACCAATGGGACTTTACCTTCCGACGTCAATCCAGCCCACACCATCACTGACTTTGGAAAAAGTCTCTTGTAGGCCAGACGACGTTTTGGGGACTTTGCTTCGTCCTTTGACAACAATTGCCGAGCATTCTGTCGGTTCGGAAGCGGCTCAACCGTAAAAATTTTCTCATCAGTCCAAATGATTTCAGAGAGGCGGCGCACCTTGAGTGCGTCGAGCAACTTTTTCGCTTTTTCGAGCCGATTCTTCTTGGACTGTTCTGTGAGGTATTGGCCACGAAGGAGCCGATAACTGTTCAGACCCAAGTCCTTTTTCACAATGGATTGAACCGATTGTCTTGAGATTCCGAGCGATGAAGCCATTTGGTTCATGCTGACCGCATCATTTCGTGTGATTCTCTTCTTGATGATGCCACGAGTCCGGCGAGTGTTGACAGTACGAGGTCTTCCGCTTTTCTTAAGCTCCAACACATGTCCTCGATCTTTCAATTGTTGCACAACTCGATAGACAGTTGCTCTCGGAAGAAGAAGTCTTCGAGCGATGTCACCGGTGGAGATGCCGTCGTTGAACAGCATAGCAATGATTTGGCGATGAGGAGAAGCTCGCATAACTTCGTGAAGAGATAAAGTGATGGGAAATGGCTCTAATGTCGGCTTATATACGCTCCCTATTTTCGAAATAATACGAAACTTTTCGAAAATATGACTTGGCACGGTGCCAAGAGCCATCGTAACAAGTGTCTCAATACTTTTCAGCCACCCTGTATTTTTCAATTTTTTCAAAAGTCTACAGACGGACACGAGGACGGACAGACGCCTCTAGCGTTTTATTAATAAGGAAGATTTGTTTATTGGAGCTTGTATCCACAGAATGCAATAGATTATTACATTTTGAGCCTGCCGAAGAAAACAAATCCTTGGAATATCGCAACATGATGATACCTTCAAAAACAGCAAGAGGGCCGGCCGGCGACATTAAGAGATGATTTTGAGAGCAAACTCATGTCAACAAAAAACCAGTTTTATTAAAAATTAATCAAAACTACTACTGTCTATTACGAATTATCTGGTCCTAGTTTCTGTATCCCCATCTTTCTGGCGCTTTTACATCGCGTTTCGGCAGTTTTCGTGGAATTGCAGTGGACTGCAATGCACATTTGGCGAGTAGTCAAAAAAAAAATATGAAAAAAAACTGTACTTTTTCAAACAAATCGACAAAGAAAAACAAATAAAATAGTGCAGTGTAAACCTAAATATCTCCCAGCTGACAACTACATAATTTTTAATTGATGTACCCTAAGAACTTGTCGATGTACCCTGGGATCCTTTCTCCGATGTACCCTCAGAACCAACGCCAGATGTACCCCTTGAACCTACCTCCCAGATGTACCCTAAGAACTGATGTACCCTCTGATCCAATGTACCCTAAGAACTCGATGTACCCTCGATGTACCCTTTTCTGATGTACCCTTGGATACTGGGCCCGAAAAGCAGAGAAAAACGAGATAGCAAATCTGGAAAATGGAAGACTATTTTAGGGTTACAGTAGTTATCAATGTGGGATCCATGGTCACCTGTGTTATCTCTTCCACTACTCATGTTTTTCCTACCGGCATAATACCGTAAAACCTGTAATAGAAGGTACCCCACACTGCCAAGTTCCAGCTCAATTATCTTGGTTCCTACAAGAAATATAAAAAATGTGCCAACTGATGAAAGGTTTGTGATATTACGATTAACAATTCATCAGTTGAATTTTTTCAGGTTTTTTACAGGAACTGAGACAAATTGGCTCAAAGTAAAAAGTTAGGGGCCCCTTCTATTACAGGATTTTCGGTATTCATACTTGGGATAGATATCCGATAGACCCAACAAGTCAATCATGATGGCCTTTGAAATTTCAGAGTTTTCAGATGAAAACTCAACCAAATCAAGGATTACTTTTAACTTTTAAAAAACTTACCATTATTAACCAGTGGAGCAAAAGCTTGCTGTGGATGAAAATTCTCTACTCTTTCTTCTGAAAAGATCCAATTTGACTCTTATTAACCGGCTGAAAAAATCCACTTGCCTGCAGGAGCGTTCATTCCTAGTTGACCGAAACGTGAAAGTGTTGAGAGACAAGTCTGCAATGCAAATAATAGGTCATGCGAGGAGAAAAAAACGAGGGTTAGAGAAAAGGCAAAAATTGATTTTCGAGCTGTGTTACAAACATAAATGTTTACAGGAAATATTATCCTGTGATGTGTACATGATTTATTATAAACCAAAATAGGCTGGATTGGTTTTTCGATTTACCCATTCAGAAGAACTGTTTTACTGGACCAAGGAATTTGAAAAAAAAGTGTTCCCAGCTGGAACACCTTTGAGAGTTGTTGTATGTGCGATGCCAATGATAAGTGTTTGTATTATTGCACATCTTTGCACAACAGATTGAAAAGTGTTATGTTTTGATATTTAGAAGGTAGAATAAACAAAAACAAGTACGGACTTTGCACCCTGAATCATTATAGCCAAAAATGTTATGCTTTGGCTCAAATACAATTTGAAACTTGGTTGAGATATTTTTATTACAGGGTAGGTCATGAAAACTGTTTTTTGACAACCTTGGAATAACCCAACTACCGTATATGTTGTAATAAAAGGTTTCTATGAGAGATATCAAAAATTGTTAACTCATAAATTATTTATCACGAAATCACCAATATTTTATCAGTGGACAGGTTTTCATACGAACCAAGATAATTGGACTCAAACGTTCTTCTCATATATACTGAACTTCTAAAAAGTCTCTGAAAAACCTGAAAATAGCAATTGCTTATTGAATGACTGAATCATTATTTTTGTGTGAGGAAGTTGTTATCATTGTTCAATTTGATTGTTGTACCAGTGCAAAAAAAAGGAAGAATTAGCAATACGGACTTTCAAAGTTTGTTTGCAATTGGAATCAAGTTATTGACAGAAATTGCGTTTTTACTTCAAAAAATTTAAAATACATAATGGGACAGCATTTTGCAAAAATTATAAATTTGATTTCTTTTTTAGAAGAAAAAAAAACAGAAATTCAAGTACTGTCTCTATAGAGTACTGTCTTTATAATACATAGGAGCCCACCCAACCGTCAACTTTGAGCTCAATTATCTTGCTTCCTAGGAGAGATATCAAAAATCTGCCAACTGATAAAATTTTGATGATATTATGATCAATAATTTATCAGTTGACATATTTTTGATATCTCTCATAGGAACCGAGATAATTGAGCTCAGAGGGTACGTAAAGGGCAGGCTTCCATTAGAGCAGATACGGTAACTTCCTCTGTATTTTTTTTTTGGTTTCCCTGGCTCTCTTTTCCACCAATTACAACAATTATGGTAGAGATTATTGTGGCAAAAAAACGTGCTAGCTTTCAAGTAATCTAAATTTTGTTCAACGAATCTTTTATTGTCTGATAACAGCTTCTCCATTCTTCTTCTTATCACTAAAAATTTTCCATTCAGTTTCAAATTTTCATTCGTTTGTCAAGTAAAATTTATTTGAAAAATATATAAGACAAGAGAGAAAAAAGCATTAGACCATACACGAAAATGTTTTAAAACTCGGAGAAAAAAGTTGTTGAGATTTTCGAGAAGGTGCACCAAAAATATGGTTACTGAGGGGAAATGGACTTATGTATGTGGACTTATATGTGAAATGGTATGGCAATATAAAAAATGGTCCGTACAACTCTGGATGTACGCCAATATGACACTCTGTGTGGCGAGAGAAACGAAAAAGAAAATACAAAAAAAGATGGTTGGGCGGGACCATGTATCTAAATACATGCCCTATGACACTTGAGCGTTAAAGGGACTAAAACTCTGAAAGAGAGATTTAGAGGAAAAAAGGAAACATAGAACGGAAAAAAGAAAAAAAGATGGACCGTACCATTGTTGGTACTCCAGTTGACATTTGCGTTAGTCTCAAAACTCTGCACGAGTGAAAAAAATTAAAAAGAAAAAAAATGGACCATACCATGACAGGCACTCCGAATGGCACTCTGACTGGAAGAAAAGAATATGGACCGTTCCTTATAGAAACTCCATGTTATAACACATTGAACAGGAAAAATTGAAGTTAAGCTCCAATAAAAAATTTTTAAAATGTAAAAAAGAGAGGACCACACAATTGACTGCGTGCCTGCATGACGCATATCCCAATGGTGGTTACTGGCAAGAATATATTGATTGATTCAGTGGATTGGACGCTTCTGGAGATACGTCGTGTTGCAATATTCATTGAAATGTAGAACTTCTATTTTGATGTCTTGACGACGAAGCATCTGGCATTTGGTGAAGCACTGGAAATTTCAACGTTATTGATTTGTTGGAAGTTTATTATTTTCTTTTCTAGTGATGTGAAAATACAGTATACTGAAAATCTTAGAACTCTGGTGTATTTATATTCAGAGGGAATCTTCTGCTAGAAGCTCAACTTTCAGAATTATAAATCGATAATCCTAATTTATTGATTGTTTCAAAGAATGCATTCCTCGGTTAAATTTTTCGGTGCTTCGGTATTTGAGAGGAAACAAGTAAAGTGAATATAACTGCAAACATAATAGTTAACCGAATTCTTCAATCTAAGATTCTCTTCAGTAATCTAAAAAACATGTACATATTAAAAAAAAAGGAGAAATCAAAATTTCAGAATGTGCTTTTGTTTTTCTGGGACTACATATACTTCTTTTTGCAACACACTTATTTTTTCCTAATTACCGTAAAACCTGAAATAGAATTATCCCCATAAAACTTTCATCTAATTTATCTTTTTCAAGCTAATTTAGGTTCCTGTCAAAGATGTGAATAAGTAATCATTTGATAAAATATTTGTGATATTACGATTATCATTTTGTCAGTTAATTACTTTTTGATATCTTCCACAGGAAATGAGATATATAGACGCAAAGTTGACGGGTTGGATGGTGTTCTATTAGAGTGTTTATGATATCTAATTGTAAATTTTCAAGTGAAGTTTCTGATCCAAGCTTTTACAAATACCAGAAAGTATTGCCTAGGGTCAAATACCGTAAAACCTGAAATAGAAGGGTCTCCTTACATTTAACTTTGAGCAGGGTTATCTCGGTTCCTGTTAAAGACATCAAAAAGCTGTCAACTGATAACTTGTTCATCATAATATCAATAAAGTTTTGTCAGTTGACACATTTTTTATATCTCTAATAGGTACCGAGATAATTGAGCTCAAAGGTCCATGCTTCTATTAGAGAACGGTTACACTGATTGCGTTAACTGATTTCTGACATTCCTATTGATTTTTTAAATCATGTGACTCTGAATATGTTAGTCGCTGACAGATATTAAAAAAGTCTCAATTGACTTCTCCGTCATTTTACACTGTTTTAAATTTAAAAATCATTTTCAGAAACCGGAAGACTTAAGTACGGCTATAAAAATTTTGGTGTAAAAGAGGAATACGTTCCTGCCTGTTCTTAAAAGTGTTTTGTCTTACAACTAAATGTTTGAGAAAAATGAGAATATTTTGAATCTTTGATTATAAGTTTTGTTTTTTGGCTCGTGGTTGTTTTAGGTTAGAACACTCATGGACGCGCTCCACATTCAAGATTCCAGAACACACCACACGCTCATTGAAGTGAAACTGTGCACCACCACTCCAAACAGACTAGAGCAGTATACATAAATCCACACGCCAGATTCAAACTTGCAAAAAACAACACAGTGCAATGCTACATGACTATTCAACTTTTTAGGAGCCCTCATTGACCCCTCAAGTCTTTCGATGACTTATGGTGAGCTTTAGAGATCAAGGGCGGAGTTAACAAATGTATAACGTCGACAGCTGTCGTGGGCCCGAGAAAAAGAGGAGCAGACCCTCAATTTCGATATCCATGATCCGAATTTTCGCTGAGAAGCGCCTATAGGACTTATGCATCTCATCGAATTAAGAAAGACTGATGGTGTTTGAGGACCTCACGGGGTCACAGAGAAAAACTCGTATGTTTCCTACTGCACACACAAAACACAGGACCAGTACTCCCTTTTTCGATTAGATCTGCTCGTTGCGCTCAACTCGCACCTAGAACATACCCGTTTACCGGCTGGCGGGTACATGGTGTTTCTCACAAAGTCACACAGATTTACGGGGGGAAAGGAACCAACTGGGACTAGGCGGGCAACTGGCGGATTATCGACAGGTGACAAATGTCGCGCGTTTTTTCTAGATGCTAAAACTAACCTGGTACAAGACGTTTTCCGAAAGAGTGCAATCCTTGATCTTCTGGAGTTTTGTGGCTGCGTCCAACGATGGTGACTGCATGGTGGTCTTGCAGATTGACTCACATCGCCGATTAGGATCGTTGAGATCCTGACCAAAGACGGTGCAGCACACAGAATCTGAATGAGGACATTATGGGCGAACATGGAACATGGATGTGTTGGGAGGGCGGAGCTTATGATGGGGCGGAGTCTAGGACATAGGGTGTGGTGTGTTTGGAGGGTGTCAAAAATTATGACGTGGTAAGAGGGCTAATTGAGTAGAGGTGTGGAACAGAAGGCGAGATCAAGGAAGATTGGTCAGAAGAGAAATCGCAAAAGGTGGCAGAGAAACGGGTCATCACATACTGGAATGGTCCTTTGGATAATTTTTTTCAGAAAATTTCAGATTTGTAAATTTCCGATTTTTTTTTTCAGAAAATTTCAGATTTGAAATTTCAGATATGTTTAAAGTGTTCCCGACTATAAAAGATTAATATCACCTATCGAAGTTCATATACCGTAAATGATCTAATAGATGACCCCATATAACTGCATTTTTAGCTCGATTATTTCGGTTCCCATAAAATATACCAAAAATGTGTTTACTGATAAATTGCTTATAATAATATTATCAATATTTTATCAATTGACACACTTCTAATATCTTGCATAGGAATTGAGATTATTGAGAATTGAGTGCGATTTGAACTAGTACTGGATATTAATCGAGAAAAAATTGGAGGTTTTGTAAGACAGTCGATCTGTGCATCTTCCTGAATAGTCCCTGGAAGCATTTCTATCCCATACTGGCAATTGAAGATCTCTGAAGCTGTACATCTTCGATTGCTCGCTAAGTCCTGGGAAAAGAAAGGCTAGGTCAACTATCGACATAAAATCTCGACGTATGATGTCTCAATGTACCCCTTTTCAATGTACCTGCACTCAACTGATCCACACATCCATACATACTCGAGAGAGAACAAAAGATGTCATCTGGATATAAGGATTTACAAGACGAGAATGAGCAGATGGAAACCAACCAGATTGATTGAATAGGGATAAGGATACAATTATTCTGGATTAAGGTAATTGGAAATCTGGATTCAAAAAACTGGAAAATTATGTCCCTAGAAAGATCCGCACAATGACTCTGAATGATAAAAGAGGGTATATCTTCAGACATAAGTATCATAGAACCACGAAAATGGGTAGAAATATAGTTTTACGTTTGATTCAAAGCAACTGAATTATTCAAAGTGATTCCTCAAGTCTAGATATTGTTATGATTGTCCAAAGATGAACGGCGTAATGTTTCTTGTGGTTCTATTGAGATGGAACAACTTTGACAAGCGATAACTCACCTCAAAGTTTACCAAATAATTTTAAACTTGGCAAATTTACTGATGAAACATTTGAGTTTTGACATTCCAAATTTGATCCCAGTACTTTGCCAATATGCTAGTACAAACTTTTTATACACCATCCTGTACATTTGAAAAATGAGATGATTCCAACGTTTTGTCCTTCTGCGCGTAACAAAAAACATTTAATCCATCGTCCGAAGAGCTCTGTCTTCATTTAGAAAACCTTTGATACATTCCGTCGCAAAAGAACAGCCGCTAGGCCCCGACGAGCAATTGCTGTTGCGTATTGTATGATTCTCCGAATCAGAAATGCCCAGTCTACAATGAGATAGAAGCAAAAGATAGTGTATACTGTAGACTAGAGATTTTGTACTGAACGGTTGTATAACTAACACCACGACAATATTTGATTGTACTCTTTGCCACCCCATGCAACGTTGCCACCCCATTCAACGGCACACAGGAATTATGGATCGATATTTGCTATAAAGATATTATGAATGTAAAGATATGATGGAAAAACAAACTATTTCAACCATAGAGAACCAAAAAAATGACTAGAAATTGAAAACCGCGACAACTATGAAAATTTTTTGAAAAACAATAAAAGTTCTAATTTTGAGCTGAAATATCTTAAAATATGCTAGATTGAAACTAGAAACATCTTCTAGAGCATGTCAGCATGTTTATTACAGTGCGAGATACTATATAAATTGGCTACAAAAATGTTACAGATGCATTCTAAAACGTTGTGGTCAATTTTTCGCACCATTGAAAACACTTCTAACTTTAACACGAAATATCTCAAAAACGGTTGGAACACGGCATATTAAGACTAGTACCATTTTGTAGAGCATGTTAAAATCTATCGAAAAAAATAACAAAATGAATAGAAAAAAGTTTGGAACCATGCTCCAGAGTTATTTGAAAACATGACACTCAATTTTGAGTCGATAAAACAAGTTCGGACTTTAACACAAAATATCTCAAAAACGGTTGGAGCACGGGGTATGGAGATTAGTACCTTTTTGTAGAAAATGTCAAAATCTATCATAAAAATTAAAAAAAGTACCAAAAAAAAGTTTGAAACCATGCCCCAGAGTCATTTGAAAAGATTGCACTCAATTTTTGAATCAATTACTAACAAACGTGTTTTTTCTCGTACTGAGGTTTTCGAGTTTTAGGAGTCTAGTTGAGTTAAATAATGGAAAAGAACATCTTAAAAAACTAAAATTTGTCAAATTAGAAAAAAAAAACAAAAACCTCCAAAAAAAATTTTTCAAATGTCAAAATTTCGAAAAAAAACAAAGTTTTCAGTTTAATACAGAATATCTCCAAAACGGTTGAATCACTAAATATTGTGACTGGTATCATTTGAAAGAGCATGTTAAATTCTACTAAAAACTATATTTTAATTATAAGAAAAAAGTATATGAACATGCTTAAAATTCATTTGAAAACGCTGCGCTTAACTTTTGATTCGATGAAAAAATTTCTGACTTTAACTAGATATATCTCAAAAACGGATGGAACACAGGGTACTGAGACTAGATTATTTTGTAGAGAATTTCAAAATCTATCGAAAACATTCAACAAACATATAAGAAAAATATTGTGGACCTGTTTCAGACTCCCTCAAAGACAATGCATCTACTCGGAGAGACAGTTGCGTATAGAGGAATGTGGAAGGGGACAAGTAGACGGGTTCCCGAGCGGGATTTGGTGACCCACACAATGGATATCAGGTCAGAAAGAGGAGGATATAGGGGAAATATGAGTTATGATATGGTGGTAAGTTATTCAGATAGTCAGCAGTTCAAAAATCAATCAGTGTTCTGACCTCAAGGAAAAATTACAAAATGTCTGGACATGTCTGGACGAAATGAGTTAGGACTGACACAAATTCGAATAAATATTCAGGAAGATATTCTGTTAAAATCAGAAAAATTAAAAAGAAAAAGGAGCAGTTCAAATATGGCAAAACCATAACAATGCGACTGGACTGTTTGCCTTATTTCCCTACCCTGACCGTACAAACACACTCGCTATCTTCCCACCGTTTCCTAAGTCCACGTCATCAAAAAGAAATTCTTTCTCAAAATTTTCAGATAAATCTGTGAATCTGAATTTTTCTATTATCATAGTCCAGTTATAAGACGGCATAGCAGCTCATAAAATCATTAAGTCATGCAAGCTAAAGTTTCGTAAATCGAGTGGATGATATTTCAACCAAATTTCAAATTTCAAGATACCAAGAAATTTTTTTGTGAAAACTGAATATGTAAAAACATAACATTTGAGATGGACTTTCGAATGAAACCATTTTCAAACTGAACAAAAAGCAACGAACAAAGTTATGCTCAAAGTAACACAAGTACAGTAGATGAGAAATTGGAGATTGGAGATTGGAGATTTTTTGAGAATTAAAAATCAGAGTTTTTAATGGAAAGCTTTCAGAAGCTCAAGTATTGTGCTGATACAATCCAAAACAGGATAGGCAAGAGGAGAGAAAGCCTTAAGACACATTTCCTGTCCGGGTGGTCGTTTCGGCCTCCTCCGACCAATCAATGACTGACGGGCGGTCGCTATTCTCACCATATTATTCATGGTTTCGAAATTCAAATTTTAGATAACAGCTGTAGTTTTTATGAGCCATAACTCCTACTGCTAATAAATTATATTTTATCTTTACCATCTAGATTCATTCTTTTCTCTGGCTCCTGTGCAAATAGTTCCTGTTGCATGCAATTGTAGACAAGCGCTGGGATTTTGAGATCTCTTTCGTATCCACATTTTATTGGAGTTCTGAAATCTGACCTATTGCCAATGTTCCCGGAAATTAAAAGTTTTTACCCAAATTTGATCATATCCATACAACATTCGTAACGATTTGGGGTGCAGCATTTTTGCGCAGCTTCTTTGATTTGTGAGTTTGAGAAGCTGGCTTCCAGCCATCCGATAAGTCCAAAAATGGTGAGAAGAGTGATGATTCTATTCATTTTGACGGTAGAATCCACAAAAAGATATAGTATGGGTGATAGAAGAGATTGAGAGAAGTGTGACGGATCTGCTAGTGAGAAGAGCAATGTGATTTGAAGAAGAGGATACTCTGTCGGGTGGTAGATCGGAAGGGCAGAAGAACAGTTGCCGGGAGATAAGATTGGATAGAATGGCCCCAGTCAGAAGAAGTGTTGAGGTAACCACTTCTAGAGCTACGCTTCTTTTATCTTATCACCTTGCCAACACTTAATTTGGTTGTCTAGCTAGCAGCTAAAGATTTGCAACAATAATCACACCAGCATTTTTAATGGCATGTTTTAAAACCATATTCATCCATTTTCTTAACACCCGAAAACCTGTAATAGAGAGCCCTCTGATTTTTAACAATGAGCCCATTTATATGGCTTTTGACAACAACCGAGATAAATTGGCTCAAAGTTCAAAGTTAGGGAGCCCTTATATTAGAGGTTGTCTGTTATCTGTTAAGGCTAAAAATCTCAAAACTGCGTTCCAGAAATTTTGATCCCTCCAAAGTTCATTTGTTTTAGTTTTCTACCCCGCTCGACTTGATAAAACTTCAGAAGTGTCTAATCACTAGGTTTTTGATCTTGCTGATTTTTTTGATTAATGTATACTGTAGCTGTAGCGATGATGCAATTTCTCAAATCGCATTTCCTCATGAGAGCTCTCGAATCAATTCAAAATTTTTCTGATTATCAAGTAGTACTTCATGGTATTCCGCTGCTTTACCGTAAAACCTGTAATAGAAGGGCCCCCACATTGACAAGTTTGAACCAATTTATCTTGGCTCCTATGCAAGATATCAGAGATGTGTCAACTGATAAAGTGTATGTGAGGTTATGAAAAACAATTCCCCAGTTAACAACTTCTGTATATTTTTGACGGGAACCGAGATAAAACTGGTTCAAAGTTGAAAGTTACGGGGCCTTAAATTAGAGTGTTTACGGTAGCTCCTAGTAGGCCCCGTCTTATCTAAAGCATCAGTTTATCTTCCCTGTACACATTTTCTCCCATCACATACTCATCCACCTTGCTAAATCTTCTCCTGTCCATCGGTGCGCATTCTCAGAATGTCCGAATGTACGTCTGCCTGTCCGCACATCAACATAATTGAGTGTGTGAGCGTAGACGCAAGAAGACTTTGTCCATAATTTTTCTGTAGAGTCTGAAGATTGCAGAGACGTAGACTGTACTGTGGATTACTGTAGGTCGACATTACGCAGCCCAGTGCGCAACTGGTCGACAGAAGGGACCATTAAGAGCAGGTGTAATCAAATAGATATTTGAATAAATAAAGAGTGAGAATATCCTGAGAACCTGGAAAAATCCTTGCATAGTGCTCTAGATGTTGACAGGTATAGACCATATAAGGCCTACAAAAGTGGTTAGAGCTAGTTGAATTTTTTCGGAATCTTTCTGTGTTTTCATTTTCAGAACCTACAACTTTTCCCCTTGAATCCTTTTGATTTTTAATCAGGAAAAAATTCTGATTGCTCAAAAATAAGCTAGAAATCTTATATTAACATTCTAAAATATAACTTTTAGCCGGTATTAAAACATCAAATGACATCAAACGGTCTACCGTCTTCCTCGTAACCCTCTTATATTACCGTCAACCTTATGACCGCGGCTTCTTTGATGGCCCCCCGTAAACTGTCCTACAGTATGCGTTGCAGCTTTTCAGGTCTCTAAATCTAAAATTACTTTATTGACTTTTCGAAAATTTCCAAAAAAAATCCCCAGAAAAGTTTCGAATTGTTTCGCAAAGTCTCTCATCTCGATTTCTATCTGTTCTTCTCTCCGTCGTTCTTTGACCTAGCCTACCGTATACCTTCGATGAAACCGCAAGCTAGCAACGAATCCTTAATTTCATGAATCCTTAATTTCATGAATCCTTAATTTCTTGAATCCTTAATTTCTTCCAGTATTACCCGTTATTGATATATTTGCTCCCTATTTTTCTTTTTCTACCGGTTACATCTTTCCTGTGTCAAATATCTAAATTATCCCGTTTCCCCTCCCCTACTCAGATCGGCCTCGTGAGGGGCATTTTTTCTGAGTCTTTCATGTCCTGCCCTCTAATGTTTTATTACACCTGATCAATAAACAAATTAAATTAAACTGTTTTTGAGTTTGGATGGAAGATATAGGAGAACTTTTACATGTTAGATAGACTGATCTATTGACCAGAGAACTCAGTGGAATTAGAAAGGTGTTGAGAATAAAAAATTGCAGACTTTTCAGACGAGTTCCAGACGCCAGTTCCAGATTCAGTTTTGTTAGACAGTTCTGCGATATGTTTTAATTTATGATTTTCTGTTCTTTCTTTCAGTCAAGACACATCGGTTTTGAATTATTGTAATACGGGTATTTCTAAAAATCTGCGACTTCCGGAATGACTTTTTCGAAAAACGGAAACTGGAATAAAAATACTTACTCGGAATCCGGAATTAAGAATCCGGACAAATCAAATTTCAGGAAATACGTAAAACGGATTCCAGAATTCGGACGTCTCTCCTAGAAATAAGAGATATTTAGAAAGGCTAGCTAATCGAGTACTGTAGTAGATTTGTGGAATACACTCGGAATATCAAATTTTCAGGAAAATCGGAAAACCGAGAAATAGTGTTTTACCAGTGTTTTCTGCCAACTTATTTTTTTCCAATGATTCGAAATTTGACAGATTGAAACTACAAATTTAATTAACTGATAGTTTAGTCTGAAAAAAAAACAATGGTATTTAGAAGTGTATGTCAAAGTGTTTAAAAGAATATCTCGAAGCGAAAATCAAAACAAAATCCATATAAGATGGAGACGCAGACACTACGGCAGATCTTTTTTTTCGACTTTTTTTCGCTAACATTTTTCTATTATTCCGGCAAAACTATCGGAGCTGTGGACGAAAAAAGCCGGTGGCCGTGGCCGGATGTCCCACAACGATAAATACCGTAATCTAAAATATGTTCATTATCCGACCTATTTCGGAGAAAAATAATAGAAAACTCGACAAAAATCAGTGAAAAACAAGAAAATAATTACGAAAAAAACTTCAGGTTACTGTATTTATCGTTGTGGGACCATTTTCCACTGCCACCGCCGTCTCTTCCACTGCTCCGATTTTCTTGCATTTACCAGAACAATACAGTAATTCTGGAAATATCCTTAAAACGAAACCATAAACCAAACCCCAGCAACGCATTTCAACGTCATCATGCAAAGTTCGGTTAAAAAACCTTGATACGATCTACAGTAACCGAGTAAAAAATAAAATTTTAAAAGCTAGAAAAAAACCGTTGAACTTGATACCCATCTCTCTATCGTTTTACAGTATCCACTCTTCGCTGGGGAAAGGTTTCGAAAGAAAGTTGGAAGGCGAATGATGGTTGGGGAGAGGAAAAACGGTGACGATCTGAAAATTGATGGCTGCTATTTCTGCCAGTCATTGACAGCACAACGTGAAAATGTGACTTTTTATATATGAAACAAAGAGTGTAACAGACAACAAATTAAACAAAAAATTAAGATACTGAACTGAAAACACTATATACTGTACTAATAAATAACTAGAATATCACATCTCCAGAAGTTTTAGATGTTTCCGATGTAGAATCATCTGATGACTTCTCCGACGATTGTTTCTTGAACTTCAGGTATGCAGGGAGCAGATCAAGAAGTTCCAGTGCTGCCATGAAGTGTGCTGGAAAACTTGAAAATTTTAGTTTTATTCTAAACATCGACACTACCCGGTGGTTCTGATGCTGCAACAAGTCCTTGCTCTTCATAACCACCAACGTCTTCAAAAATCGTATTGTACACATGACAGTAGATGGGTAGAGACGTCATGATTTCTTTGTTATTCATCGCAAATTTTTCAAGTAGAACTCTGGGAATCCATTGAGTCTAGAAGAGGGAAATATGAAGGGAATGAATATTATGAGGCTCACAAATTCAGGTACTCTGCTTCCAGCACTGATCAATTCTGGAGCTCCATCGACTTCCATCAACCTTCTCCAATAGATTCTGTCTCCGAGAATCGGCGAAAGCATATGGGTCAGCATAAGACGTGGTAGATGGCGAGCAACTGAAAAGACGAATTTAAAGACACATGCTCTTTTTTCAGATGGTCTCGTTAGGAAAATAGGTTGCAGATACGTGGGAAAATGTGGTTTCTATAGTTTGTGCTTCGCAGCGAATAACGGGCACATCTAGAAGAATGCTGTGCGCCTTTGAACTAGCTTCCACTAAAAAGGTAAACTCACAGTCCTTACTGCTGATTTTCTGGGATTCAAAGATTCAACTCACACTTATCAATAGAAAAATCGACGAGAGAAACTCCGTTTTTTGTGTCCAACACCCGATAGCTCATGTGCCCTTCCACTGCATATTTTCCAGACTTGGCTCGTTTCGACACTTTTCTCTCCTCGAAAATGTATTCCTTGTGCTTTCCAACATTACGGAATGTGGCGAATCCTGTAATCAAACCACTGCTTTTCTCTGGTCGCCCAACTGTTATAGCTCTGAAATTAGACTGATACATTGCACTAAATTCAGACAAGAATGCTTACAGTGCATTATACATAAATGGCGGTTCAACATCTGAAGACATCCTCCGAATACAATTTTTCAAAATATTCGAATCATGTTCATTGCATGGCAATACAATCGCTCCCGATAGATATCGTTTCAGACCCGTACAGAAACTCAGTTGAGGCTCTTTCAAAATCTTCCGCAGCAATTTCAAACTATCTGTAATTGTGACTCCGACTTGTTCATCTGACCTCATTTTGATTGTTCCTGCCCACTTTACAGTTTTCCTATCATCCCGTACACTGTTCTCGAATACTCCACCGTTTTCTTGCAACTGGCCAACACAAGAGATTCCATAGGGTTTGTCTATCACAACGAATCGGCCTGGTGCGTGAGCAAGGACTCTTTTCTCAAGATATCGAGCTAGTTTTGGTGGATCCGAGAACTGTGATGGATTCAGTGCTTTGGTAATGAGAGAAGAAGGTGATGACAACTTCTTGATTGCTTCTTTGGGTTTTGGTAGTTTGGTCACCTTTGTGAATGTGTTCATAGTGATCTGAAGAAATGGAAGTGTGTCTAAATAATCTAGAGAGCGATTTTAATGAGAAGAAAAACAAAAAATCATAGTTTTCAATTTGCCCTCTGGTTTACATTTTTATAATCGCACCTGTACAAAAAATTAGTTGAACCTCAAGTTACAGTCTAACAGACGAGCCTGTTCTGCAAACCATGTGACTCATCGTCTTCTTCTGTTCCTTATTTCCAATTTCCAACATATTTCTCACGTTTCTTCCGCCCAACCAACCATCCGCTCATCTTTTTCCTTCTTTCCTATCCCGCTCGCAAATAGCAAAGATGAAAAGAAAGAAAGGCGAGGAGAGAGGGGGACGACCGCATTCTTGTTTTCTCTCTTTTTCTTCTCTCCTCTCCACGCCGATTCTATTGGATCGCGAAGCGAATCGCAAAGAGGAGAAGAAAAAAGAAAAAAGAGAAGAAAGGAGAAAGGAGGAAGAGAGCGGTCGTTGCCCGCCCGCTGGCCTTCCTCCAACAGACACACACGGCTTGCATACCCCACTCTTTCTCCTTATTTTCCTTCCTTCTTCTCGCCACCCGTCCTCCTTCTTTTCAAAAAAAATTGCTTCCAAAACCGATTTTTCTACCAGAGTCATTTGAAACAATTTCAGCCAACCATTTTCCAAATGGATAACCGCGTTTTCCTATGCGTCCAATGCCCTCAGTCTGAAGCTTACACTAAAGATGATCTAGAAGCTCACATCGCTTCAAATCATCTCAACATCTTCCCATACGAGTAAGTGTCTTCCCAATTTCAACTAGTGGTAAACTGATAATCTCTCAGATGCGAGAAATGCAAGTTTGCCAAGTTTCCAACCGAATACGCTCTTGTCACACACTGTCGAGTAGATCATGGAGCTTCCGAGTTCTTCGTAAGTTATGAAAACATGGGATGAATGGATTGACAAAAGGGTTCCTGATTTCAGATCAAGTATCGATACACTGACGAATTCGCTATGAAGAAGAAGGAATTAGCACAAAAGATGCAGGCATGTATCGGTATGATTAGTTCTCCACTGAGTGATGGAAGAATTCAAGACACCGTTTCGAGTACCATGGAAGGACGGGTGAAATTAGAATCACCGGAGATGAATGGAATGCAGATTCAGAGCCCTATGATCTATGCAGACAATTCACAAATGCAACAGTATCACAACTTTTTAGGTAAACCATTATGCTTAGAACAACACTTATCAGCCCATTTTAGATGAGACTCTATCGCGACACGAGGAAGAAAGAGCTGGTCTATCGAATGGGGACGGTGGTGGACCTGTGAAGCCGAAGCAGCAGATACGATGCACGATGTGCGGAGATGTGGTCTCAAAGCAACGATCAAGTATGGTCTATCATGCCAACACGCGCCATGGAAAGTATGAGCTCTACGAGTGTGGAATCTGCCATCGTAAATGGCAGACTATTGCTAAATCAGATGTAATCAAGCACATTAGAAGTCACCATGAGCAGGAAGATGGAAGCATAGATGAAACGATGGTCATTGACTACCGCAAGAGTTTGGGACAAAAATTGAGAGAAGTCACCGAAAAATGCTTTCCGGAACGGAAAAAGAAGAGGATAGGATACACTGATGCCGACTGATAAATTCAATTATTCTTTTCTGATAGCGTGTTGCTTTCTTCATACTGGTGCTTCTCTCTCAAGACATATAATTTCGGTTTTATAATAAAGTCTGAACGTTTTCTTGTTAATGTTTTCGAATTTTCACTGTAAGGCTTATCATGAATAGAAGACGGAAACGGGAGGGAAAGAAAAAATTCAGCAGACCGGAAAATAAAAGAAAAAAAACAAAATTCAAGTGTCCGCAATTGCGCGTACGTTGTGATGTATGCACCAAAAATTTATTTTTTGATGACGAGAACGCCACTCGTTTTCAGCTTCCTCATCATATGTTTCCTCAGTCCAATTTTGCTCTTTTTTTGAAAAAAGCTTTGAAATATTCTTCAAACTTAGTTCCTTACTTCATTGTGCTGCTAGACTGAAAGAACTCATACTTGAAAAATCGGTGCCCGGCACGGGCTTTCAAATTTGAAAAAAATCTGAAATTTCAGAAAGTATTATTTTTTTTGTGAAAGCAATATTTTTTCAATGAAACTCCGTTCTTTGCAAATTTTTAATTTGGTAGAAATTTGGCTTATATTTTTTTGGCACCTAACTGTTGTTGAAAGATTAAAAAAATACTGGAATCCCGAGCCGGACTGTGGAAATTCTGAAAAATTCCCGGCCGATCCGTTACAAGTTTGAAAGCTACTGTTTATTAAATATTTCTTTGAGTTGTTCCTCATACATTTCGCAACTGCGTTTTGAAATATTTGGCTCGCCATTTTGGAGCGGAATTTCAGAAAGTTCGAGTAACACGTTCGAAACTTTGGAATTGACTATGATTGGCGGACCTAGCGAGCCCGCGAAAAACCCTACGTGATCGCGTGTACCAGCTCTAATTGCTCGGACCATATTCCCTCGTTCCCAGTAGCTGGTCTTCTAGCATTACTGTTTCGTTGCTTTCACAGAATGTATTCAGCTTTGAATTCCTCTCGAACGATCGATACACTCCTTTCATCGTTTTTTACCTTCCCTGGAGCACAAGGTGTCTACGAACTCAGCGATGTTCTATGCCCAACTGGTTTTCCTCACGCCCCTTAACTGATTTACTCAAAAGGTTATTTTCTATTGATTAGTTTCTGTCGTCCTTTCACCATAGTAGATTTCATCCTTCTTCTGTTTCCCTTCGTCAGTTCTCCGTTTTATTTTTATTGCTGATTTTTCTTGTTTTTCAATCTTAAATATCTTTCTACCTTATCGTACTTGGCAGCAGTTAACGATGTCGTAATTACAAGATGGCCCAAGCAAGTGACAGCAGCGCAATGGAGGTCGAGGAGGTCTCGAACCAGACAGTCAAGAAGCGTTTCGAGGTAACTAGACATTCCATGGGCATCGCATAAAAATACATTTCCAGGTCAAAAAGTGGAGTGCTGTCGCTCTCTGGGCGTGGGACATTCAAGTCGACAACTGCGCCATTTGCCGCAATCACATCATGGATCTGTGCATCGAGTGCCAGGCAAATCAAGCTGCTGGACTCAAGGAGGAATGTACTGTTGCCTGGGGTAACTGCAATCATGCGTTCCATTTCCACTGCATCTCTCGTTGGCTCAAGACACGTCAGGTACGCATTTCAAACTAAAATTTACACGTTTACCTGTTATCGGCCATACTTGAATAAGCAAATTTCAAGCTACAAGATCTCAAAATGGTGATTTTCAGGTGTGCCCACTCGATAACCGTGAGTGGGAGTTCCAAAAGTACGGACACTAATCGATATTCAACCTCTTTTCCCAACGGCTCTTCATCGGAACTCTCTTCATCACTGTATTCACTAATATCCTCTATTCTCCCTTGTGAATATTCCCTTTTTTTTTGCTTTTCATCCTAAATCACCAGCGTCAGTTTGGTTTCTTTTGTGATTTACGAGATATTTTTTATTTATTACGAATCCCAACCATCTGATTTATCATCTCGTTTGTCCCTCCCCTGTTCGGATGTCCTCATCTCAAAAATTCCCTGTCTAAAAATAAAAGAACGGATTGTGTGTCCCACTGTTTCTCATAATTCACAACACAACTTCTCGTGCCGTTTATGTGTTTAGGCTGTTTAGGTTCAGGTTGCGGGCACCACCGTTCGGAAGCCGCCGGAGATGGGGGTCGTCTCGCGTAATTTATTTGCAATTCGGCTAAAACGTTGAACCGCCAAATTGCAGCACATTTCTCGCCCGGCTTCTTCATTCCGTAATCTCTTCATATTACGAATTGCTTGTACGGAGACAGTACATTTTCTCTTTTTTCTTAATGCTTTACCATTTTTTAGTTACTCAGGTTTTTCTAAAAAGATCTCAGCTTAGCGAAAGCTGAGTTAATTTTGCCGGGAGGATGTTTCTATGCCAAGCAATTATGATTGAGAATGAATCAAATATTCGTTTCGACCGCTGTTTTGTTTATTTGAAATTTCTCTGTTAAATAAGTGTCAAATATTTGTGTCAAATATTTGAAAGAAACATCCGGAAATAATCAAATATCAGGAAAATGCATTTTTTAAAATAACTTGTGAATTCAAATTTAGTTTTCCCGTTTTCAGTTTGAAATCCTCGGAAAATCCCGCAACGACAATTACCGTAACCTAAAAATATTTTTATTTTTATAGTTTGTTATCTCGTTTTGCACTGCCGTTCGTTCACCGTAAAACCTGCATTAGAAGGGCCCGACCTTTTATTGTTCCATGGTACCTTCAGAGGGTACTTCTGTTTCAGGCGCCCTCCAATAAGAGGGGAACCTTTTTTTCCGGCCATTTTTTTCCGAAATATTTTATCGAAAAATTCGGTGAATTCTCGATCAAAATTCATTAAAGTTCATCAATTTCATCAAAACCGAGCAAGTTTTAGAACAAAAAGAGTTGTTTCAACAAATTTATGAAAACTTTGAACTTTCGGATGGGGATTCTATTACAGGGGACCCTTCTATTTTCCCAAGCCCCTCTCGGAGTGCCCTTCTAATACAGGTTTTAAGGTAGTTTTCTGTTATTTTCGCTCAAGGAGAAGTCGAAAAATAAAAATGTTTCATAGTGAAAAAAATGGCTGAAAAAGAAATAAATACGAGAACATAAATCCGACAAACAAACATATTTTAGGGTACGGTAGTTGTCGCAGTGGGACCTTCGTCCACGGCCACCAGTGTTCCTCTTCCACAGCATACCAATATAATACCACATCAAGTTCATTTTCTAGTTGCACTCCATTCAAAAATTCGTTTAAGATGTTCAATGTAGAGCAACGCAGACGTTTTTTGTTATTTTCCTATCTCTTATCAAATCATCAAATAAAAGTTGCGACAGGGATCAAAAATATACAATAAGGGATCAATGTCTGTCTCGTCGACAAGTAGCAGATCCTACCCGTAGTTGTAACTTGAGATCGGCTCTCACTTGTTGAGGAACAAGTGAGATCCTCTGCATGTTTGTTGAACGTGTTCCCCGATTTGGACATTCTTTTTTTGTGTTCGAATCCCCTACCATCGGTGTGTGGGAATATTGAAGATGGATCGAGGAAGCAGTACAATTTGTATGAGTTTAGAGAAAAAAAGGCGGAGCAAGAAATCTTTATTGAACAACTATTGGATCCTGATCGGATTCGTATTCAATCGGAATCCCCCGTTTCCACTTGTTTATTCATTGCAAAATCTCAGTGTTACTTGTTACAGGAAGCCAAGTTCCATCTGGCAATGATTCAAAGATGTTCATAGTCCTCGGATTTGCATTATTTAACGCTGTTAGCCCTATACAGGTGAGTGGAACTATTTTATATGATTCATGAAATGTTAGGTCACAGTGATCTTGAACGTTTCGGTCATTACTATAAATCTTTAATAGAAATGTCCCATAACTTTAACTTTGAGCCAATTTATCTCGATTCCTGTCCAAGATATAGAAAAAGTTGTCAACTGACAAATTGTCTACCAGAAGTGTTTTGTCAGTTGACCACTTTTTGATATCTTTCACATGAGACAAGATATATGGATTCAAAGTGCAAGTATAGGCTGACTTCTATTAGATTGTTCTATTAGTCATTTTATCCGATTCATGAAAAGTGAGATCCCAGCGATCTCATACTTTTTCACATATCAATCTGTTTTATTTTGAAATTCATTAACATATTCGTAGGATCTCTAATGGATTTATAATTTTTTAAAAATCCATTTACTTTGACATCAGTGGGCTTGATTCCTATCAAAAATTCGTCATAATCTCCTAAAATTGATAACTTGTCATATCTCTTCCAGAAATCAAAATAATCTGGGTAAAAGTAATAGCAAAGCGGTGCCGGTCTATAAGGGGGGTAATGAACTTATGCCATACGTTTTATTTCCCGTTAGGTTATTACCATAAAATCTGTACTGGAAGTTTCCTCACTATCAGTTTCAAAAATATTTATGTCGGTTTTTGAAATTTTAAAATGTGTGCAACTAACATAATGCTCCCCATGATATCAAATGATTTTTGCCAGCTAGTGGGTCATATAATCTGAAAAAATAGGATTTTATATAACCTGTATTAGAAGGACTCCCACACTGTTAAGTTTGATTGTGAGCACAATTATCGCGGCTCCATTAGGCAAGATCAAACATGTGTCAACTAACAAAATGTTTGGGATATTATGATAAACAATTTATCAGTTAATAACTTCTTTGTATCTTCGATTGGATCAGAGATAAACGGACTCAAAGTTTAAAGTTAGGGGACACTTCTATTCCAGATTTTATGGTAATTTCAAATTTGTATGATTCGATTCAAAACTTGAAAGATCATATCAAATTAACTTAGATTTTCAAAATTAAACCCGGAATTAGTAAAATTAGTAATGTATGAAATCTTTTATGTATCGAGCATCTAGGAAATGAAATCTGAAACTTTGCAGTAGAAGTTCCAAAAAGATGCCATAAAACCCCCAATTAGGTCATGGAACTTGAGTTTTCCGATGTCCTTCACAGAGTTTAAAGATTCAATTTAATAGGCACCGAAACCGGTAACGACAGATTCCAATGCTCTGAGAACTTTGAACAATTTTGGCCAACTATTCCATGTAAAGGTCCACCCACCACCATCACAAGATAGGTCTCTTCGTGGACAACATCGCGTGGATCATGGAGTTTTCGGTGAGTCTTTTTTTAACCTCGTAATTGACACAAAGAAACCAGTGCTCCTCGGTTTATCTAGAGTTTCAAACTGACCTCTCTTTCTCATTTCACTATATCCTCTTCTATTTTCTCTGTTTGATCTGACCGGAGGAGGAGAGAATCTTGCTCACAGAGAGTCGTGAAATCGTACGAGAGCCTTCTCTCCCTGCGCTTTCTCTTCTGCTCAATTTTGGACGGGGAGAGGGATTGGATAGGATAGCCACACTGATTGGGAACAACGGCGGATATAGAGAGTGTGATAGGCAGAGAGACATAGATGAAGATAATCAAGAGAGGAGGTTTTTGGAGATTGGAAGAGCTGACCTGATTTGGGATGGGCACAGAAACACTTCACACGGCTCTAAAGTGTGGATTAGTTTAGAATTATCGGCTGGTGGGGTTGCCTTTTGAGATTTTTGGTTTCCGATCGGCAATAATCGTTCAGTTTTTGGAGTAGATTTTGATAGTTTTCTATTTTCACTCTGTAAATTTTTTATATTCAAATCCTATTTTCCGATTTTAACTCAATTGAATACAATTTGATTTCTAGATTATCAGCCTGATCTGTCATAAATTTTGAGTCAATTCAAAATTTGAAACTCAAACATTAAAGAGTTCTTGTTAGTTTCTGACTTTTTCATCTGTTGAACTAATTTAAAATTAATCATCTGATCTGAAAATTTCTAAACATTTTTCCTTCCAATGGTTGTCTCCATTTTTAAAAATGATAAAGTTTTCCAAAGTTAGGATACCGTCAAACTTGTAATTGAAGAACCTCCACAAACTGTTAACTTTGAGCCTACATATCTCGGTTTCTGTAAGAGATATCAAAAATGTGCCAACTAATAAAATATTGGTGATGTTATGATAAACATTTTATCACTTGACACCTTTTTTTTATATCTTTGACAGGGACCGAGATAAATTGTTTCAAAGTTAAAAGTCAGTGGGCTCTTCTACTACAGGTTTTACGGTATTAGTAAATGTCCGAAAATGCTTTGAGCAATTTTGTTTTGAATTTAGTATCGAGTCATTTTTTTCTCTTTGATTCCATAGATGGGTACAGATTTGATTTATTGTGGCATCTACTTGATTTTAAATTTGTTATAAAAAAAATGGATCACTGTAGACACACAAATTTTTGGTTTTTAAAATTCATTTGACATCAATAGATGCTGAGCAATTTTCTTCCAAAAAAGGCATTTGCCATTCCCATTTTCGCAATTTTTCCGACCGTCGTCTCACTTTCAAAAATTTTTTAATTTATTAAAATTTCACATCTTTTGCTCTTTGTGCTATTTTTCCGCCTTCTCATTTTTCCAAAATCTCATTAGGCATCTCTCTTGAATAGAGGACAAAAGAACCTGGAAGATGTGTTTCGGGGGGAGCTAGTGGGGGTCAGATCGGCGACAAAAACAAACAAATTGGGAAACTGAGCACCCTCATGCGCCTCCGTGCTCCCCCCGTTCATCGGGCTCCTCGAGCCGCAAAACACTTTGTCATCTCTGTGTGAGGATTATTATATTTAGAAAACACATTTGAAGCTTGATACATATAATCAACAATCTCTTTTTTTCTTCTTCTTCTATTTCCAGATTTTAGTATCCTTTCGAGTTTTCGAATTTCAGAGGAAATAACCGACGATCGGCCCGAATGGGTCAGAAATGTCCATACTTTATGTCGATTGCCTGAAATTGTTATCTGTTTGGCTCCTAATTTTGCCCCATCTGATCACAGCTGATAAGATTGTAAAATCACCACAAACAGTTCGAAGTGTCAATTATGAGGGTATAGAGAATCAGAAAGCATATTGCAAGATGTTTCCAACTAACCTAGCTCTTTTCAGATTTCTCCTTATTATGTGCTGATGGTATACCCTTATTGATGGAAGATCACAAACCGAGACCATGTCAACCAAGACCGTGGCTCAAAGAACAGAAATGTCCAACTGGATTCTGGTGTCATGAAGGACAGTCGGAGCATAGTTTCTATTGTTGCCCCAGTAGTAGGAAATGTGAGTTTCTTGATTTTTCAAGTGATTATAACCAACGCTGATTTTGACATCGTTTCACTTCTACCGTGAAACCTGTAATAGAAGTGCCCCTAACTTTTAATTTTGAGCCAATTTTTCTCGATTTCTGTTAAAGATATGAAAAGTTGTCAACTGATAAATTTTTTATCATAATATCAGCAGTGATTCTTCAGTTAACACAAAGTTTCTATCTTGCATAAGAATTAAGATAATTCAGCTCACACTTGACAGTATGGGGGCCATTCTATTACAGGTTTTACGATAATTGTCTCTATGTATCAATTACTAAATTATGATTCTCAAATAATTTCAGTCGCTAATCGTTGTCATCTTCCACCGGCGGTCGGTTACGGTAAACAACGTATGCGTCGATTCTATTTTGACTGGAAAACTGATGCATGCCACGAACTACAGTATTCCGGAATCGGAGGAAATGAGAACAGTTTCATGGAATACGAAAAGTGTGAGCAAGTGTGTCGTGGTGCAGGAGAGCCACCAATTTCGCTGCCAAGTAATATGAAAATCATGCCGAAAGAAGAAATAATGGAGTTGGAAAAACCAAAGAAGATGGAAAAGCCAGAAAAAGTTAGTTTTTTTTGATTTTCGGAATAAATGAAAGTTTTTGTTTTTCAGGACAAGAAAATGGTTTATCCAAAGGAAGTTGCCGCTCCAGTTTCATTGCAACCCCCTTCTGTTCCAAAAACTACCAGCGATGATGTCTACGAAGCATTCTATACAGTATCTCCAAAGACTTCAAGTACTCCTCCTCCAACTACTCCACTTTCAACAACAACTCCGTCAACAACAAAATCAACAACTACAGAAGCAGAACTCCCAGAAGTTTCTGATCCGAATCCATGTGCTTTGTCTCCAGATAAAGGATTCCCTGGGTCCATGACAGTCAACATGTGGTATTACGATGCAACATCGACTACGTGCAGTCCGTTCATGTATCTTGGAAAAGGTGGAAATTCAAATCGATTCGAGACATCAGAAGAATGCATTGACACCTGCGGCATCGGTAATCTTTTACTAGCTTGAGAATGTAATAATTTTCAAAAATTGTTTCAGGAAAACCAACTCGGAAGTCCTGCGAATTACCACCAGCAATCGGCAACGGCCCATTCAACATTCCTCGATACTATTTCGATCGAGTCACCAAAAAATGCGAGCGGTTCTTTTATTCTGGCAGAGATGGAAATGATAATAGGTTTTATAAAAAGAACAAGTGCGAACGATTATGTTTGAGAAGTGAGCCTTGTTAAAAAACAGGAAATTGGGCATTTGACAAATGTTTCAGAGAAAACAAAAAAGAAGGAAAACATTTTCGAGTTCACCACCACTCCATCAATGCCACCAGTTATCTACGAATCCACTCCGATGAGGATTATTCAGAATTTGGTCCCAAGCGAGGCTACAACTCTGACAACATCTACATCTTTTCCAAGTACAGAAACTAGGATGAATACTGATCCCTATGGCGAGTTTTTTTTGGACTAGGGCTTCCATTCGGGGGACGCCCCCTGGGCGGGCGGCAGGCGGCCCAATTGTTCACTTGCCCAAATGGAAACCCTATTTTGGACTGTTTGCAAATTTTCACCGAAGGTTTTTTTCAGTTTATGCAACTCCAACACCTCAAGTCCATATTACCGTGGAACCTTGGATCGAAAGATTCACTGAAAAATCAAAGATCTTCGAATACTCGACAACTCCCCACCCAACATTAATTTATGAACCTAGAGGCGAAACCCTGCCTACCATCATCCCAGAATCCACGACAACACCTTCAATTGCTGATCATGTTTTCTCAAGTCTCATGAATACACAACAACGGGAACTTGTGAAATTCGTACAGCCACCTGTTCCTCCAAGAACAGAAACCCCTCGAAAGTTCTCATCTCACGAGACAATTCCATTTGGGCAAATTGAGCAGCAACCAGTTCCAATGACTGTTTATGGGTCTGCTAAACCAACTATAAACCAGTTTGGAATGAAGGTAATATCAGTGTTTTTTGCTTGTTTTTGAAAATTAGTGGAAATTCAGGTTGAGCCCTATCAAACAACGGATTACATGCTTCCACCTGTCTATCCATCCCCATATCTTCCACAACCTGCTTATCCAGAAGTAAAAACCAATTCCTCAGTTGTTATCAGTTCCACCCAAACCGCTTCCGCTTCAGTTCCAAACTCTGCAATCCCACCTTCCGTTGATACCTCTTCCCAGAACCCCGGTTCCTATGTTGGTCCGATTCCTGCTCCCTCCCAGCCGATCATTTCTGAAACTGGATCTTCTAAAATTGAAGGTCCCGAAACTTCTCAAGTTCAAGTTGGACCGATTCCACCGCCTTCATCATATTTTGTCATTCCTTCTTCTTCTTCCCAAGAACCGTCTTCCAGTCCGTACATCCCAACAGGAAATTCAGTTTCATCCCAGCCACCACAATCCTCACCACCACCAGAACCATACGTCATTTCCAATCCAATTCCAACTCTATCTCCGACTGCTGGTCCACTTCCATTTTCATTTAATATCTATCCATTCCCAAGTCTTCCACCTCCAACCACTACAATCTCCCCGCTTCCCACGCTTCTCCCACCCAACATCTCGGTTAGTTGCCCTTGCTTTCTTTTTTAGTTTTTAGTTTTCCTATTACTGGCTCTAGCTATGCCGTAACTCTTCAATTTTGTATTTTCAGTACGTCACCTCGCCACCAGACAACAATGATTCGCCGTGTAGCCGTCCACTTTATGGAGACGCGACTATAATGTGTGAAAATCGGCAAGAGATCTGTCCAATGGGAACATTCTGCCAAATTGGACAAGGACAGAGCATCTGTTGTCCTATAATGGGTACCTGAAACGGAGGGAAATTCTGAAAATAGTAAGAATGTTTCCAGAAGAACCTCCTTGCGAGCAAGCAATCGAAGAAGGCATTGGAAATGTTCTGCTTAGACGTTGGTACTTTGATCCAGCCACCAGATTATGCCAACCGTTCTACTATAAAGGATTCAAGGGGAATCAGAATAATTTTATGTCGTTTGACACCTGTAACAGAGCCTGTGGATCGACAAACGTTTGTCTAGGAGGCAGTCCACAGATGTCTATTCACACTCATCTTCTATCGTGAGCCATCAACTTAAACCAAATATTTCGAGCTAATACGAAAATTCCAGATGTAACTCTGAAGCTGATTGTCCATATTCCCATGACTGTATTCAATCTACACCTCATAACATCTGCTGTCCGAAAATGGCTCAACCAGTCCCGGTTCCAGTCCCTGCTCCTCTATCGGCACCATCTCAAAACCAGATCGTCGAACAACCAGCATCCAATTTGGTCATTGACTTTATTCCTTCTCCCCATCCATCCAATAATCTTTGTGAACAACCGATGGATATTGGGTTCGGAGGTCTGTCGGAGCACCGTTGGGCATTTTCGAATGGCCAATGCACCTCATTCTTGTATGCTGGACAAGGAGGAAATATGAATAACTTTTTGACAAGAAATGACTGTGTTAAAACATGTCAATCTCCGGCTCCATCTCCTTCGTCACAATGCTCTCAACCAGCTGCCAGTGGTCATGGAGAACAGTATCTTTCTCGATACTTCTATTCACCAGAATACCGACAATGTCTTCATTTCATCTATTCTGGAGAAAGAGGAAATTTAAATAATTTTGAATCCTTGACAGATTGTTTGGAGACCTGTGTAGCCAATGGAATCAAATTCAGCTGTAAGTCAGCATTCATTTTTATGACCAACTTCGAATTCATTTTCAGCACTTGCCAACAATCCGATGTCGCCAGTACCACCTCCACCTTCACCAACTCGTCTGCCAGCATTCCAGTTCAAACCACGGAATGTGTGTCCACAAGGAGACCCACTGGTTACTGTGGATGGTCAACCAATTCAGTGTGATCCATCAAAAGCAGCAAAGTGTCCCGGAGATCATGTATGTACTCCGAGAGGTAACGAAGCGCATTGTTGTCCGTCACCAAGTGAGTTTCCAGAACCAGAATCCAAACATTTCAAAAAAAGCTTGATAATTTTCAGTGCACTTCTGTCTGCAATCTCGTCCACCCATATCTGTATGCACTAGTCCAGATTTCGAACCAGTCCGAGAGATTCGTTTCACCTATGATCCAATGGCTGATAGATGTGTACGGTTTAGTTTCCAAAATTGTCGGGGTGCCGCTTTTTCTCCATCGGGAAGTCTGAATAACTTTGTGAGCAACTCTCAATGCAATCGTCTGTGCTGTAATCAAGGATACAATTTGGTGTACAAACGACGTCTTCTGATGGCGATGAACGATGATCCGATGATGGATGAAGAGTGAGAAGGATGACAGTACAAAACAGACAGTAACCTCAATTCATAAAACGGGAGAGACACGCAGTGTTCAGCCATGTATGCGACATTCGCAAATATCAAAAATTGCTCATTTTGTTTTTCTTTGTATTCTTCTTCATTTATGTAAATTTGAAAACTAACTTTTTTTTTTGAAATGGAAGTTTATAACCCCTCATAGTTGTTCAGTTCGTTCATTCATGATCATAAAATGCTGGAATTAAAGCTTTAAAATCCAAAAAGCACAAATCAATGTGAAAATCGAAATGTAGATAGATTGAGTGGAGACCGAGTTGCAATTGTCTTTTTGACAGCAGCACCATTTTTGAGTGAGACCGTCCTCCTCACGTTCAGGGTAGCATCTGGAATAGATTAATAGATAGATTTATAATTTAATCAGGATAATACTGCTACAAAAAATCGAAGATGTGGAAGAGAAACGTCGGTGGCCGTGGCCGAAGGTATCACAACGAAAACTACTGTAACCTGAAAATATTTTTTATTTTCCGGATTTGGTTTCTATTTTTTGTTGATTTTCGTCCAAGTCGAAAATTTTTAATATTTGATAGCGAACAAACTGACTGAAAAAGTACTGAAATCGAGAAAAAAACTCAGTCAGAGAAAAAAAATAATTTGAGGTTACGGTAGTTGTCGCTTTGGAACCTCCAGCCACGGTCACTGACGTTTCGTTTACAGCTCAAATTTTTTTCATACAAAAATAATAAGATAAATAGATTTACCCCGCATCCTCATCGGTACAAAAGTCGTATACATTGGCACAGCCGCGTGTTATAGTTGAGCCATTAATGAATTTGATACACCACAAATCAATTGCTTCACAGTTTTGTGACTGGAAGTTTCTTTTTAGGTTTATTTTTACAACTTTGGAATTTTTATACTGTAAATGTTCTCATAGAAGCCCACCCTATGCGTACTCTTTGAGCTCGATTATCTCGGTTCCTATGAGAGATATCAAAAATATGTTACTGATAAAATATTGACAATATTACATATATTAAACATTTTGGCAGTTTACTTCTTTTTGATATCTTTTACAAGAAACGAGATATTTGTGCTCAAAGTTAGCAGTTTGGGTATCCTTCTATTAGAATGTTTACGGTATTTTGAAACTAAACTAGCTTCAAATTCTTAAAATGCCACTCAACCTGTTTTATTAAATATCAAATGATTTTAATGCAATTTTCAACAGGCCGTTAAAATTTGTATAACCGGAAAATGCACTCCTTATCATAACACTAACTCCGGCTACTTCTACAGTTTATTTTTCGAGATTTTAAATTAATAGAAGGATCAAGTCAAGTCAAAATAATTATCCATTTACCTGCAAACTGGAATCGTAGCATTTCAGCGTCGAACAATTAGTCACCAGGCTCGAAATTAGTAAAAAGAAGCCCAGAGACCTTTGGAGTCGCGTCATGTCAAAAAAGTAGCAGCCAAGTGTGATAACAAGTGATATCAACCATCACAGTTTCCCATTTCAAAATGAGCGACACGCTTTTACAACCGCCTTTGAAACCCGGCTGTCAAACGGTTGTGTGATGTTTCAGGACATTTTTTAATTGACAGTTATAACACAGCAATGCATTTATTTCGGTGGTTTTTGAAGAAAGAAATAGCAATCGCAAAAAGATAATTTATGTTTAGGAAATTAGTGGAGGGAGAGAGAATGTGAAGATGGTAAATACACACACACGAAAACTGGAGAGATGGATGATGGAGATCAAAAGAGATGAATACTGTAAAGGAGTGGGGTTTCAAATTATATATATTTACATCGAGAGGAAAAATTCAAATTGTTGGGATTATTGCGGATATCGGTGTTTTTTTTTGTCGGGGTCGTGGCTCTCGTGTGATTCTTAAGCTCCATTCACTTTCCTGGTCCGGCGAAGCTCATGAATTTACGAGCTTGAGTCTGGGATTGAAGAAGGTCCGACAGATCGCATCCTTGGGAGAGTCCCGCGTTGAGAAGGCATTGACGATTGCGCTTCATCGTGTTGCGGATGATTCTGGAATCAGTTTATAGTTAATGTAATCTAGTTGGCAAATGATAAATAGGAACTGTTAGACAAGACTCCTGTCAAAGGAGCTAAAGAACATGTCAATCTCGGCGTTTTTGATGTGAGAACTGGGAAGCACGTGGAAAATGTGTGTACAAAATGTGTGTACAAGTTCTGAGTGTCCTACTGTAGGTACAGATTGTTCTCACTAGAGATTTATTAAAGGGTTTCGCAACCATTCGGTTACTGAAACGTCACCTTTTCAAAAAAAAAAGGTTCCTTATTCCTAAAAGCTTCCTATTCCACCTCCGTTCTCAATTTAGAATCCTTTATCCACTTCCACATCTGCCATGCGGTGCCCTTTCATCTCCGACCTCTACGTTTTCCCATAAATCTTCAGACTTACTGGTTTGCGTCGTAGTCGAACGATGCGTCGGCATTGTCTCTCTTCTCCTCGACGAAACGATCGGAGAGTCCACCGTCGAATCGGTTGTGGAAGACACGAGACTCGACGGAGACGAGAACGATGGAGGCAACGAGTGCCAGAAGGAGCATTGTTACCGCTTTGCTCATTTTGTGTGTGTTACCTTCAACTGGAATTAGTGAAAAGAAGAAGTGAAGGTCATTGAACGCGGAGCAAAAAGAAGAAAAAATGAGAGGTGGAGAAGAGGCTGATTAGTTGGGAAGGAGAAAAGTGGGAGGACAAAAGTCAATCAAGCCAGTAGTTTGGTGCTAATGTGTCGATAATTCTGCGAATAGAAAACGGAGAAAGAAAGAAAAATCATTGTTTTTCGGCTAGGTAAAAGCAGTGATTATGATTAGGAGACAGGGTACAATATTTTATAGTGTATATAGTAATGAAAAGGGGGTATATAGCAGATTACCAAAAACACCACATGACGCAAAAACAATGGATTCTGGAATATTGGTACGTAGGGATGAATGACACGGGCAAGTACTGACGATTTGGTCAGTGGTGTAACTTCAAGTACTTGTTCTGACTAAAATGACAGGGCATGAAATTGGATGAGGAAGTCTAATAAATTCTGAAAAATCATAGGGACCTCCGTGAAGATCAAAGCTGTGCAAATAGCGGCCGCGGCCGGTCGTGGGTAGGTGGCTGTGGACCAATCTCTCGAAAATACGCACAGGGATCCAGAAACTACTAGGGTCTCTAGGCCGCCGTATCCTACCTATTCCCGAAGTACCCTTTTCAAATACCTAGTGGCACAGCCTTGGTAAGGACCATGTGGAAAAGGTAAAAGATTCCTGTTTCAAAAAGTTTGAGCTAAAAATTATATGTTTAACCAAAAAACAAAAAAGGATGTCCGGGTTGAACAGGATGAGAAACAAATTAGATGTTTGGAATCTGTAGACTTACTACTAGATCGCGCAATCTTCTGATTCTGCTGAAGCTTCTCTCTGATCTTGTATTTTACATTCTGAAGTCACCAGAATCAATCAGATCATTTTCAGAAAGACACCAAAATGACGTGCCCTTCGGAATAATTTTGCAAATTTCGGAATGTGTTCCATTCCTAACCCAATTGTTTGTCTTTTCATTCTCCCCTCCCCTACAATTGCTCACACCCCGTAAATGATTCCAACAGAAAAAGGAGAGAAAAGGAAAAGCGGATTGAGATGGAAAAGACAAAAAACCAGAACCAGAATGAGATTGCTTTTGCATATATCGCTCTTCTTTTTGGGGGTCGGGGCGGTTCGCTTTTTGGCTCCGCCTCCTTTTTCTATTTCGAAAAATCTCGTTTCCTTCAAAAAGTAAGAGGGCGGAGAGATGGTCATAAAAAATAATGGCTCGAAGGAGCCCAGGACTAAATGGGGAGTCGACAATTATCCCACACACACAAACCAATTACAACATAAAAATTGGGTTTTTTATTTCGAAAATTTTTAGGTTACGGTAGTTGAATTTCATAAATAATTGTTTGCCTTTGGACCGGAAATAGGTTGGAAAATTGTCACGAGAAGAAATGACTGAAAAGGAAAAGGAAGAAATAATGAACAAGTCACAGTTTTTGATCAGTTTCAGCAAGATTAGAAAATCAAAAAAAAATGACTGAAATTGGTTTGTGTGTCATGAGTGCAAAAAAAGAAGGAATGATGAGTCCATTAGTGTAATGCTCTCCCTATGTCCATTATTCAACATTATGGTTCTTCTGTGTGTAAATTTGTAAGGAAGATGATGCTGAAAAGAAGAGAAGACTAGATGAATTATGATGATTATATGCTGATAACTTATGGATGGGGGACTTATAGATGATGGGAGGAGAGCAAAGATACATCATGTTTCTAAATGTTGCCAAGTGATGGACGAAGGATGGTCATTAAGAAAGATCGAGGATCAGAGAAAGGGTATGTGCACGAAATGTGATCGCACTTCTGAGGAAGTGAATTTGAATCCGGGTTTTGTGATTCTAGATCAATTGGATTGTAGTGGGTACTAGAAAATCGAGAAGATCAGGAGGAACGAATTCTAAGAACAATCATCTTTTCAAGGGGTTTCGTTTGATCTGAAGGTACAGTCCCGGGGAATGAGAAATACAAAAACGTATTTTCAGTTGATTTTCAGCATTTTCGGGATTTTTCAGGTTTTCAGCTTAAAAACTGGCCAAAAAGGGGTGTCTGTCAGAGATCTTCAAAAATCTGAAAAAAATAGGATTTTTTAAAAAATTCTGTGAATTCAAAATTTTCAATCTCGGTCTGTTTTACACCCTCAAAATTTTTCAAAGTGATCGAAAACTTGACCTCTGTGCTCCAGACTCCGTAAAATGGTCTAAATGGCCGAGAATCAACTGAAAAATACAATTTTGTTAATCTGATTGATCGGCGCTGTACCTTCAGATGAAGGGAAATCTTCTGAATCAGTTTTTCAGATTTTAAGATCACAATAAACAGTTTATAAAGAGTGGAAAAGATACATATATAGAGAAGAAATCTCCTCAAAACAGAAAAGAAACCAGAAAACCACACCTCCGTCCAGACAGAAATGAGAAACATTGTGGTCCAACGAGCTTTTCTTTTTAGAGTATTCCCTTCCAGAATACCATGAATATTTCAAAAAAAAGATTAGAAGGAGGAGCCATTTAGCAGGACTTCCCAACTTGAAGAAAATCCTCTTCAAACATCTGCAACTCTCCGACCAACCCACGCTTTTCGGGAAAAAAGCTGAGGAGGCGTTTTAGAAGTTCTCACTTTGAAACGCGTTTCGTTTTTAAGCTGGACAGAATATTTTGGGGAGGAGACAGTGGAGGAGGTGTGATGAATATGTGGGAACGAGATTGTAGTAGTTAAGAGGTACGAAACTACACACGTCATTTCTTAACTGGTAATCGAAAATAGACAATAGCTAGAAAACCAAAATATAATGAAAGAAAAGATTCTTATAGTAGAGATTTCCAAAATTCGGGCCCTTCTATCTTTCCGGCCCATTTTTTAAAAAATTTTTCCTTTGAAAAAACTGGTGAACTGCGGTCCAAAGTNTATGAAAATCTATCAATTACACGTAAATTAGAAGTCTCTCAGCAAAAAAGAGAGGTTGAACAAATTTTTAAGAATTCTTGAATTGTCAGGAATATTTTGAAACCGTACAGAAAATTAAAAGTTCTAACAACATATTTTGAGGGAGTTCTTCTATTAGAAGGGCTCTTCAATTTAAAAAGCTTTGGTAATACAGGTTATAAGGGATATCAGTAATCTGTATTGTCTTTAATATACCGCCGCTGTCATGAAGCTAAAAAAACAAAAGTGTGCTGTTATAGCAACCATTTTATCAGTTTACAATTATTGTGTATCTCGTTTAAGAACATAGATAAGCATAGTCCAATTTAAAGTACGGTGAAAGACTGTAAAATGTTGAAAACGTTAATTAAACAAGTTTCTGTCTATGTGGTAAGTGTTCATTCATGAAAAAACCAGTCCCTTAAAGTAAATTAATTCAGTTCATAGGGAATTTGTTTTGATTTTTTCATATTAAATATGGGTGGAGAGAAAGTGGGAAAATTTATAAAAACTGAAAACACTAAAGCTGTCCTAGAAACTATTGTAACTTACCGTAAACACTCCAATAAAACGGTACCACCAACTTTCAACTTTAGGCTTCTTTATCTCGGTTCCTGTAAAAGACATCAACAAGTAACAAACTGATATATTATTTTTGATACTATGGTGAACATTTTGTCAGTTGACCATTTATTAATATCTTTTACAGGAAATGATATAAAACGGCTCAAAGTCGGCAGTTTGGTGAAGACATTCTATTAGAGAGTTTACTGTACGTTCTGGTTTTGATCACAATTTGAAATTATTAATACAAATGTAACAAATTGCGGCTCGTACATTTCAGGAAAAAATCCAATTTCACGGCTCGCAGTTTTTTCAAAAGGCCCGATTCGCTTTGTCGTCGTCATGGCTCAGTCACATTTACATAAGTCTCATGCGTCGCCGAATTGGAAATCGGACGTAGAGCAAAAAGAGGAAATGAAATGGGATGACGTTTTACAAGAGGGAAACGATCGAGAAGTTGGAAGATTACTGTAATTGGTTCAGGGGATCGGCCAAACAAAAAAGACAAAAATATCCAACGACGACGAAATGATGTGACAGACGGAACTGATTACAGAATCGGTAATTCCAGGGTAGGATTTTTGAATTAGGAGGTAACGACAATAATAACAGAAAAGTGAAAAATTGTCTCACATCCTACTACAATCGCATATCCTTTCGGTCAATTTTTCTCAGAATTGGGTCGTCTTGGATTTGTGTTGATCTTAAAAACAATTCAATATCTGGAATAGTTTTGGTATTTGATGAAATGATATCATGTCGATGTGTTGTGATTTTTGATATTGATATACGACTCAGTTATCGGCTTTTAACTTTCGGTCAGATGTTGAGGGGGGTTTGGCTTTTGGACGGATATCGGCAAGGCTCTAGTCGGAACTTGCCCAAAAACGGCTGTATAGCGGACCATGGTCACATTTTGGTCGTACATTGCAAGTTGCCCGGAATCTGATCAACTTCCGGCCAGAAGTTGTCAGCGACGCCTAACTTAAGGAGATCCATGACAGACCAGTCATTCGTTCATGGGACCAATATGTGGGCTTTTGTCCTTTAAGTGCAATGACGGCGTTTTAAACAATTGAAACTTCCCAAGGAGTACTTAAGAATTGTGGATTAGGAGCATACTCACGACAAGAATATCAACTTTCGTCAGCGAGCGGAAAGGTTGATTTTGCAATCTACCGTATTGATTTGATGAATATTGTGCAAGATAGTGTTTTTAAAAAATTGCACAAACTACAGATGAATAGAATAAGTGCTAATCCTTTTTTTCAGGCACTCACTGAAAAACCCGAAAATTCGTTCGATAAATTTTCGAGAAGTATTTCGAATGTTTGTTCGAACCACTACCAGCGCGTTCTAGGCCATTTCAGTATGGTTGCCTAACTTTCACAAGTTGAGTTTTCTAGGCCGGCATGTTAATCGTCGCTTATGGCCTCATATTTGCCTTGTCTGTTTTCTAGGGAAATGCCCTAGAAAACTCAACTTACAAAAGTTAGGCCGTCATTGACAAATGTCCTAGGAAACACATCAGTTGCATGTTAGACCCTTTTTGGACAATCAACTACGGTGGCCTAGAAAAATCTCGTTGAGAAACTGAGGCGACTCTATTCGCATGAAACCGGAGGAAGTAAAAATTCGCAAACTGCCAAATCTTCAATTCTACAGTAAATTGTAATCTTTGATACTTTATTCACTTTTCCATTCCCATCGCCCCCGTTTACATTCCGTTCTTATATTTTTATGGCTTTCCAAAAACTATAAAAAGGGAGGCTCTTGGGGAAAATTGTCAGTGTATTCTTTTTGTTCCTTTATTCTCTTATTTCTTAATTTTTATCTACTTCTTTTCTTATATCATAAATAAAGGCTTAATTACCCAAGTGTGAGGTGTGGTTGTGAGTATCGAACTGTTGAGATTCAACACAAACCTCGTTCGAACGGCTTTTTTGAAAATCGTTGGAAATTATTTTCGAAAAATCGATCAACGTAACGAAAGTCACACACTGTACGAGGAGTCATCGATTCTCCCAAATATCAACTTTTTCAAAATCATAAAAGTTTTTCGAACGTTTTTTCAATATGTACTGGGTTTTGAGTTCGTAACTAACTTGGACTCATATGGTAAGATCTAGACATCGTCATGTTTTCCTGTCTCCCATCTAACTTTCGTCCGTTCAAAAACACAATTTGACAGCAGCCGGTAGTCATTCATCAACTCTTCCACGATGTTCCTCCTCTCATTGCGCACGCTCTTCCTGCTTTTCCCGTATTTTCCTTAACTTCTGAGTCTCTCTCCATCGTAGTCAAATGTTTACGCCCTCTCCCCTCTTTGTGTTCAATGTGTATGCAACTGTGCCCCACAGAAAAAGAGCCCTTCATCGAGAGCCACAACACATTCCAAGTTTTAATATAAAGAATTCTGGTTTCTTCCTATTTTAACATGGCTCTCTAAGCAAAAGCTGTAATTATTTGCACGCGGGGAACAGAGCACCAAAAATGATCGGTTGCTCGTGCTCCAATACGCCCACGAAAAAGAGACGTATCATTAAGTAAGTTTTCCCCTGTATAAAAGGTGTTTTATTTTCAGTCACTTATCACTTATCAAGAACTTTTCCGTGTTCTTTTCTTCGTTTTCCTGATACATCTCTTTGACACAACAATTGATAAAAAAAGACGTTCAAATATTTGTTCGCGTTTTTATTATCAAGGCAATGTAGGAAATATGTCAAAACGTATATAAAAATAGTTTCGATTCAGTGATCACTTGGGTCATGTCGAAAAATGTATGCTTGACTTTCCCCACCTTTTCTGTATCGTTTCTCGATAAATTTGCATTTTTATTCAGATTATCATTCGAATCGCCACAGAATTCTCCCAATTCATTCAACAGGAATGAGGGAGGTGAGTGTGTTTTCCACTATTGAATAGTACAGATTTATTATAAAACCTGTAATAGAAGGACACCTCAACTTTTTATTTTGAGCCAATTTTTCTAGGTTCTTGTCAAATATTTTAAAAAGTTGTCAACTGAAATATTTTTTGAATAGGCTTTGGTAACAAGCCCTCTATTTTATTTTAGTTAATTACTAAAAAAAAAGTCAAAGATTCAAAGAAGTTGCCTACTGATCAACTGTTTATCATAATATCAGAAGTGCTTTGTCAGTTAACACATTTCTGATATCTTTTACAAGAACCGAGATAAATTGGCTCAAACTTGAGAGTGTGGTAGCCCTTCTATTACAAGTTTTACGGTAGATGTATTTGTAAAACTTTGAGGAATGAACGAAAAAATTGAGATTTAAAAATATTTGCTTTATCCAGTTTCTATTTGTTTTTCTAGGTTTATCGACCCTGTACAACTTCGGATAAGGAGATTATCCAGAAGAAACCAACATCCCTTATCCGCCAAAAGCTTCAGCAATACATTCCAATTCTCGAATGGCTCCCCAACTACAAGTGGAAAGAACACTTTCATGGAGATGTAATCGCAGGTCTCACCGTTGGAATCATGCACGTTCCTCAAGGAATGGCTTATGCTAGTTTGGCAGGAGTCCCACCAGTTTATGGAATGTATTCTTCATTTTTCGCCAGCTCAATCTACATGTTTTTCGGTACTGCAAGGCATATTTCAATCGGTTAGTGTGCTCCCTTCAGACCACGCTTTTCAGTGGAATAATTATAGGTGTGTTTGCTGTTGCCTCAATGATGGTTGGTGCCGCAAGACTCCGTTTAGCACCGGATCTTCCACTCTCTGCCAGCAATGCATCTTCCGTCAATCCAGCTGATTATCCTCTTGGAGAACCCATTGACCCACTTATCTTTACCAGTGCACTGACTCTTTTGGTAGGAGTCGTTCAAGTGATAATGGGTGTGCTCCGACTTGGCTTTCTTACTACCTACCTGTCGGATCCATTAGTTTCCGGGTTTACAACTGGAGCAGCTGTCCACGTCTTCACTTCTCAACTCAACAAGGTTCTAGGAGTCAAACTGCCACGTCACGAAGGTATTGGAATGATTGTTCGGATGTATCGAGATATGATTCTTTCATTGGGATCTGTCAACTTCATTGCTCTGGGAATTTCAATTTTTGGAATCTTGTTCCTTGATTTGGGGAGAACGTTCATCAATCCTATGGTTAAAAAATTCTCCCCAATCCCACCACCACTAGAGCTGATTCTCGTTATCTTTGGAGTCATTATCTCGCAAATTTTCAATCTCCATGACTCCTATGACATCAAAACAGTATACAACATTCCACGTGGCTTTCCATCTCCATCAATCCCACGACTTGATTTCCTGCCAGCTCTAATCTCGGATGCAGTTCCAATCGCAGTCGTCTGTTACATGTTTGTGATGTCCATGGGAAAATTGTTCGCCAAAAAGCACAAGTACAAGACGGATGCCACACAAGAACTGTATGCAATTGGAATCGCAAGTGCACTCTCATCCTTCTTCCCAGTCTATCCAGTCGGAGCATCACTTTCTCGATCTTCAGTTTGCGAGATGTCCGGAGCCAATACTCAGCTGTATACAGTATTCTCTTCCCTACTTCTTCTCACTGTTATTCTGCTCCTTGGACCATTCTTGGAACCTCTTCCAATGTGTATTCTGGCTTGTATCGTTATCGTCAGCCTCAAAAGTCTTTTCATGCAAGTCAAGGAACTGCCAAGACTGTATAAAATCAGCAAATATGATTGTGTAAGGTTACTTTTTCTCCAACTCAAATTTCGATTTGTATCAAAACCAATTCATTTTTCGAAAATATTTATGACCTACTTACACCTCTTCATTTCCTAATTTCTTATCAGCTTATCTATTTTTAGGCAATTTGGCTGGTCGCATGCCTTTCAACTGTTCTCACTGATGTCACAACTGGACTGGTCGTTTCTCTTGTCTTTGCTCTCTTCACTCTGGTTCTTCGACAACAGTGGCCGACATTTTCAAACGAAGTTCTTCATGACGAAACTCCACGACAACATATTCCAGAAGGCGTCAAGATTGTTAGATTCGGAGGAGCTCTTCATTTTGCCAACGTCACATTATTCTTGGATAAAATGTCAGAATCTATTGGAAGAGTGCCCGAAGGAGAATCGTTGATCGAAGGGAGAACAATTATTCTCGATGGATCCCCAATCACAAATGTGGATACAATGGGTGTAGATGCTCTTCGTGACGTCTTCAATGATTCCAAAAAGTCAGGAGTACAACTATTCTACTGTGGTCTTCCGGAAGACGTGTTATCAGTTCTCAGAATGGATGAGAACTTTTCTTCTTTGGTTCCCTCGTCGACCTTATTTTCATCAATTGATCAATGCCTTCTTTCTCTTTTTCAGCAGCAAAGTGTCTGATTGTCTGTAATTATTTGTATTATTTGTATTGCTTTTTCTGTTCAGTTTCGCTTGTAAAAACCACTATTCCTCATTCCAAATGTGTCACTATTTATTATTTTTCATATCGTTTTGAAACAACAACATATTAGTTTTCAGCCAGAATAAATTCTTAAATACAGTACCGGACATAAACATTTGACAATTTTTTTGGCTGTAACGTTGAAGCCAAAATTTTAGAAAAATTTTTTTTCAGATTTTTTAAAACGATCAACCAGGTCTCAAAATAAGTATTAGCTTGAAAACAATAATTTCATCTGAGTCCATTCGGAGTTTTCGAATTTTTCAGCCAAGTTACGATTGATTCCGCAGACACTTGAATTGGAGAGGTAAAAACGCTGAATATGATATTCCAAACATTCAAAAACATGCTAAAATCCTTTTTTTTTTGGTTTTGGCCTCTCATGCTCAATTGCCTCTGACTTGGATAAAAAATTCGATCCTCAACTGGAATCCCCTCTCTGCTGGCCCTTCTAATAGGGGAGTACTTCTAATACAGGTTTTACGATATTTGATAAAAGTAGTTATTTGAAAATTCATTACATGAGAAAATTTTTACATACATTCAGTTTGAACATGAACGGAATGGTGTCGTGAGAGAAAAGAGTAACAACCCGTTTCGAGAAAAGGATAAAATATGAAATGACACCGGTTGGGAGAAATTCAAAATCTAAAGGAATTGTTGGAGAATGATTGTAGTTCCAATTCCAATGGCAGCTGACATTGGGAAACAAAGAAACCAGAAGAAGCAGATCTTTCGGAATGTTCCGAAAGAAACACCTTCACTTGTTGATTTTGCCATTCCGACAAATACAACTGCTCCGACTGTACAATGAGTTGATGAGATTGGAATTCCAAGCTTCACACAGATGAGAACAGTGAAAGCGGTTCCGACTTCAATACAGAATCCAGAGATTGGAGACATATCAACAGTCATTTCATGAGCCAAAAGTTTGATGGTTCTGTGTCCAAGAGTAACGAATCCAACGATCATGGCAAGAGATCCGTATCCGAGTAGAAGTTGAGTGTCGTCACGAGTTTCAGCATTTCCAAAAGCGTATCCAGACTCGTAACAGAGCCAGATTGCGAGAAGTGGAGAGATGGTATTTCCAGTGTCATTAGCTCCGTGCGTGAAGGAAAGCATAGAAGAGGAGACAATTTGGAGGGTGTTGAACACTTTTTTGGTGAGACGATCTTCTGGAACATAGGCCCAGAAATATTTGTACCATGGAAGCTCTTTGATGTTCTCGGCAACTTCTGGCTCACGCATATCCTTGATTTTATGGCTTTCTGAAAGAAACATAATTAGTTCAGTGATCGGAATATCAAACTTGAAAAGTTCCTTACTTGGTGCTTTTCCAGCTTCCAATCTTTTTTGCATCTTGATAGTTTCTTTGTCATAAAGTCTCTTGGCACGGTTTGGAAGCCAGTTTTTGAGTGGGAAAGTGAGTAGAGCCCATCCGGCGACTCCGATGGCAACAGAGATCAAGAACGCTTCAGTGGCATTTAGCTTATCGAGACCGAGATCTGAAGTTTGAAAAAAAATGAGCATTTCAATTCGATTGATAATTCAACTTACATTTTGATCCATCATAAATGCAGGCATACAAATTGACAACAAGAGTGAAGCACATGAAAACTGGACAGAGACGAAGAGCCCACTTGAAAGTGTCTTGACGAATCAGAACCGAATACTTGATAATGTAGTACATTCCTCCGGCAATGATTCCAGCAATAACTGGTGAAATGAACCAGGAGATGACAATACTGATGATCTCTCCCCATTTGATTCCAACGTTTCCTCGAATGTAGAACGAAGTGGCAACTGATGCTCCGACGACAGCGTGAGTGGCAGATACTGGAATTTTATAACAGGAGGAGAGAATCATGAAAGCGGCGACTCCAGCGAGAGAAGCGGTTTGAGTGAGCATGAAGTCAATGGAAGTGTATTTGGCACATTCGACTGGTGGAGCTCCTGGCATGATGTCTGGAGATTTCCATCCTCCGACAAGCGTCGCGTTTCCACAGTGATCAACTGTATCATACTGATTTGTGGTGGCGTTATATTGAGCATAGACATCGAAGATGTTGAATTCGATGATTCCAGTTCGTAACGTTTCGACAACTTTGTATCCTGAAAAAAACGGGGTGATTGTCAAATATACTGATTGTTTTCTTATAGGAAGTGGAATTAGTCAAAGTGGAACACCAGTTGATCTTCGAAGAACACGATCACACTTTACACAAGATACACGTTCTTCTAATCAAGCTACCTTCTCAAACTACCGTATCCCTCGATAAGGCTGTCTTTGTCCTTCTTTCTTTTTCGAAAGTTTTTATTTTCAGATTTTCAGAGCGTATCTGTCATTGTACTTTACTCACTTCTTCTTTTGCAACATTTCGATCATAAATTATTCAAGTTGACCCCCCATGACACCTCTTCTGTCTACTGTTTTGTTGATGATTTCACTTTTCATTCAATTCGATTCAAAAAAAAAATCGGCGACCGGTCAAAAAATATGAGGCGAGAAGATTCTCTCTATCTCTCGGGAACGTATATAAAACCCCAGTGTTAGAAAAAGAAGATATCCCATACAGCTGATTTGACCGGTCATTAACTGAGATCACAGAGGTGTTCGTCTAATGATAACAGTTCAGAGAACTTCTACAGTAAGACTACTACCAATCAGAACTACTCACCTAACAAAACCGCTCCAGCAACATTCAGAATTCCCGAGAGAATATAAGCTTGATACAGTTTTACAGTTCCAGCTCCAACAGCCGGTCCCCAATCGTTGCAAGAATCATTGGCTCCCATTCCATATGAAACGAAGAAGGCAAAGACGAAAGCGACAATGACCAACCATGTCGTGTGTTCGGTCCAATTTGGTGCATACTGGATAAGAATGTCGAGCATTCTGAAAATTAATAGATGACTTTTAAATCTTTGGTTAAAGGTTTAAAGTTAAGAAAAAAGAATGTAAAACGGAGAAAGCGATACTGGAATTTGAAAACCTCTCATTTTATACCACTGATGGAAAGTGATGGTAATGGTACCGAATGACCCCGGCTCCACCCACAACGATAAAAATAGAGAAAAAGTGAAAAAAGGGGGAGGATTTTCGCTGAAGTAGGACTACGGTTAAGATGCCATCAACTCGACCCCCGACGATCTTTTGATGGTTCAGATTGTCGAAAAAGAGTAGTTGATGGAATCTAAAGAAGTCTCAAAGAAGAAGAAGAAGAAGTCTTAAAAGAATGAAAAGTGAACAAAGAAAGTACAGTACTGATATGGTTACCTGAAACCTTTTATATACTCTGATTGAGATATGAGAAACAGTTGACCGGTCGGATGGTTGTCTCTTTGGGTTGCGTACTATTCTCATGCCACGCGGTCACTTCCGACCACGCCTCCTATCGTTTCATGAGAGTTTTCGAAATTTGCCAAAATCCATTTCTGGAGTCATGTTCTTTTGATTTTAAGGTCTTAAAAATGACTCACCGTTGTTGATTTTCTTGGAACTTAGAAGCTCATGGATTTTTTTATGTTTTGAACTTTTCAAAATCGTCTTGTTGTCAAACTACATTTAGTACGATCTAAAACTCACCAATCAACTTCAAAAACCCATAGAATTTCTTGGAAGTACAGGAAATGTTATAACACATACCACAATAAATTTAGTTTTTTGTATCGTAAAACCTGTAATATAAGGACCCAGTAACTTTTAACCTTGAGTCAATTTCCTCGGTTTCTACCAAAGATATCAAAACTGTGTCAACTGTCAAAACACTTCTGATATTGTGATAAACAATTTATCAGTTGACCACTTTTTTATCTTTGACAGAAACCAAGAAAATATGGCTCAAAGTTAAAAGTTAGGAGGCCTTTCTATTACAGGTTTAACGGTATTTTTGGATAGGCAGACTTCGAAAAATTACTATTTTCTGCGTTTCTAAAAATATCGAAGGATTGATTTCAAACTAAAGATCTGTAAATTGAAGCGTTGCTGGTTTTTTCATCTCCTATTTTCACTTTTAATACTGACCTGAATCCTTCTCTCCCAGCTCTCTCGGCCACCCCCAGGTACGACCAGTCTCAAATCAGACTCGGATTTGCATTGCAACATAAATTTATTCGCCCGTCGGAGGGTCGAGTTCAAACCCCAAAATTTCAAAGTTCGGTGCCGGGTTGAATCTGGTTCTGTAATAGTATTTTCATCAATGATGTCAATCTATTTGACGTGGGCAGTGCAAAAAGTGTTACTGCAAAGTTGAGCGGATGGACACTTGACCGAAAACAGAAGATGACGCTTTTAGTTGGTTTATATCGTGAATAGTATTTGAACTCACTTGTTGTGTATCACGAAACAACAAATCTGGGCTTTCTCTATGACAAATTTTGAAGTCCTGACTTTTGAAGGTGTTACTTCAATACTCAGACCGCGTCCTAAAAATATCCGACCCGTCCCGAGGCCTGTAATTTTCCAAGTACGCTTTTTTTCATACAGTACCAGTCAATGAGAAATCCAAAACCTTTTTTTCGTTGATTTTCGGCCGTTTTGATCAATTTCAGGAGTCCCGACCTCGGCTGTCAAGATTCCGATCACTTTGATATTTTATGAGGATGTAAAGCAAACCTAGGTGGAAAACGTCGAATTCACATAATTTTCGAAAATTCCTAATTTTTCAGCTAATGGCCGATTTATGAAGGGCACCACTTTTCAGTTTATTTTGTACTGAAAAAACAGGTGTCTTGAAGAAATTGGTTGAAAAAAACTGAACAACTAGGTATTTCCCGAAAATTCTGTGAATGCAAAGTTTCCAATCTACTGTATCTTCCTCTGCAAAAATTGTCTCACACAATTGACGGATTCTGTGCAACTGCATCTTAAAGGTTTTGTGGTATTCATTGAAGCCTATAACTTTGAGCGTATCCGTGACTTCGAAACTATTATAAACTTGAAAATTTGTGTTGCAAGAAATGAGTTACCGTAAAACCTCTAATAGAACGACACCCGGATCGTCCACTTTGAGCCTATATATCTCATTTTCTGTGAAAGATATCAAAAAGTGGCTAACTAGTAAAATGTTGCTGATATCCTGATAAACATTTTACTAGTTAACCACTTTTTGATATCTTTCAAAAGAAGTGAGATATATAGGCTCAAAGTGGACGATCCGGGTGTCGTTCTATTAGAGGTTTTACGGTAGTTCCTACTTGAACATTTTTCTCCCAGAAAACCAACCATGGCTTCTATATCTTTCTGTGTTCCGTCACATATTTTCAGATGCCTCCCTGTCTTACGTTATGACGAATTCAATAACTTCCGGCGTCATCCAAACAGTGACGAGAAAGTGAACACTGTATGTTTTCACTCGCCAATTTTATCACCTCGAGAAGTGAAAATAGATGATAGAATCCGGAAACTCTGATCTTTCCGCATCACTCGTTTTCATTTGTATCCGTAAACCTAGATGCTACCCCTACTTCTGAGTTCAAAAAGGAAATATCAAAGACTTATTGGTTCCTAGACGTCACTTCTCCTGGCCGGCGGCTTCCCGGATGGCGTCAAATCGAAAGTGCGATAAATAATTTGATACCGTGTCAGAATGCTGATGAGGTTGTGATAGTTGAGGTATTTTATGGTTTCTGAATAAAATAACGGGGTCAAGTGATGTGAGAAGAAAAAGTGAGAAAGTATGATAATGGCTACTGATTGTTTTGTATTTTTTTTTGATATGATGATCGGATGAGGTTTCGAGAAATTTCTTTGGTATTTTCAGGTTGTATCAAGTGAATAACAAAAAGCGGTACTTGTTTTGTCCATGTGAATCAAAAAATGATCGATCAAAGTGTAAAAAGTACTGGAACTGTCAAAAGAGACTGTGAAAATATTCTTCGAATCTTTTTGTTTGGGGAAAAATTATTCCCAAAATTATTGTAACTGATTCCGAAAATTGCATATTACCGTAAAACCTCTAATAGAACGACACCCGGATCGTCCACTTTGAGCCTATATATCTCATTTTCTGTGAAAGATATCAAAAAGTGGCTAACTAGTAAAATGTTGCTGATACCCTGATAAACATTTTACTAGTTCTCTCATCACCTCAAGAAACAAAATTCTCATCACCTCAAGAAACAAAAAAGTAATTACAAGAATCAAAGCTTCGAAAAACGATTTTTCTGACTTGACCGGTCGATTCTACCAAAAGTTGCATATTTTTGTACAAACTAAGTAGTCTGATTGAAATCTTGACCTTCAAAATGCGATTTATAGTCAAACTGAAATTGGAGAAAGGAGGTCAACCATTTTTACTGCTTTTTGATAGTTTTCATCGGCGTCTTGGTCTGCTTGAAATTCGAAGATTGGAAGTTTACAGATAACCGGGATCATAGAAAATACCGTACCGGTCAACAAGATATACAAAAACGCATTTTTGAGTTTGTTGTCGACTATTTTGACCATTTTCAGAAATCTCGAGCTCGACTTTCAAGTTTTCGATCACTATGAAAATTTTGGAGAATGTAAAACAGACCTAGATTGAAAACTTTGTATTCACAGATTTTTTTGAAAATCCATAGTTTTTAGCTATTTTCCAATTTTTGAAGGACATCTGCTTTTTTTTACGTTTTTAGTAAAAAACAGGCCAAAAAAGACGGTATCTATCAGAAATCGGCAACAAGCTGAAAACTAGGAATTTTCAAAAAATTCTGTGAATACGAAATTTTCAATCTAGGTCTGTTTTACACTTTCCGAAAATTTCAAAACAATCAGATGCTTGACAGCCGAGCTTCAGACTTCTGAAAATGGTCATGGTCAAAAATCAATCGAAAGATACTTTTTTGTGTACCGTAAATGAAGAAATAATCGAGAGTTACATGTGAAGACTTAAGGGACCTCAAAGTTTTTTTCTGAACCTTTCTTCAAACCCGATCAATCGTCTGCTTCCTTGAAATTTCACGCCTCTTCCAGAAATTGAGTTACCCCACCCAACAAGTGTTTCTCTCTTCTGGTCCATTCATTTCATTCCCTTTTCATCGTCGTTCCATTTGTAATTGCATGCATGTAGGCGTCCCTTCTTCTCCCTCCAAAGAACTGGTCTTGAAATGACAGATGGTGGGTGGTGTTGGTTGGAGGGGCAGAAAGAAAAGACGACGACTCCACGACTTACTGATGAATGTTGCGAGAGCAACACAGCATCAAGTACCTTGACTAATGAGAAGAGAATGCTCGTGGAGCACACGCGGGTGTGTGTGAAGCGGAACGAGTTAGTTGTCGATGAATGGAGTTTTGAAAGAATGGGAATACCCAACTTGTTTGGAATTCTTGGAAGGTTGGAGAGAGCAGTAACTTCCTCATAACCTACTTTTTCGAAATTCTGAAGTAGTCGAACAAAAAAATCGCATAAAAGGTTAATTACATAAAATATAAATTCCAGGTATTACTTCCAAAAATCGTCAAAAATCCTTCGTTTTCTCGAAGTGTCGTCTCAATAAGCATATATTTTTTTTCGGCACCAATTTTCTGATACGTTCCATATTACTTTTTGATTGAATTCGTACTAGTTTTGATTATCTTTTTGACACCGAAAAATGGTTTTTCAGAGACATCTTAAAAACTTTCTTTCTTCTTAATGATAATTTTTCCATTTTGCCTATAGTAATCCAAATGATAAGCTCCGCTGCTTCAGTTCAAAATGAAAAGTTGAAGTTACACAATTCTAAACAATGTTTATCGTGAGAACATATATCAATTTCTTCTCACCCATTTATGTTTAAATGATTGGGCTCACATCTAGAAAAATCGATTAAAAAGACATCTTATGTTTGAGGTATTTTTAAAGCTATTTTTATCCTAAAAATTTTTTTCATTAATAAACGAATTGAGAATATTCCATCCTTATCAAAATTGTCTTCAAATTTTCCATTTTGATCCGATAGCTCCGATAATCTCCTCCCAAGTCCGTCTTCTCCTCCTCCAATCTCAAAGATGCTCTTTTTCTCTTATTTTTCATTTTCTCTCACTCCTTCTCCCGCCCTCTCTTCTACAGGAAAAGAGAAAAGGAAGGCTTCGACTTCACAACTGGCAAATTGCCAAAGATAGAAAAGAAGACGCAGACGAGGTGGAGCACTGCCCGTCGGAGCACAAGCACACACAACACCACCCAGCCTCCTCCTCCTTCTTCTTCTTTTTCTTCTTCTCCCGACTTCGTCCATCGACGGCTTCTTCATGTTTCAATGGACATTTGTCTTCTTTTCATTCACAATTCGCCCCTTCTTCCGCTTCTCATTTCATTTATAGATGTGTTCCAAAGTTTCAATTGTAGCTTAGTGGCCTCCTGACAACCTATTTATCTTTATCATTTTTTTCACTCGCTGCAAGATTTGTTTATCCTGTTTGTGTTTTGGGGAGACCCATGCCTAATGCAATTTGTCGTTTCTCTTCCAGTTTCGAAATTCTTCATCCTTTTTCTTTTTTCTTTCCTATTCCTTCCTCTGTTTTTGTTGTTTTCCTATATCTAAGAAACTCTCGTTTCCATGGAAATCGGTGTTCCATTTACTAATAAGCTCTTGTTCGCTCTGCTTCCATGGCCTCTTTTAATTCTCATATCCGTCGTGTCCTTCTTCCTCTTATATCCAGATTTAACAGAATCCAAAATATATATTTGCTCATCTTCCCCTTTGGAATTGGGGACCACCCGTTTTGAAGGGGTGAGGATGCTTTCTCTAGTTTATCTGGTTGTCATCTTTGTTGGTGTGAGAAGATGGAGAACCACCCAAAACCACATCTTCTGGCACAACCAGCAATCCGACGATAGATTACTTTTACTGACTCTCGTGGGACAAATGTGGCGAAAGGCGCAGAACGATGGGAACTGCGGATGAGAAATGTGTTAGGGGACGGGGGACCCAAAAAAAAGAGAAGAGATTTTGTTGAGGACTTTCGGCAGAAATAAAAAAGTTGTGAAGAGATGTGTGGGCTCAGATTTTGGATGCACATAGAGCACTTGTTTTATAAAACAAGTGCACAAATTTGTGTTTGTTTTATAGGAGACTGGTTGAAAATGTAACTGTTATTGAAGATGATTTTAATGAAATTAACATCTTGTTCGACTTTAAAGTAATATGAAAAGGGCATGATAAATGTCCCTTGCTAGTGTATAAAACTGTAAAAGTTAAATGAAAATTATAATGACTGCAATTAAATGTTCTTCAAAACATTTCCAGCGTTTTGCGTGCACAGCATTGAAGTTCTCAAAATTCGAAAAACGCGGTGCGTCGTAAAATAAAATGCTGCGTACGCAAACACTCTCTCGCATGCACAAATTCGGTCGGCTGTCGGTCGGCTGGATCGGAGGTCGGTCGGTCGGCTGGGTCGGAGGTCAGTCGGTCGGCTGAATTTCCCGATCGGATGGAAGCTTTAGTCTTGAACTCCAGCAAAAATTTTATTAGAAGTTTCGGAACAAAGTTTTCCGGGCTTTGTTTGTGGACCGGAAGAAATTGAATCGCATTTTTATAGAAATTTCAAAAACTTCAATTTTTGAAAACATTTTTAAGTTTTTCAAAATTCAACTTTGGCAATTCTACTCCACAGCCCCTTTTGCAAATTTTTGAAATGTTCCATTTTATCGTTCACACTTCTGGTCTCCTTCAGAACTACAGTAATCCTACACAAGCACATTAGTTTTTGATCTTAACATCAATCTTTCCCAAGTCTCCCTAAATTACATTTTGATTAAATTCGTACTAGTTTTGATTGCCTTTTTGGCACCAGAAAAAAGAAGTTCTTATTATTTCTATCCGAATCTACCCATGCCTTCAATCACCTAGCAACGAGTATAAACATAACAAGCTCTTCTTCTCCTTGTGATTTGTTCTTCTTCTTATAAAAACCTCCACCTCGTTCTTATTTTCTCCGAATGTTCTCTCCTAGATCCCTCAAAAAGGACACGTCTTCTTTTTTTTACACCATCAAGGAACCCTGCAATTACCTCTTCTAAAGCTCTTCTCTTCTTTTTTCCACCCTTCTCCCACTTTCTTTTCCCAACGACGACGTCGTCCATCAATTCTCGGGTCGCTTTTTCATGTGCACGTCGTCTCAGTCTCCCTTCTTTTCTCTCATTCTAATGAGTCGTTCGTTTGACACCTTCTAAGCCATGTGCAAGATCAACGAGATTTCCGTCGTCTTCGTACGCATTTACTTCGGGGGGACGGACGACTTGTTCTTTTTGAAACGACGCACTTTACTTTTTCGAAATGACGACGAGTTTTTAAGGATCGTAGAAGCTCCGAAAACAAAAAAAGACGACGACGACGGAAATAAAAAGAAGAAGACAACACAAATTTGTTGTGTGACCAAAGAGGAGAGGAGCGGTCAGTTTAGACCCAATTTCCGATTGGGACCACACGTACAGCTAGCACAGCGAAATTGGATATCTCGGAGAGCGAGGCGACGCCGGCGGCGGTCCGCAGAAGACGACGTGAGACGAGCGAGATGGCGTCGGAAATGAGTCGAGCTAATAATTACTGTTGCGAGTGCGTCGCATCACAAGGTAAGCATTGGAAGGACACGAAGATCTGAAAAGCTTCCTATAGGATATAATTATCAGCTGGAATCAGCTGAAATTATTATCAGCTGGAATAATACATAACGGATTTTCATAAAAATTTCCAGGTCGGTGCAGTGCTGATACGTGTCCATGTGTAGCTGCCAGAAAGACCTGTGATGAGCACTGCGAAAGTACTAGGTGAGTGAATTTAAAAAAAAGAAACAGGGGAATGTACAGCAGGAATGCGCTATCTATGTTTCTGCCTGATGTATTCAATGTTTCATTTTTCGAATGTTCCGCAAAGCTGCTTTCAAAAAAGCTTATCTGAAAAATATTATAAAATTGTTGCAAAACTTTTGGAACTACAGTACTTGTCAATGAGATATACACAAAGATATTTTTCAGCTGATTTTCAATCATTTTGACCATTTTTAAGAGTTTTTCCCGTTTTTTGTACCTAAAACGTGAAAAAACAGGTGTTGTTCAGAAATCGATGAATATCTGAAAAACTAGGAATATTCTTAAAATTCTGTGAATGCAAAGTTTTCAATCAAGATACACTTTACACGCTTTAAAGTTTTAAAAGTAACCGGAAACTTGAAAGCCGAGCTTCAGACTCCTGAAAATGGTCGAAATGGCCGAAAATCAATTGAAAGATTGTATATCTTATTGACCGGTACTGTAATGTAAAATGAAATGTTCTTTTTTCTAACATTGTACAAAGCAGTTTCTAATTCATGTGCTACAGTACACTTTTTTTTTGAAAACCCCAGATCATCTCTACGTCATCTGACGCTTCCTCTGCTTCTCTTTTTCCTTCCGAAACCAAAATGCTAATTTTCCCAAATCTTCATTCACTCTTCATCTTTTTCCCATTTTCTTTTCCTTTTTTCTTACCCACACTTACACACACACACACACACATCTTCCTCTTTAAAATATGCTTTCTTTTCTCTCTCAAACAACAACAACATATCAAATATCACAAGTGCACTTGCCCGCTCAATCGGGCAATGGGGAATCGGAAGAAGAAAAGTCGAGGAAAAACATTGAAATTTCACATTTTCAGATATCGGGGAGACTGTCTCAATCAAGCAATCTGCAAGTGTTCCTGTGAAGTGGACCCTGCTAAACCGGCAAAGAATGCGTGCTCCAAATCAGAACGATGTGATTGTCTTCGGATAAAAGAGGGCTGCAGCAAGTTGTGTGCTTGCAAACAAATCTGCAAAAATAAGGTAAAGAATTTAAATTTGAAAAAAAAAATAGTTCGAAATTTGTAATTTATTCAGGAAGCACCAAAGAAACTCGCGAAAGTCGCCAAGCCAACAACTGGTTGTCAATGTGCCAAGGGAAAGAAACAGTGTGTAAAGAAGGAATGCGCTTGTCGAACAGTCTATGGTTTCTGTTCGGCCAACTGCAAATGTGGAGGTGATTGTACCAATGGAGCATCCAAATTCTCAGTTCCAAAGCATGTTCAAAACTGTTTCTTGGAACATAAACACGAGTCATCTGGATTGATTGTGACATTGATAGGAGAGGATTATGTCTACCGAGGAGACTTTTATCATGAATCCAAAGGAGAACCACATGTAGAGGAACAACTGGTTGCTGCGATCTACGATTTAATCTCCAAGTACACTGTCGATCTCCACGAAATTCAAATTTTTGTCTCAAAATCTCCATGCTTCCATCAGGATTGCGAGCCGAAATGTGAGGTTGTTGATGAATGCAAGAGCAACAAAGCTTGTGCAAAACTTCTCGGATTGCTTCTGAGCAAAGTTAGAAAAGAAATCAAGAAGGTTGATGTGAAGATGACTGTCAAATTCTTGTATCCACACCTCAACAGAGGAGATCTCTACACGAAACAGGGAATTCTGTGCATGCTTCAAGCCGGAATAAAAGTGGAGCCACTTCTCATGAAAGATTGGTGCGCGATCATGGACTGGAGTCCACATGTGGATCACAAGGGAGATTATTTGCAGTTGTGGAACAATCATCACCTTGATAAGGTAGGCATAATCAGGAAATGACCCTTAAAACCTTAATATTTAAAAATTCCAGGCGGTTGCTCAATCCCAGCTATTCATCAACGAGTGCCGCCGTGCTCTTGGTCTCTCCATGAAGTTCTGGGTTGCTGAGATTCATGAAATCGTCAAGGACACAATTCTTCACTTCTCGGATCTTCGTACCAAATGTGGTGATCTCAACGACGCTCTAAAGCAACTCGATCTCACTGCCACTCCACACAAGATTCGATCTACACCATCCAAGCGTCGAAGCTTCATTGATCTCCATGAACTGAGGGATAAACTTCTGAGATCCTCGTCGTCGGATGGTGGAAAGAAGGCCGGGTCCCATGTGTCAGTAGCCAGGTAGCCTCTCCCGCATCTCGCTTTCGCTATCTTTTTATTAGATTAGATTATACTTTTTATACGAATATTTGACAATGTGATTGAATTTTCAAAGTTTTCTAGCGCATGTTGCATCCCTCCACAACGTGCATTCACTAACAAATAGATGTTGTCAGAAGCTCAATTTTAGATGATGTTCCAACAAAATAACTTAATCAAAATACTTATACTTTTGGTTAAAATTATTTCCAAACCCAAATTTTCCAACTTTCCCTAACATCACCTTTGCACGAGCTCTTCAAAATTAACCCAATAACTTTGAAAGTTTCTTAACAAAACAACCAAACTGTAAGTTTTTCAAATTCCCATTTTTTAAGCGAGGATGCTCAAGCCCAAGCAATGGTTGCTTCTTTCTGTGGACGATCGTTCGATGACTGCGAAACCGATGAAATCGCTCAACGCATTCGTCGTGCCACTGCTAACATCAATCTGGAAATCGAAACTCTCATGGAGTTCCTCAATCACAAAGGAGCTCTTTCATAAAAATTCCTTTCTCCCAGATACGCTTCACTCGATATTTCTTTTCTATATTTTTTCAGCTTCTTCATTTTTTCTTTCTGTAATCTTGTGATTCTTTCACCTTCTTCCCCCACACTCCTTTCTTGATTTTTTTGTAAACTGCCCGATCTCTAAAGTTTATTTATTCTTAAAGAGTCTCCTAAATATATAATGTAAATTCATTTATGTACCATTTGCAAGAAAAAGTCATCTGGAATGAATGATAATAAAAATAATTTATTTTAATAATATCTTGAGCACATTGAAGTCACATTGAGTCAACTATGAAAACTGTCTGAAAATAAATCGGTACACTTTGTTTAATGATCTGATCATTTTAGTGCATTTGTACTAGTTATATTTTTGGGTGAAAACTTTTTGACACTTTACGCGGCGAAACTGTTTGAGAACCCAAAAAACTCAGAGCAAATAGAATAGCGGCAGTATAAAATGAAACTTTTCGGTAGGTTCAAACAAGAATCTACTCATTCTTCTAACAATTACCACTTTAAAAATGGACGCCAAATTGTGAGTTTCCCTTTCAGAAGTTTTTCCTATCATGAATTTATTTTCAGCCTTCTCTGTGTGGTGGCCCTCGTCATGTGCTCGATCGTTCAAGAGGCTAGTGCTCAATACTACGGATACGGATATGCCTCTTCTTATTATCCATCTTACTATGGAGGATATGGATCATACAATGGATACTACGGTGGATATGGATATGGATCTGCTTATGCTGGATACTACGGAAAGAGAGAAGCTGGATTTGGACCATCTCAACCAACGAACTGATTAATCTTTGTAAACTCTGAAACGACCTAAATAAACACGTCTGCAATTTTTCATTTATCTAAAATTCAGCATATTCTGAAATTCAGAAGTTCCAGAAATTCGAAAACACTGGGACATTTAGAAGTTTGAGAATTCCTGAGAATAAAGGTATTCCAGAAATTCCTGAACCTAATAACTGTTTGAAATTCAATGTCCGGTTAATGTATTAAAAATAGCCCCCGAGACAATTAACGGTAAGCCAAACTTTAAATTTTGCGATCAACTTTTTTTATTTGAGGATGCGGTGCACTTTCATAAACATCTACATATAACTTTTCCTATTTCTTCTGTTCATCAGAAACTTTTGAAAAGATACGGGATGTTTGTTTCATTGGTCAGCTAATTGGTTCATCTTCATGTTCATTCGTTATCGATTTTGTCGACGTCAGAATTCAGTGAATAGGTTCAGAAGTACCTGACGTAACATTTCAATGTTTGGTCGCTTTCTTATCACATCGATGAAAACACGGACAATCCAATATACTCGTTTATTTAGTTTATAATTTTTACATTTATACATTCGGACATCTTCTTCGAAGAAATTGACCATAAAACAACCCGTTCAACTTCCTTCTTCTTCATCTTTTCATCAGTACCTTCTTATCAATTTCATCGGGATTCCATGGGATGGCTTTGCTACAACCTGAACCGGATTTCTTTTCTGATTTGATATTCTTTATGCTTTGTGTTCTAATATCACTTACCTCGAACAAAGGTTTCGTTTCATAAAATCCAAGTTTTGGTTCCAAACGGAAATGTTTCAAAATATGAATCAGCATCACTTTCTCGTTAAGAATCGAGAATTTTTGACCAATACAGTTTCGGAGACCAGCCGAAAATGGAATGTAATCATAGGAATGTCTTTTTGCACATTCTTCCGGAAGAAATCTGTCAGGATCGAATTTTTCTGGTTTCTCGTAAATGTATGGATTGCAATGAAGAACTGTCGGGGAGATTGTGATGTTTCCTTCAGAAGGTATCGTTATCCCATCTGGAAAACACATGTTATCGTTGAGAGACATTCCTGTCAATCGTATTCATCAATCAAAACCACATATCTCGATGACAACAATTAAGAATTTTTTAAAGGAGAAAGGAGTACTGTATATGAACTGAAAAACATAAATTCATCTTATGGTTCGCCGTATCTTTCCAAAAGCAGGAATTCCACTTCGTCACAACACAGTTCGTGCTGATCTTTCCATCTTCCTTTTCCTTCGGAAGTGTTGTGACCTACAGTAACCCACACTCCCAATTGAATGATTGACGTTGTTTAGCAAACAGATCAATCAGAAACAAATCAGTGTTATTTTCTTCTTCCTCACCTATCACAATATCCTTTGTTAACTTCCTCTGCACTCCTGGAACTGGTGCAAACATTCGTTTGGATTCCTTCATAACCCTTTCAGTATATTCCATTCGATTGATCTTCTCTGATGTGACATCTTCATTCGGATCTTCTCCGAAAACTGTCAGAATCTCTCTGTACACATTCTCTTGAACATCTGGATTATGCGCCAGATTCCAACACAACCAGGACAGAGAAGTGGATGTTGTATCGTGTCCAGCAAACAAGAATGTGTCGACTTCTTTTCTAATATCTTCAGAAGTCAGTTCATTGGATTCTTCGCTGCTCAATAAAATATCCAAAAAGTTCATTTTCCTTTTCGAAGTCTCTTTTTCAACTTCTCCGGAAGCAATAGCTGCTCTTCTTTCAACAATCGCATCGTTGGTGAACTTTTTCAATGTGAGCAAGAAGTCATCGTGCATTTTTTGATATCCGAGAGCCCAGTAAACGAATTTGTTCCAGAGAAAAGGGTTCAATGAGTATTCAACCTGAAAAACATTTTCCTAAATTATTTACTTCGATAAATACCGTAAAACATGGAATAGAAGGGTCCCCTTTGTCTATTTTCAGTTAAACTATCCCGGTTTCTATGAAAGATATCAAAAATATCAGAAATGTGCCAACTGATATCAGCAGACAACTTGTGTATATGTTTGACAGGAACCGAGAAAGATTGGGTCAATGTTAGGAGCCATTCTGTTACAGGTTTCCCGGTAATTGCTCACCGTTAGTTTATTGAATCCTTCGACAGCCTTCACGTATTCATGATTTTTTCCTAGTTGAGCTCCAAACTTGATTCCCATCGCAGTTCCACAAATGATGTCCAGTGTGCATCGTTTGAAAAATGGGAATAAATCTATCATTTCCTGAGTCTCCATCGCCTTTTCAATGCAGTCTATCAAAACCTGAAAAATAAGAAAATTCAAGAAAAACCTTCAGATTATCATGTAATTACTTTTGATTCCTGATTGAACACATCCAAATAACCTTCCAACTTTGCGAAATGGAATGCCGGTGTCAACATTTTCCTATGGTTCTTCCATTTTTCCCCTTGTGCCATCAACAATCCTCCACCAAGCCATGGAACCAGAAAAGAGTAGTCATCTCCTTTATTCATTTCAGTGGATGATTCGAGAATTGTCTGTAACTATCAACAAATGAAAAGTTTCAACCTTCAGAATTCTTTACCGCAGCCGTTTTACCATTGAGTGGCCACACATAAATCCTATTCATAACTTGAGTTCTCATCAAGTTTGCTCCTTTCGCTCTCGCCTCATTGGCCAAATTCACGAATATTTCCACAAAATCTGAAAAACAAAAACAATTCCGTCGAGCCGGATTCGAACCAGCGACCTAAGGATACCCACTGACTCTACAGTCCTCCGCTCTACCAACTGAGCTATCGACGGGACATTTCATCAAAGAGTCAATGTATGTGATAAGAGAACACAAACCTTCTGTTGTCTTATTTTTGAACAATGACGCATTTCCAAAGATTGGATGAGCTGGAGGACCGGGCATCTGCAAAGGAATAATATGATTATAGGACTACGGTACTTCTCACTATATGTCTTTCTGTGTTGTACCCCAAATAATTAACGATAATTTGCAAGTGTTATTTGTGTTCTGTGGCCGATTGCATGACTGGAATATGGATTTGGAAACTTGAAATTGGCATAACACACAAATGAGTCAACAGATCTTTGAGATTTTTCTAGAAGGATAATGTTGTCAAGGAGTTCTGTCTTACGGTAGAAATTTCGAAACCTAAAGGAGTAATAATTTGTTTATCGACTGGTAATTGGATGGGCTACAGTAGGAAACAAACTAGTTATTAGTTAATCACAAAGTCATGAGACTAACAAAAATAGTAAACTTTTAAGAAACAAATGATTTTTACTTCTGGATGTTACGAAACTTTATTGGTATTCCGATGGATCCATAGTTCTTAAAAATGGGCTTATTTTTTCATCCCCCTTAAAAGATATAAAAAAGGATACAACTAGCGTAAGCCCTGTATTAGAATGGGCCCTCACACTGCCAAGTCTGAGCTGATTTTTTCAAACTCCTAAGCAAGATATCATTAAAGTGTCAACTGGTAAAACTTTTCCGAAATTATGATTAACAATTTTTCAGTTGACGACTTTTTTATATCTTCCACAGGAACCGAAATAAATTGACTCAGACTTTTGAATCAGGGGACCCTTCTATTACAGGTTTCACGGTGCGCTATTCCCTTTATCTGGATATTACCTTTCCTCCATAGATCCAGAACTTTCTCATCAGTCGGACATGATCATAAAAGGATAGAATATAAACTAAGAATAGTAGAACAGCAACCGGAATGAGTATGGACATTGTTCTGAAAGTTCAAAATCAACAGTATTCTCAAAATCATTTTGGTAAAAAACATGAAAAAGAATGCAGAATGAAGTCAACAAGTCAATTAAGAACGACGCTGATTTGACTTATGAACTATTCCCAAATGATTTGGTTGATGGGCGTGTGGGTATTCTTCATCTCCTTCTTTCCTCTCTTCTCCCCCGATTTCCTCTTCCAACCATAAACTACGGGCCTGGTTTGAACTTCGAATGTTTTTGGAATTGCAACCGTACCCTCCGCCCACCTTTAAGAACTACATACGGACATTCTGTAGCAAAACAAGACATATTGTTCAATTGATATCTAGACAATTTTCCTATCAAATAATGATTTATCTTTGTGCAACTTGTATCTTCATTTAATTCACTTCTCTCAGGTTCATCTGCTTCTTTTACTCCTATCAGTTTTAATATGATAACGAGGAATCTCTTTCGATTGGGTCATACATCTGGAAGAAATTTAGACAGGTTGCTGTGTAGTGATCTCAATTCTTTGATCATCTCCCGATCGCCGACTTGCAATTTCTTTTTTATCAGTCGAGAGGACGAATGACATCAAGCGCAAAGGTTATGAAAAACTTCAGAGATGAAAATGTTTTTTTAGCGGGCTGAAGTGTGAATTTCGATAGATATCAATGATTTTTGTAGAAAGCCTGGTTCATGTTAAACATATTTTTGTTCAGAATTGAACGCAAACAAGGTTAAGTTCATGCTATTGGTCCACACTACCAACTTCTTTCCGTTTTCACTTTTTTTTTTAGATTTTGATTCAAAATTGGCAAAATTTGAGGTACAAAAAAAGATTCTGAATACCGTAAACCTGTAATAATTTTATAACATTGAGCAAATTTTTCTCGGTTCCCGTCAAAGGTATGAAAAAGTGTCAACTTTTAACTTATTCATCATAATATCAGACGTATTTTGTCAGTTGACATATTTTGATACCTTGCATAGGAATTGAGATAATTGAGCTCAAACTTGACAGAGTTACGCCATTTTGTTGCAAGTTTTAAGGAATTTCAATTTGTAGAAATATTTCAAACTTTCAAAACAAACGGACAACTTTAGCATTTCATAGACCTCTATTATTCTGGTACAAAAAATTGGAGCTGTGGAAGAGAAATGCTAGTGACAAGCTATCGTAACCTAATAATATTTTATTTTTCAGGATCAATTTTCTCGTTTTTTTCACTATTTTTTGTCCAATTTTTTCCAAACAAGTCGGAAAATAAACATTTTTGATACTAAAAAGATAAAGCGCAAAATAAAAAAATAATTCCGGAAAATTTTCCAGGTTACGATAGTTGTAGGTGTGGAACCTTCGACCACGGCCACCGGCGTTTTTCTTCCGCAGCTTTCCGCAGATTTTTTTTTCTTTCCGCAGATTTTTGTTCCAGAATAATAGCTTTGTATTGTCCAGAAAACCTGTGATGATTTTTTTCAAATCCTTCATAGTCTATAGTTGTTTTTATTCCCCACGTTTTTTTTGCCAGAAAATGCTTCTAGTTTTTTGTAGTAGTTGTGACTAGACATTAATTTCTCAAACTTCCTCGTTATAATTATTTCTATCCGTTTCTCACCTAATATGATACCTTTTCTGCCTTATGTCAACACTTTTTGTCTGTGTTTCTATCATAATTATATTTTCACTCTAAAGATTTTTCGTTGACTTTTAAAAATCAGCGGTCTTACTGTTATTCGGCACAAGAACAATGTTATGACTTTATCATTTTGTGATTGATCAATAAATTGTGATCGTCCTCTGATCTATTTTTTTCTTCTCGCACTTTCAAGGTTGATTGTCGGATAGTTGATACTGCATTTGAAATATATGAAAAACAACTGAGAAAAAACTAATCAAGGTTTGCACCCTCTGCACTTTTCCAATTGATATATTAGTCTGGTCAAACGACCAGATCCTCCATTTCCGCTTTTTGGGGTTGGTGATTTGTGTTTGTTCTGTGATTTCTAAACTTTTAAATTGGACGAACTTGCAAGGTGTGAACAGGAACACTTATCATATGGTCAGTTAGTGTTTTATTGGTTACCAGTTTTTATAATATACAATAATGGACAAAAGAAAACAAATAAAACCATAATCTAAACCCGTCTTATCAATTTAACTGGAATCCCATTTGATGGTTTAGAGACACTTTCGAAGCATGGAAGAGTTTCGTGGAATTTGGCCATTGGTTCAATTTTGAAGTTTCGAACCAAATGTGAAACCATAACCTTCTCATTCAAAACTGAGAATTTTTGGCCAATGCAATTCTTGATTCCAGCTGAAAATGGAACGAAATCATATGGATGTCTCTTGGCACATTCTTCCGGAAGAAAACGATCTGGATCGAAGACTTCTGGATTCTTCCAGACGTCGTGGTTGTTGTGAAGGATTACAGGAGCAATGGAAACACTTGATCCCGGTGGAATTATATATCCACCTGAAATATTTTGAAATTTTTAATTAAAGGAGGTCAGACACCAAAAAAAAAAGTTTTCCTGATATTTTGCATAGAGAACCGCCATGAGGGTTTGAACTCATGACAGGCAGCTCAGGGGTACAGCGCCGCTACCGGCTGAGCTACGGGGGCGCGAAGGCCCTTACGACCGATGGTCTACATAAGCGCGGCGCGATTTCGTCCCCCGAACTGCCCCCGAAATTTTTGCTGTCTCGCCTCCTTTAATTATTTTTGCACCACAACTTACTAATTTCCATTTCTTTTTGAAGTTTTCTATCCACTAATGCAACTGGAGCAATCAATCGTTTTGATTCTTTGAGTACTCGATCCAGGTAATGCAATTGATTGGCTTGTTCATAAGAAATATCTCCATTTGGATCCTCTCCACACACTTCTGCCAATTCTTCACAAACTTTTTGTTGTACTTCTGGATTATGAGCCAGATTCCAGCATGTCCAAGAACAGGAAGTAGTCGTTGTGTCATGTCCTCCGAACATAAATGTATCCACTTCTTGTCTTAAATCTTCCTCACTTAGAACATTCGACTCTTTCATACTCAGCATCAAATCCAAGAAGTTCATACTTCTTTTCGATGTGAATTTCTCAGCTTCTCCAGATTCCAGTGCAGCTTTTCTTTCGGCAATAATCTAAAAATTGATTTTTCCGATTATTCACATTTCACGAGGGAGCTTACATCGCCAGTAAACTTTTTGAGAGAGTACAAAAGATCGTTTTGTCGCTTCTTGTGACCAAGAATCCAGAATAAGAAGGGGTTCCACATGATTGGATTGTAGGCGTATTCTAGCTGAAATCGAATAATAGTTAATTTTCATTTCATATTTTCAGACTCACCATCATTGTGGAGTATCCATCAACTGCTTTCAGATAGGAATTGTCGTGATTAAATTGAGCGCCGACTTTTGTACCCATTGCAGTTTCACAAATGATATCCAAAGTGCATCGGTTTATGAATGGATGCAAATCCACTTGTTCTCCAGAGTCCGAAAACTTTTCTAGACATTCGACAAGGATCTGAAAAAAAACACCAACGTTTAGGGCTACAGTAAAACTTTTCATAAAAAGGCCCATACTGTGAAGTTTGAGATCAATTATATTAATTTCTATGAAAGATATCAGAAATATGTCAACTGATGAAATGTTGTTGACATTATTGAAAACAGTTTATCAGTTGGCAGATTTGTGATATCTCTTATAGAAATTAAGACAATTGAGCTCAAAGTGAATGTATTGGGTGCCTTTTTATTAGAGTGTTTACGGTATTTTGATTCCCACCTTTGATTCCTGATTGAAAACATCAAAGTATCCTTCCAGCTTTGCAAAATGGAACGATGGAGTTATGAGTTTTCGATGAGATTTCCAGCGTTCTCCAACTCTGAAACTCATCAATCAGGCCCCGTTTTTGATTCGAAAAACTTACGAAACCAGTAGACCTCCTCCAATCCATGGCTCAAAGAAATCGTAATCCTCACCTTTTTCAATTTCGGTTGTAGACTCCAAAATTTTCGATACAGTTTTTCCAGTCAACGGGAAGACTAGTAGCTTTCCAGGCATAATGTATCGCATCACTGAATGACCTTGTTCTCGGAATTTTTTCGCTTCTTCTTGGAACATTTCGATAAGACCTGAAATTTATTTTTTAGAATACTGAATCTAGCATGTTAAATTACCAGTATTGGATTTCTGGAACATTGAAAGGTTTCCCGTTAGCCAGTTTCCTTTAGGCCCCGGAATTTGGGATCCATAATAGTTGACTTTTTGAATTTTCTGATACTTTTGGAACAGCCAGAATAGAATCAAAACAAGAAAAGACACAAAAACAGGTACCAGTAGGGCCATTGTTGGCTGTTAGTCGGTAACCGATGTCTGTCATGTTAGTTTTTATATACCATTTCACTGATTTGTTTGGAAAAAGTGGTCAAGTGATCAAACGGCAGACTCTACCCAAAACCGTACACTACAAAAAATGTGTTGTGTGTATTTAGGTGTTTGAGTTGGTTCTCGATTTTTAACATGAGTTTTGAGAAACTTCACAGAAGAAAATAGTCCGATATTCAAGATGACATCAAAATTGTCAATATATGAAATCTGTTCAAATCCATATGAGTTTTTTTTTTAATTTCCCACTGATTTTGAATGCGAAAGCTTTTTAGTTTCAACCAAGACCCATCTGGTGCTTCTCTTGAATCATTCTTCTCTTTAAAACTTATGAAAAGTATCAATAACCGAACATGTTTCTCATTTTTCTCTCTCAAAATGAAATTTTGCTGCTGATTCATCTCTCTCTCGATACAAACTACGGAAAGGAGAATCGCTATCAATGTAAATAGTTTTAGTGGTCGAGGCGGGACATGGTTGATTGGTTGACCTATGTTTGAACAAGACGAAAAAGAGAAAAGTGATTATCTCATATTTGATGACAATGTTAACTTTAAATTTACGAAGTTATGAATCCAGGGCAATCAAAAGTTAAATCAAATCCAAATTAATTCAAATTCCATGAATCCAGAATGCAAACACCTAATGAGCTGGAATCCTCTAGTTTATGCGTTTCTAGACTAAAATTTCGATATTGAGATTATTTTTAGCTTCCAAATAAAAATCACTCAAAAATTTAAACCCTAAAAATCCCAACTTTGCGGATTACTGCAGCTCCAAAAGAACTTAAATACCGAGTGGAACATTAATTTTTCATATGAGGTGCATTTTTACATTACATAACTTCCAAAATAAGATTTTTTTAATTTAAAATTATCATTTCAGAATGTCTCTGAAACCCCAAAACCGCTTCTTTTTTGGGTTACGATAGATCCTACAGCCCGCATACACCGAATAAGCCCAAAAATTATTGTCTTTCTAGATCGAACGTTCGATTTTGAGCTCATTTCTAGAGTAAAAAATGCTCAATATTCGGTTTTCAAAGCCAAATTTTAACATATTCGGGTCAGTTTTATATTTAGAGAGTAACAGTAAGCCAAAAAATGTATATATTATTGTTCAACATTTAAAAAATAAAGAGAGTTTCTTTGGAATCATTGCAATTTTCAAATACTTGGTATCACAATCTTCTTGTCAACTTCACTGGAATTCCTTTTGATGGCCTACTCACAACTTCAAAACACGGTCTCGTCCCATCGAGTTCGAGCATTGGTTCAATTTTGAAATTTCTCACGAGATGAGAAATCAAAACTTTTTCATTTAAAACTGAAAACTTTTGACCGATACAGTTTTTGACTCCTGCAGAAAACGGAATGTAATCATAAGCGTGTCGTTTAGCACATTCTTCTGGGAGGAATCGATTTGGATCAAATACTTCCGGATTCTTGAAAACTTCGGGATTACTGTGAAGAACCAATGGAGCAATTGCAATGTTTGTTCCAGCTGGAATTTTGTGACCATCTGAAGACTCATGTTTTCAACATTCCGCAATTTTAATATTGAATCTTACCAATCACCATTGGTTCCTGTAAATGTCTTTGAACAGCTGCGACTGGAGGGAAAAATCTCTTGGATTCTTTCATAACCAATTCCAAATAGTAAAGCTTGTTGGCCTGTTCGTATGTGATTTCTTCATTCGGATATTCTCCACAATTGCTGACAATCTCCTCATGAACTTTCTGTTGGATATCCTGATGATGTGCCAAGCTCCAAACCATCCACGAACAAGATGTAGTCGTTGTGTCGTGGCCTCCAAACATAAAAGTGTCGACTTCATTTCTCAATTCTTCTTCTGTCAATCCATTGGACTCTTTTGTGCTCAGCATTAGATCCAAAAAGTTCATGTTTCGCTTAGAAACTGAAGCTCCGGTTTGGCCTTCTAACTCTCGAGCTTGTTTTCTTTCAGCAATAACCTGAAATCCGAATTATCATTCTTAAAAATTTCAAAACCCTATCAACATACGTCGGCTGTGAACTTTTTCAACGTTTTCAAATAATCCATCTGTTGTCTCTTGTATCCGAGTGCCCAAAACAAGAATGGATTCCACAGCAATGGCCGAGTACTTGTTTTCATCTGGAAAGCCGTTTTGGTATAAAATTAGATTAGTTTCTATCAAACCATCAATTCAACGTATCCTTTGACTGCTTTCAGATAGGGATGGTCGTGATTGAATTGAGCATCTACTTTGGTTCCCATTCCAGCTTCACAAATGATATCAAGAAGACATCTGTTGATGTATGGGAAGATGTCGACAGTTTCTCCAGAATCCGCAAACTTTTCTAGCAATTCCGTTAGAATCTGGAATAGCGGAGACATTAATTAAACTCATAATTGCAGATGCGCCATTCATTTTTACATTTTTACTGAGAATTAATGCTGCAAACCTTAGATTCCGAATTGAAAACGTTGAAGTATCCTTCAAGCTTGGCGAAATGAAAAGTCGGTGTGATCAGCTTTCGATGAAATTTCCAGGTGTCGCCCACTCTGAAACAATTTTAAAAATATTTGAATCCCCCATTTTCCCGAAAACTAACAATAAGAGAAGTCCTCCTATCCAAGGTTTGAACATCTCATAATCGGATCCCTTGTGAATTTCAGTGGTTGAGTCAAGGACTTGAGAAACCGCTTTTCCGTTCAATGGCCAGACAATCAACTTTCCAGGCAACAAGTATCTTACAATACTGTCTCCTCGTTCACGAGCTTTTCTCGCTTCTTCTTTGAAAACGAGCCCCATCTCTGGAAATATGAAAAATAGTTGACACATTTACAATTTTCTCTTACTATCACTGGTCTTGTTTTTCAATATATTTGCGTTACCCATAATGCGTTCAAGTGGTGGTCCAGGTAACTTTGATCCATAATGATTTAGTCGAAAATAGTTTCGAATCTGTTTATAGAACGAGAGAATGTAGATGACCACAAGGGCAATGAATACTGGTACTATTAAAGCCATGCTCGCTTTTGGAGAGAAGTTGCTGTTTAAGCACCATTGAGGATTCTATTTATATTCGATCCATAGACCCGCCTTAACATCTGTTACAGATGGTGGTTGGTCTAGCACAATGGCTAGAGTTTACCCTGCTTATTTCATAATCGCGAGGGTGATCTATCGCGACCTAGTATTGAAGAGATTCTCATGAGATAATGTTCCGTAATTTTCACCAATTATAACCATCTGAAATTCAAATTATGTTAATTTGCATTGCAAACACAAAATTGGAAAATCTATACTTTTCTGAAGGCAGACTTGGATTACTGTAGAATTTTCGTATAGAATTTCTTTAGGCACACCAACTTTATGATTTTATAGTTTTTTTACAGTATTTCACAATTCCAGAAAAATACACAAGCGAGTTGTACTGAACAATATAATTGTCCTCCGATCACATCACAAATAGGCTAGAGTCTACCCAATGCCACACGATCTCTAGAGAAACTCAAACAAAAATTGTACCAGTTTTAGAGAATCACCTGTTCCTTTAGTTATAACGTTTTCTCGAGTCATGTAGCTAGCGGGTGTGGTACCATTCAAACATACACGGAAACACTCTAATAGAAGGGCCCTCTAACTTTCAAATTTAAGCCGATTTACTTTAAATTCCTGTGAAAAATACCAAAAAGTTGTAAACTAACAAAATATTTTGGGCATTATAATAAACAATTCATCTGTTAACTACTTGTTGATATCTTCTAGAGGAAATGAGATATATCGGCTCAAAGTTGATGGTTTGTCGGCGTTCTATTAAAGTGGTATCTAATATTCAAATTCATTCTCTCAGAAGTCTAGAAGGAACCATAATGACTTTCAACTTTTAAATAAAAATTCCAAACGTCTTCACTGGAAACACGGAAGCAACGTCTTCCTCTTTGCAATTATTACAATCAGAAGACGGACAAAGAAGCTGCGAGAACGCAGCCCCTTCTGATGGGTAATTCAAGGTTAGATTGTATTGACCTTTAAGGGTATAAAAATACACGAATGTGTGGAAGAAGGCACATTATCTCAAAGATGTCAAAGACTTTGGTTACAATCGCCAGCATCGGCAGCGGAGTTGCTGTTCTCGCTTGCCTCTTCACTGTTGGATACATCTTCAACGACATCAACTCCTTCTATGATGACGTCATTGACACCATGACTGAGTTCAAAGTAAGTTCTGGAACTGAACCTTCGATTGTAATTTTTCGGTTGCAGTTCAATGAGCAACAAGCATGGAACTCCATGATGAAGCCAACTGACGTCTTCGGAAGAATCAAGCGTGGAATCAACAAGAGAAATGCCCAATGCAACTGTGGAGCTCAATCCAATGAATGCCCAGCTGGACCACCAGGACCACCAGGACAGCCAGGAGCTCAAGGAGATGCAGGACATCCAGGAGAGGCTGGAAAGCCAGGAGCCAACGGAGTTACCATTGGACTCACTGGAGGAAACGGACCATGCATCACTTGCCCAGCCGGAGCACCAGGACCAGCCGGAGCTCCAGGAGCACCAGGACCACAAGGATCATCTGGAGCACCAGGGCAAGACGCTGTTGGAGGAGGACCAGGACCAGCCGGACCACAAGGACCAGCCGGAGATGCCGGAGCACCAGGACAACCAGGAGCCCCAGGACAGCCAGGAAACGCCGGACGTGGAGGACAACGCAGCCGTGGAACACCAGGACCAGCTGGAGCTCCAGGACCACAAGGACCAGCCGGAGGACCAGGACAACCGGGACAATCTGGAGGAGCCGGAGCCCCAGGATCAGCTGGAGCCCCAGGACCAGATGGACAACCAGGACAGCCAGGACAAGACGGACATCCAGGAGCTCCAGGAAACGATGGGCAACCAGGTGGTGATGCTGCTTACTGCCCATGCCCAGCTCGTTCCAATGTTGTCAGACACCGCAAGGTTATGGCTCACAGACGTCACGCCAAGATTGTTGCCTAAATTGAGATTCTCTTTTTCTTTTTCCAATAAAACCTTTTTTGTCTTAAAATCTTTCTACGTCACATAAAATGGCAGATTATCAGCGACTTTCAGAACAATTTTCACGCAACAGCCATCTGATGCTTTGTAGATTTGATTTTAAAACACAACCTGGTTTTTTTTTCACAAGTCATCAAACATGTGGCAGGCTCAACTGCATTTCTATCAGCACTTCAAGTATAAATCATGATACTTCTCAAGCTTTTGAAACAAGCCATCTCTATTTATATCGTTTTGGTGTCATTATTCTTCTCGTTTAGCACTGGGAATACCAATACATGTGAAGGTGATAATGTGAAAGATTTGAAAACGGACTGCACTATCATTACAAAGAAACCATTGATTATTGATAAACAGGTCACTGGTAGGTCTGGTAGACCTCGGAGACTCTCATGAATACCGTTTCAGAAAGAAAGCTAGAATCAAAACTGAAACATATCGAGAAGATTGAAGCTGGACTAGTTATTGCAGGAACTAGTATTTCTAACATAAGTTTTCCCAGTATCAAAGAGATTCGAAACAATGCAGGACCAGCAATTTATTTTGATGGGAACTCACATCTTGGGCATTTTCATACACCCAATTTGGAACAACTGTCTGGAAAACCGGTATGTTTATTGGAAATTGAACCTAACGCTGGTGGATGTTTTTAGAATGCACTACACTTTCGCAACGATCAATTTATCAAATCTGTTCTCAATGGGAAGGATGAGAAATCGTTAGTTTCTTGATCAAAGGCACGGCGAGGCTGGCGGATAACGGCTAAACGCCGGCTGAGAAGGTGCGGACGGGCCGTTGACGGCTTGTCAACGAACCGTTCGTTCACTGTTGACCGAGTCACATTTTTTGAGCAAAAATTGGCTAGACATCAATCTGTCAACAGCTAAAAATATTTCGAAAAAAATTATAAACTCTTGTTTTATCTCGATAGAAAAGAACAGCTACCGTATCTCCTTCAAAGAATGTGACCATTTACTTGCACTTTGACATAAATTATCTTGGTTTCTGTAGAAGATATCGGTAATCTTTGAGCTACAAAAATAACCATGTATAAATAGTATTGCAACTGATAAGGAATGGACCGTTCCTCGCTCGTTTTCCGCAAGTCTCGTTTTCCGCCAGTCTCGCCTTGCCTGTGATAATCACTGTCCTAATTCATGATTTTCAGATTCATGGATTTTCAGTTCATGAGAAACAAAAGTAACTACACCTCGTGCGACGATAATTTCTACACTGTCAAAGACTCGGATGACGTTACTGACAGTGAACGAGGGTTCTTCGATAAGCTATTTGTCACTATCGTTTTGCTTGTGCTTCTGGCCCTTATCATTTCCTGCTTGATATTATTCTGTTTTTGTGTTTCGAAACAGAGGAAGCTAAGACTGAGAATGCGGTGGTTCAAACGGAAACAAATGAAGAAAGAAGAAAGTAGTGAAGAGACAAAGAGTAACTAGTCCAAGCCATTGAACAAAATTGGGAAAAGAAGTGAAGCGGAGATATATTAGGTTGAACCGAAAGTTTCTTTCTTTTTCGACAACATTTTTGATCAATTTTTTCTCGAAGCAGAGGGGGCTAGATCAATGAAAGTAGCGTCCATGAGCATTGACAATTGTCTGGCAACGCTCCAATAATTTCTTGATTCCATCGGCCTAGAACGACGAGAGCTGCTATTGAAAAAGTGGGCCAACTCCATTTTGGAGTCATTTTTTCAAGTGAAGTATTTTTATTAGGATGACGTTTAAGAATTCCAAATGACCATTCATTCAAAAGGACATGAGCCGGAAAATACGATGAGTGCTAAGTAATAGTTGAGCCAAACGATATGAATTTTTGGCTGGTCCCTCTAGTCACGGGTGATCTCGCATTGTCGCGCAGGAAGCGAACTTTGGTTTTTCTCCTCGTTTTGATTCGACTCTCAAGTTAAATTTTTCTAATTAGGAATTATACAAAGCGGCAGCTATAGTGGTACTTTCATATAAAAGTTCCTACTTTCCATTTCCTTGAAAAATCACCAACTTCATAGCATCCCTCTTTTCACGTAAAATTTAGGTTTCGGGATGCCCATAGCTAGCTATTCTTTGTCAATCAACTGACCCTTCCGCACGTTGATAGATTAACTTACCCACTTATCATCTATAGTAATTAGATCCCCCACCCAACTGAACGTGCGAGGAAATGATAGGAGACACAGGCTCTTGTACACATGGAAAACCATATCGTAGTCCTTCAAAGAATAGGGTACGAATCGACTGAGTTCTTGAAGTTGCCAAGATACTTCAGTCCGTTTACATAACTTGGTTGACTAACGGATAATGCCTTTGACGTTTTACGAGTGGTTTGAAATGGATGCGACATCCCGACTTTTAGCAATTGATCGAGATCCAGCTCACTGGGCCGTTGGCATTTGTCAACCGGATCTCCCCTGTGCGAAATTTTTTGAACAAAAGGCAAATTTTAGGCGATGGCCGAACATGTCCCTTATATACATTCACTAATTGCTTGTAAATACCGGACATTTAAAGACCAAATAAAAAAAATATAATCATGTCTGGTTTGTGGAGTCGGGTAAGGTCCAAAAGAATCGGCATTTCTCCAACACGAAGTGAGATAAAAATTTAAAAATATGCGATCTAATAGACACTAAACACAGCTCTCTAACAAAAGAAAAGTTCGGTCTGGTACACCATTTAGAAAACCAGAGATTTAGCCTTCAAAACAACACTGCGAAATAGAAAGAAACTTTCGGTTCAACCTAATACGAACCACTAACGCAGACTTCAAACCAGTCGAGACAATCTACAGTATCCAGAACTTCAATGTCAGGAACTCCTGGCAAATCCCCGATTTCTAATATACCATCCAAAAGTGATCATATTTTAACTCTCTCGTTTTCTTTTCCTGTCTTTCCTGTCAATGAAAAATGAATAAAATGGATGAAATACTAAAGTCTTTATTGAAAATCTTAATTCGATGGCTCTCGTCAATTCTAAGCGGAGACCTTGGCGTGACGTCTGCGGAAGACCTTGCGGTGCTTGCGGACAGCGCTGGCACGAGCTGGGCATGGGCAGTAGGCGGCATCTCCTCCTGGGGCTCCTGGATTTCCTGGTGCTCCTGGGGTTCCTGGAGCTCCGGCGTTTCCTGGATGTCCGGCTGGTCCTGGGGATCCAGCTGGTCCTGGGGCTCCGGCTCCTCCAGATTGTCCTGGTTGTCCTGGTCCTCCGGCTGGTCCTTGTGGTCCTGGAGCTCCAGCTGGTCCTGGTGTTCCACGGCTGCGTTGTCCTCCACGTCCGGCGTTTCCTGGCTGTCCTGGAGCTCCTGGTTGTCCTGGTGCTCCGGCATCTCCTGCTGGTCCTTGTGGTCCGGCTGGTCCTGGTCCTCCTCCAACAGCGTCTTGTCCTGGGGCTCCAGATGGTCCTTGTGGTCCTGGTGCTCCTGGAGCTCCGGCTGGTCCTGGTGCTCCAGCTGGGCAAGTGATGCATGGTCCATTTCCTCCAGTGAGTCCGATGGTAACTCCGTTGGCTCCTGGCTTTCCAGCCTCTCCTGGATGTCCAGCGTCTCCTTGAGCTCCTGGTTGTCCTGGTGGTCCTGGTGGCCCAGCTGGGCATCCGTTGGATTGAGCTCCACAGTTGCATTGAGCATTTCTCTTGTTGATTCCACGCTTGATTCTTCCGAAGACGTCAGTTGGCTTCATCATGGAGTTCCATGCTTGTTGCTCATTGAACTGAAATGGATGATGTTAAAATCTAGAATTCTCCAGTTTCAGAACTTACCTTGAACTCAGTCATGGTGTCAATAACGTCATCATAGAAGGAGTTGATGTCGTTGAAGATGTATCCAACAGTGAAGAGACAAGCGAGAACAGCAACTCCGCTGCCGATGCTGGCGATTGTAACCAAAGTCTTAACCATTGCTGACGAAGAGAGGTGTATTTTTCATTCCAACCCGATTCCTTTTATACTAGTATCTTTTGCACAAGGACACCTCTATCCGTTATTTTTCAGAAAATCTCTTTTCACTACTCGTAGTAACTCAGGTAATTCAGACAGTACACATTCCAGAAGAGACACCCGACAAACTGACCATTTTCAGTTCCGCTTTACTGCAGGTGGTCATCAAACGAAATGGAAACAACAGGTAAAATCAAGAGACGCAGACATTTTGATTTTCCTTTTTTTTCTATCTCCCACCCTACTCGACCTTCAAGATTATCGGTTTGGGGAGGAAGTAGTAAATAAGTAGTAAGATTCCACCCTTCTTCTATTTTTCTGTCTTCTTCTTCCGCATTTGCGGTTTTGATGCCATTGGCTGATAGATCAGAAGAGTGTAAATGTGTTTAAATTCATTATACAGTTTTGTTGAAAATGAAAGAAGAAAACGTTATCATCGGGGAGAATGTAGAAGATATGAGATTTAAAGATTCAGATGAGGTTCTTCGAAGATTGAAAATTACCGGGGATTTTTTTGAGATCGAGAATTATTCCGAATACAGTAACAATAAAAAATAATTTAGAAGTTTCAAAGAGTTGGCATCCATCCTGGGAACATTTCACACAGCTTCTCATCGCTCGTAGCCAGGTCAATGAGGGAGGAAGCAAGTTGTGAAACTTGCATTGGATATGTTATAGCTCGACTTTTATGCAATTTGACGGTCATGATTTGTCCACGAATGCGTCCCGAGACCAGTCGTTTCGCTTCTGTCATGTCAAAGTCTTTCTGAAAATTTTCCCGATTTAAATATGCTCCTTTTTTTCTAAACACTTACCGGTGCCAATTTGTTATTCGCAAAGTCGGCGACCAGGTTGGGCAAATCAGAAATATACTTTTCAATTTCGTATGAATTTTCGCGGAATACTCGCAATGTCTGCTCGCAAACCGCTCGGAACTCTCCATCCAACGCCACTTCACCCATTCCATTGATCATATTCTGGGTCAAACGGAACGGTACAAGTTCAGGAGTTCCAAGCGTTTCTCCCTTGTTGAATATCATGTCGAAATCCACGTGGATGCATTTTCCGGTTTGCAAATGGATCATCAGATTCTTAGTGTGACGATCACCAAGCCCAAAGATGTATCCAATAATTGACATGACAGCAGTCGATTTGGCAAACGTCTTTCTGCTAGCAAACCATTTTCCAGCCTCCGGATACTGTAGACGGAACCATTTGGCCATGACGACTGGTGTCTGTTTACAGGCAACGTCTCGGAAGTATTCAGCTCTGGCTTCCTTTGATTTGAGCTTACTCATTTCGTCCTTCCATTTTTTGAGTTTCCCACTCCAATCGTTTTTCAGTTGCATAACACTTTCCAGTGTGTCAAAATACGGGGTAACGCCTTCAATGAATTCAATGATTCCTCCTTGTTTCGCGAGTGGGATAACTGAGAATGTGGTAGCTGCCATGTTTTGGATTTTGGTTTGCTCATCTTTCATCAGAAGATCATTGCACATCTCGACAATTTTATTGAAGTGATAATCTTTTGTGAGATCGTCCGTCTTCTTACAAATCAGTCGAACTTTTCGTCCGGTCATTGTCGTCAGCTCGATGAGAACTGGTTTTGTGTTGGAGTGAAGAACCTGGAACCAGTTTTAAAAACATGTACATGAAGACTTTTTTCTTGTTACCTTGACTTGTTCGCTAAAATTATGAATTAGATATCTATCTGGAAGATGACAAGACTCCTCGAAACTGAGATCACTGATATCCGTCGCATGGACGGATTCATCAATGACAGAACGAATCGGTATCATAATTCCGTTCAGAACTTTGCAATCTCCATCTAATCGTCGATTCATTTCCAGTTCCTTTGGATCGTACTTCTTATCACGGAATAGAATTTTGAGACCTTCAACCTTCTCCGACAATTTGCAGTCGTTAGAATCGATTTTCGTGGAAATCAGATTGAATATTCCAGATGCATAATCATACTGATCGATGATAGTGACATAACATGGTGATTTTCTTTTCACTTCAGCCAGCACCTCCATGTATTTATCCTTGATATCAGCAATATTCTGTCGAAGAAGGTACACAGATTGCCACATGCATTGGTGTGGCATTCGGAGAATCAACTGTTTCATTATGTGCTTAATCATTCGAGCAACTTCATCATCCTTATGATCGATATGTCGAGCGAGTACTGCGTATGCGGGATAGAATGCTCGCCATCCGATGTTATCTAGGGATAGCTGCATTTCACGATTCGTTGATTTGATAGTTTGCTTCAACTCATTAATCTGTCCGTCTGGCATTTTTGTTGTTGCGATGGCATCATTCTGAAAGAATAAAATTGTATATTTCTGAAGTCAAATTCTAATGAGAAACTCACAATTTTTCGAGAATTGGCCAACCACAAAGACGTCATTCTCTCAACAGCTCTCGCTTGTAAAACTTGGTTCTTCTCGTACTTGGCAACTTCTCGATAGGCCTTCAATAATGCAAGAATTGGCTTACTGCGTTCGTTGTAATTGGACAGATAATCCATGAACCAAACAGCTTCATACATGACACCAGAACGAGCGAACAGCTCGATAAGCTGCTTGGTTTCGTCGAAAAGTTTCTCGAACCCAACTGTATTACCAGATTTGATCATATGCGAGATACGGAGCATTTGAACTGACGAGAACAGATTTTTCGTCTCCACTGGGAACAATTCAATCCTGAGCTTTGCTGATTTTTGAACATCGAGATTAACCGACTGTTGAGTGTGACTGTATGTTGCCTGAATTTCTCCAAAATTCTTTGCGATTATACTGTCCAATAAGCTCATTCCGTTGAGCTCATCCGAGGTTTGAAGTCGAAGTTTTGCTTCTTCCAAAACGATTTTATTCTCAAATGGTAACACTTTTTTCGCATTAATGATTGAGAGTTGCGCGCGTTCTAGACATCCAGCGAGTCGAGCGAGTCGAGCACTTTGAAGATGAGAATCTACAATTCTCGAGCGGACATTGTCTTTTTCTTTGTCACCCATCGATTGCATTCGAATATCCAACAATGATCTTCGAACTCGTAGAATCGGTTCCAGTACACTAATAGACTGTTCTCCATCGTTCGTTCTCCTGTTCAAATTTTTCCAAAATTCTGAATCGAACCCAATCAAGTCTTCTTTCCGCGCGTTTTTCAGTTCAACAATCTCGTCTAGCTTCTGAAGTTCAGTTACGAATGGAACCGACGTTTCATAACTGCATAATCCACCAAGGGCACATTCGGATAGTCGATCCACAATTTTCGATTTAGCGTTCTGAATCGCTTCATCAATTACTTCTTCTCGTTCTTCATTTCGGATCATCGAGAGAATCACAGATTCTGTGGACCGATTTTCGATAGTTCGGGAGAACACATGTGGCGATGGACCAATCTGGAAACGACATGGTAATATATCATAACAGTATGATCAGTACATCATCATCAATGGAAACCCATTGTGTTAACGTCTTCAAAGACTTTACGTATTCGTCTTGTTCTTTCTTTTCGATTGGACAATACTCCAACGAATTCTGTTCTTCAATCAGTTTCCGTATCATTTCTTCTGCCTGAAATTTCATTCAAAAAAGATCTCATCGTCAAAAAAAACCAACATTGAAACGTCTTCCTTTTCCAGTCATTTCAGCAAACGATGCGGCCGAATGTAGCTCGCCAAACGCTTCTCGTATACAAATTTTTCCGTAAACATGGTCGATTTGTGTCTTGCTCAACATCGCATACGCTCCTCTTACTCCATTCAACTCATGGATTCTCGCATATAAATTCATCAGAGTGAAATAGTAAGCACTTTCGACTCCCGCTGCTCGATTCTCGATGGTTGCACACTCTTGACTTTCGGCTGCCTTCTTTTTGAGATCTATCTTTTTCAAGTCCATGAACATTTCCAGCCAGAGAATGCATCGTTTCTCCATTCCGAATGATTCCGCTACTCTCACAATCAATGGTTGATTATGTCCATGATCATCTTTCGTCGTCCATGAAATCATACTTTTCCAGAATGTTATCACTTTTTCGCGCATCTCTTTCTGACGAAGAACTTCTTCAGAATTGTTGTAGATGTACAAAAAATCAAAGACGTAGAAAATGAATGAAGCAGGTCCTCGGTCGGATTTGGTGAGTTTTCGTTGAGTTGCATTCATCAGTGCATCTTCGAAAGTTGTCAGAATCTGAAAAATTCGTCTCGAATGATCAGTCTTGCTATATATTCTATTGTGTATATATATTCTTACCCATTGTGCTACTGAATCTCGCTCCATTTGCAAGACAGTAAGAATAAATCGCATTGCAATTTTCGATAGGAAATTGGTGTCGTCAATATGTGAGATAGAAATCAGACTAGCTAACGGTGCATCTTCGGCCATCTCAGCGCACTTGAGAATCAGAACAGTAAGCCATCGAGCGAAAGACTCAGTTTTCGATTCATTGTTACTGCTCAACTCATCTATTGTTTTCTGCTCAATCATCACTGGCTCTGGTTTGTGAGAGCTCATCTTGGAGTACATATTCACGATTCCATCTATTTCCAGCTTCATTCTGAAAATAACATTTCAACTTTTTATTTCATTCATAGCGAAAGACCTACTCTTCCGAGGCAGTATTTTGATTGAAGAACCGATAGATTTCACACATCGTACGATCCGCGTAATCGATTTTCGAAGTTTCTGACATATTCATAACCACTTCAGCACACTCTTCCAGAACTGCTTGGGTCAGTTGTCTTGGTTCAGAAAAGAGCTTGAAACTGGGATCCCATCGGATAAAATCATGATCGGCCAGTTCCGAATATGTGATTGGAGTCTTTTGAAGTATAGAAATGAGTTGATTCCGTTGTTTAGTCGTTTGACACATCGGAAGAATACCAGCGAGAGCACATAGCTGAAATCAGATGTTCTTAGTGAAGCAACATGTAAATCAACAATTACCAGTTTCGGAAGATCATTCTTGCAAACAGTTCCTCGATCAATTTTACTAGAAAGATTGTCGATAAATTGAAGAGAAGGATATCTGGGAAACATTTTAATGAAGTCGAAAACATCTTCAATTCGTCTAGATGTTGCTATGGACATATTCAGGAAATTCTTTTCCACCTCAACTGGTATAATCCAGAAAAGTTTGGTCATGTCTTCTCTAAAAGAATCGAAGAAATTGAATTTAAAAAATCGTATCGAATCTCACCTGACACTACCTAGACGGTTCCACAAATGCTCTATGATGTCTTCATTGCTGGAAACTCTCGATACATATGCTAAGATCCTCCAGATGTGTGATAAAAGAGTTTCCAAATTGATTTCCTCGATGAAAATGACCCATGATTGTCTGGTGGCTGCTAGATGAAGCGGACTTTGGCGTAACGTCATCAGAATTGCCCACCAATTCGCATGGAAGAAATCTGATTTGAGATTCTGAAGAACGGTTCCGAAACTTTTTGCTGCTGTCTCTCTTAACAAAAAATGATCATCGTTGGTGAAATAGGAACGGAATGCGAAGATAAATTCGATTCCTTCGTTTCGAGTATCCATTGCAGTGGAAATCATGAATTTCTCCCCTTTTTTCATACTCTCATAGATTTTTTGGAGTTGGATAGTGATCAATGATCTCTCTCTATTACAGAATTGTTGCGGTGAAGTCAGAAGGAGATTCTCAAATATCTTCTTTCTGAATGAACTTGTCACGACTTTCAGGTCGTCTTCTTTGAAGTTGCAGTGATCAGCGCAGAATTTCCATAGTAGATCCTTTTTCTCGAACTCTTCAAGCGTCCAAAGCTGAACGATTTTGGGGAAAAACTCAGTGATCAGTGTCTTCTGCTGCTCCATCACAACCCGCATATCAGTTTGATTCCTCGGAGTACACGATGGAGATGGATTTACAATACTCAATTCTTGATTAATCAAATCTATCACTGAGCAGACTGATTTCGGATTGGTTCCACGTGTTCCGAACATCAGTGACCTGTAGAGAAGACTTGATCGAATATCACTGATGACAGACATCGCATTCGGGAATTTGAAGATGATGATTATTTGAGACACGAATAGTCTCGTAGTCTCTCGAATTTTGATTTCTTCGAAATTCTTCTCAGCTGCTTCATGAAAAAGTCGTTGAAGGAACGATCGAATAAAAATCGTGGAGTATCGTTTGAACATAGCTTGAAGTAGTTCTTCTTCCGATGTATCCGACAAGTTTCTGACAATTTTGAAAGCAAATTGATGAATGCGGTTAGACACCAAGTTCCAGTCATATTCGTTGTTCACAAAAACCGCATGAGAGAAGAGAGCAGCACATACGGTAGCCTTCAAGTCTTTCGAAAGTTTCGCTTTTGAAACATTATCCAGGAAGTCATTTAGTTTGTTCAGTGACACGTTTGCTGGATTCAAAAATCCTTGCATGAACAGTTTGACATATATATGTTGCTTTCTCTCGTTCGTTAGTGTGCTCTTCCAATGGACGAGCTCCCAGATACGGCTGAAAAATAGGCAAGGTTATCTGGATTACTATAAAAATAACTCACAAATAGGTGTCAGCATTCACAGAGAAAGCAAGGTCAATTGCTTTGATTACTGGATTGAATGCAGGAATCAACTTCTTTGAATCCACATGCAATAAAATAACTCGACAGGTTTGTAGAAGATCCTTGATTATATTATCAGAATAATGGTTTTTGTTGCTTATCATCCCACTTATCAAAACGGCCAACTGTTTTTCATCAATTTTCGCATTTTCCTTGCTATCCGGCTCAACAAATCGTTGTTGAATGCACTTCCGACATGGATTTTTTCCATTTGATGTCATGCAAATGAGCTTCTGGAGTGCCGTAAAAATTTCTGATAGTGTTTCCTGGTTGTACACGGTGTACTTCTCCGACAGTTTTTCTACCAAAACAGTTATAAATTCGCTGACGAACTGTTGATTGTCTCCGAGAAAGTGAAAAAGGGCAGGCAGACATTGAGCAATTTTGTCGGATTGAGATTTTGAGAAAACTGCGAGAGCCATTTCAGCGACTAAATTGATGTATTTTCCAGTCTTTTTCTCGATTTGCAGAGCACATTGAACAGCTGCCAATTTAGCCGACTCTGAATTATTTGCTTCGAGGACTGAAGCGAATCTTTGGAGATCGATTAGAGATTCTGGCAATCCGTTTCTCTGTCCTACAATTATTCGAAAAGCATCCCATTTGGTTCCGACTCGATCTCGAAAATCTCGTAAGCAAGGAATGAGGAGTAATGGAATAATCTGTTTCACTCTTTCATCGCTATTCCCCAGAAATGTGCAAGATCCCAGAATAGTTGCAAGTAGGTTCACAGTGTTTCGAGAAGATTCTCCTCCATTTTTCAATTTCATCCATAAAGTGTCCACTGGTGGAACGAATTGCTTGCAAAAGGACTGACAAATCGGATGCTGTACACTTAGAAGACATCGTAGAAGACTTGGCCAATGAGGATTATCGATTGAATTGTGCTTCTGAATTTCCACGACGAACCATTGGAAACTGTCGTTTTTTTGAATCTTCGCTAGCTTGAATAGTGATGCCACAATGTCCAGATAACACTGGAGACATTCGATGTTCGATGTTTGTACTGCTCGTTGGATTCGGACCTAAACAAAAAGTGATAAATTTAATTTTGGTTCTGTTATCTTACAATGCACAACTCTATAGGTGCTCCACAGATCTTCAATGGGATCTCATGAAGGTCTTGGTGTGCTGTTAGATCAACCAAAAAAAATGAAAAATAATCAAGAAGTCCGAAGTCGTCAAATGTTTCTTCTACAAAATTGATGTAGACATTTAACCATTCCAACGACATCGCTCGAAGATCTTTATGTACCAAAATCTTCTGATCATTTTGTTGAAAAAAGTTTTGAATTTCCTGGAAAATAGTTTTACTTTTACAGATTTTATGACTTGGTCTAATTTCAAACCTCAAAAATGGCTGTAAGCCCCTCTTCCACTTCATTTTTGAACACATGAATCGCATTGAACGTTGAAAACAATTCGTTGATGAAGTGCGCCTGTTCGAGAACTGAACTCCGTTTTCTTTTCATTTTCAGCATCACGAGAGCAGATCGGAGGCAATTCTCCATTATCCACACTTCTTCCGGAGTCCTCCTCACTTTCAAACGAGATAAACAGTGTGGCCAAAAATCGAGAAACACGTCTGAGTAGGTGAAGTTTTGAGATTCTTCTCCGAACACTGAAGCAAAAATATTCTGACTCAAATGAAGTTTGAAGAATCCGTCAGAGTTCGTTTCGATTCTCGCAACCGATTTTGCCGTGATGAGTCTGGGAAGCGATGTCGAGCATGATGGTTCTGGGTCACAATATTTGACTACTTCTAGCAAATTCGTTAACATTGTCTCGTATTCTTCTTCATGTAACTTGGTAGACGCTGACAGCAATATAGTCAGGATGTCCTGTAAAAATTGAATTCGAATGGTGTCATCAATGGTTAAACTATTTTATAAGGCCCACATCAAAACTTCGAGCCAGCTCTTGATCCTTATTGACGCATATCGCTGTAACAACTGATCGGAACAAATCAAAGGTTTCTTCTGGTGTCAGTCGATGTTTCTCTGTCACCAAACTCAACGAGTATGTTATGTACTCCAGAAACGTTCTGCAACAAAATTGCCAATTGAGTGTACTCCGCATATCTTTCACTCACAATTTCTCAATAAACGCATCTTCATCTAAACGATGATCGTCGGAGGATAAAAATGTCTCGTTTATGAGTGAATCGACACATTTCAGAAAGTCTTGAATTGTTTCTCTGAAAAAATAAATACTTCATCTCAAATAGTTCTCATTATTCGCATAATACCTCGGCTTTTCATTTGACACACATTTCCTCGCTCTTCCTATCAAATCTTGCAGTTTATTATTGATTTTCATTCAAATAACTGCAAATATATATGTTGAATTGGGAGAGAGGAAAGGAAGAAATTGACACAAAAAAGTTTTTGATTTTTCCGCGATTTTTTTTTGCAGTGGAGCGCGCATGACTCGCTGAAATTCCCTGCGCCGAGACCCCGCAAATTCCGGGGAAAAAAATCGGGGAAAGTGGGCGGAGTCGAGAAAAACCGTGCGGCAAAACCGTGCCAGGGTTGCAATTTAGGCTCCGCCCCCCCCCCTCATGACCGTGTCCAAATGTGCCGAAAAACCGTGCGGCAAAACCGTGCCAGGGTTGCATTTTAGGCTCCGCCCCCGACTCCGCCCACTTTTCCCCGGTTTTTTTCCCCGGAATTTGCGGGGTCTCCCCTGCGCCAAACGGTAGTCCTTAAAAATAGTTATCCTGAAGAAAAGCAGAAAGATTCGATCTAGAAAACTATAGTAAAAATAATCACTTTTATCGCTATTGAAATAATTAAAGAAATATTTGACATGCTTTAAAATCAAGAAATATGGATTTGACTAAATTATTTGAGAGATTAGGAGATCAGAGAAATTCGTAAATGGAAAATATTTGACATTTATTGTCATGTTCTTCTGTGTTTTCTGATTGAATCGATGGCATCTGTAGGACGGCAGGCTTGAACTTGTTGCTTGGAGCCGGCGCTGTCAGTTTGACGAAATTATACTTAGCTGCAGGTGTTGCGGACTTCTTTTCAGCCTTCGCTTTCATTCTACGTTCCGCCCATTCTGACAATTCATCATCTTCTTTTTTGACTGTCGAACGAAAAGTTATTTGCGCTGACGGCTTCTGAAGTTGGAAAATAGGTAAGGAAAATAGTGAGAATTTGTTGTAATTGTACCTGTGGTGTCATCATCATACTTGACATCGAAATCTCCAACGACGGTTCCGGATCAGCTTTCTTCGGCTTTACAAAGAAAGACGGACGAGTGGCGTTGGTAATGGGTTGAAGGGGAGCTCGTAATTGCGGGTTCTCGGGTTCAGAATTAGCTGCAGAGGATCGAAGTTTTCTTTCCAAACATTCAACATCAAATTTCAATTGCTCAATCTTCACTTGGTGCGTGTCTACTTCTTGTTGAAGTCCTCGAATCGTCGTAACGTGGTGTTCATTCTTCTTCATCAATTCGTCATATCCTTCAGACATATTCTCTATTGAGCATTTGAAAGCACCAAAATGGCCCACAATCAACGCGCCCAACTCTTTCTTGGAAATCGATCTCATTTTGATGAAAATTTTCTCCCAAAAATGGGATTTTTCCGTTTCAAGTTGACGAACTCTCTTGTTTAGTCTGTTGAGCTCTTGAACGTCGATATGATTGATGGCGTTCCGAACGACGAGGCCGCGATTCATGTGAGAGCGAGCACGTTCCTCAGCTTCCTCTTTCTCCATTGTGAGGCGTTTGACCATGCTCATCAGCGACTGCTTTTCTCTGTATAACGTTTTCAGATCTTCTTCGAGTTGTCTTTCAGCGTCCATTGCCTATAAAATTAGTTGTAATCATTCAAATGTGCAAGACTTACCTCTGCAAAAATGGAGTTTCCAGCAGTAGCAAATTTGCCTGTACTCGAATTTCGGAGATCAAAAAGCTCTCCTTCGAGCCTCGTAATCTCTTCCTCTTTCGTTCTGCTGTGACTTTCGAGACTCTTCACATGTTCAACCGCACTTTCATAATTTTCTCTTAATGTTACAGCGTCCTTTTTTAGTTCTAAATTCTCCTCTCCGAGAGCGCTCGCTAATTCTTTGAGTTTCTCGCATTCTTCACTGATACGAAGTATTTGAGATTCATCGAACAAATTGGATTCATCACTATCAACGCAGACAGATCGGTTTATGAGTTCTCGATTCTGAATTTTGAGAGAGCAAATAAAAATCGAAACAAAACTTCGGACTCACCGTTTTCTCGAGTTTATCAATTTCAACTTTGAGAGAAGAAATGAGCTCAGTTTGTTCATGAATAGTAGCATCTTTCCCGTCCATTTCGAATTGAAGATCTCGCATTTGCCCTGCTAATTCTTTTTCACGAGCCTCAGCCTTTCCATTGGAGACAGGTTGCTTTCCGTAGCTGTTGAGCTCATTCTCCATCTCTTCAATCATTTCATCTTTCTGGCGAATGGCTCTTTTGAAACGTTCAACGTCCTGAACAACGAAAAATTATTTTTTCATTTCATTCAGCAAATCTTACTGCTCGTAGCTGTAGTTTTTCTTCGTCGTCGGGCATTATCAGTTTTTGATTGTAGCTATGTCAACTCAGACAATAATCGGCGCTTAAAATAGCTGAAAACCAACAAATCAATCTCAGAAAACGTGGAAAGTGTTTGAAAATTGCTGAAAAGTAACGATTCCCGCCGAAAAGTTGTAGTCCGATAGGGCGCTCTTTGATTGCTGTGACGTCATCGCGGAGACCCCCCAAATTCCGGAGAAAAAATTTCCGGGGAAAAAAAACTCCGGAGAAAACTGGGCGGAGCCTAAATTGCAACCATGGCACGGTTTTGCCGCATGGTTTTTCTCATGACCGCATCCAAATGTGCTAAAAAACCGTGCGGCAAAACCGTGCCAGGGTTGCAATTTAGGCTCCGCCCCCGACTCCGCCCACTTTTCTCCGGAGTTTTTTTTTCCCGGAAAATTTTTCTCCGGAATTTGCGGGGTCTCTCATCGCGAGAACAATTTCGCACTTTAGGCTTTTCTTTGCTATGAAAAGTGTTGAAAATATGTCACGAGTTTTAGAAATTCATTCGGTGTTTTGTTTTGAAATCATATACATGCATGCGGTGTTGCGGATTCAGTCATTGTGGACTACTGAGATTACTGTAGAAAATTCGAAGTCATTTCAGAAGAACTTTGACATTCAGAATCAAATGGAATTAATTAAGTTTCAAGGAACGGAGTATGGTCATGGCCATATACCACACATACCCAACAAGTAAATTGTCAGAGAAATCAGATACACAACCTACGGTGGACTATGTACATGATCATATTTATACATTCAAAAAAGCATACTTTTCCAGACCGAAGGAATGCTGGTTTTAGAAAAAGATCTAAATTCTATCAAATTTCAAAAATACTTTTTTTTCGTTTTTAATCTGAATATTTATAAACTTCACTGTATTTTTGACCATTAGGATTACTGTAGAAAGCTCATTATCAACCCTGGAACAGTTATAAATCTGTGCTAGAACGAATGTTATTATTCTGGTACAAAAAATCGGAGTTGTGTTAGAGAAACACCAACGGCAGTGGCCGAAGGCTCTTAAGGTCCCACAACGACAACTACAGTAAGCTAAAAGTTTTTTATTTTCTCAATTTTTGTGCGATTACCGTCAAATGATTCACTATCAAAACTGTGTATTTTTCGACTTGTTTGGGGAAAAGTTACAGAACACTCGACGAAAATCAGTGAAAAAAAATCAAGTTACGGTAGTTGTGGGACCTTCTCTCCCACAACTCCAATTTTTGGTATTAGAACAATACTGAAATTTCGGTAATTCAGGATTACTGTAGAAATCTCATCACCAGAGAAACCCTGGAACAGTTGTAGTTTTGTGCTAGAACGAATGCTATCTATCTATCACACCATTAACTTTATACTCATTAAAAAAGTGCATATTAGATTTTCTTCAGTCAATCAGCCTGCCCTCACATTCTCAATTACTATTTGCACATCTCTCCCATCATCCGATAGAACATTTCCGCGTCTTCCGCGGCATTTCTCCACTTGCAAACACAATCAACTTCTTTTTCTCGCCGTTTGTTTGTGTCCATTACGCGAGTTTGGCGTCGACGGCTGGTGGCTGCCGTTCTATTGCGCACGCATGAAAAAAAGGTTTTTTTTGAATAGGGGTGCGATCCGCACAAAGTTGCTCCCGCGAGAGAGCTCCTCATTGCTCACCCCACCCCGTCAAACGTTTTTTTTGACGTTAAAGAAACAACGTCGACTGGTTTTGATCTCTCCGCCTCTTGATGTATTTAAAGATGGCGAAGACATCGGGAAAGACAGCACACCTTTCGAACGGTTTCAGCACTCCCAACAATCATCATGAACACCTCGGTCTTTGCGTAAGTTTCTTTCTTCTTTCCGATTCTTCTTCTTTCTTCCCTTCTTGAACTCTTCCTTTTCTAGCCTTCTCTTCGCCGGACTTGCCCTTTCATCTGCCCAAGTGGCTGTTAATGGACCATTCATGGGAAGATACTACGTGGCTGCTAAGCCAGTGTTGGCTCCTGGAGTAGCTCCAGTTGCTGCCCCAGTGGTTGCCGCTGCCCCACCAGTCCTTGCTGCCCCAGCTCCAGTACTCGCTGCCGCTCCAGCCTTCGCTGCTCCAGCCCCACTCCTCGCTCCACCAGCTCCAGTCCTTGCTGCCCCAGCTCCACTTTTGGCTCCACCAGCACCAGTGATGGCTGCCCCAGCCCCACTCTTGGCTCCACCAGTCCCACCAGTCGCCCCAATCGTCCCAGCTTTCGCTCCACGACCAGTCTTCGCTGCTCCAGCCCCAGCTCCAATCGTTGCTGCTGCCCCAGCTTTTGCTCCAGCTCCAGTTGTCGCTCCAGCTCTTGCTCCAGCCTTTGCTCCAGCTCCAGTCCTTGCCCCAAGACCAGTCCTTGCTGCTCCAGCTGTCCCAGCTTTCGCTCCAGCTCTTCCAGCTTTGGCTCCAGCCGTTCCAGCTGCCATCCCAGCCTACGCTCCATTCGCCCGTTCTGCATTCCTCATCGGAGGAAACAAGGCCAAAAGCATCAAGGCTTAAGTTCGATTAGTTGTGCTCTAATTATTTGCGATCATTCGATTCGTTATTTTCTGTATATATCGATCGACACTCTTGCTCTTTCATTTATTTGCGATACCAATGGCAATAAATTTATTTCGACTTTAAAAAATGTGTATAATTAAATTTAAAGGTGGTGTACGGTGAAATTTTTTATTGCATCAAAATGTGCAGAAATGCATGTAGATTGACATAAAAATAAAGAAAACATTCAAAAAAAATTCCTTCATCGAGAAAAACGCATCGAAAAATACGCTGAAAGCCCTTAGGGACGAGGTTTTTTCTAGGCCGCCCGGTGAGTAAAAGCGCGCGAATTCAAACTTTTAAAATTTTTTCGCTCGTTTTCAATGTTTTTTCAAATTTTCCTATGTATCTGGAAGAAAAATTGACAAAAACCTCGAAAAATCTTGAAAAAACCGAAAAAAAGTGAAAATGAGCGAAAAAATTTTAAAAGTTTGAATTCGCGCGCTTTTACTCACCGGGCGGCCTAGAAAAAACCTCGTCCCTAAGGGCTTTCAGTGTATTTTTCGATGCGTTTTTCTCGATGAAGGAATTTTTTTTGAACTTTTCTTTATTTTTAAGTCAATCTACATGCATTTCTGCACATTTTGATGCAATAAAAAATTTCACCGTACACCACCTTTAAAAGAAACACAAATATTTTTATGGAGATCTAAATAAAGAAGAATACGAAAATCAGATCAGGAATCATCATTATTGTTCCGATTATTAGTGCTCGTTTTGGCTCTTCGTAGGAATTCCAAAGTTATAAATGACAGGATAGCTTTTCTATAAGGTCCAATGAATAGCAAAGTGAAGAATGAAGACAGAACAGGAACCATTGACATACAATATGCTGGTAGGAACTCTTGCCACTTCCTGAAATAATTATCATTTTGAACATCCCACCAATTCTCTTGTTACAACTCACAGACTATTCTCATAAACCGTTACAAGCACTGCATTGGCTCCAACTGGCGCCGAAAGCAACAGGGGAACAAAGGCTTCGGCGAACACCGAATGGACGAGTAGTTCGTTCTCAAGAAACGTGTCTTGCGACATTGTTCCCTGTTTTCGTTTGAGTGTGTTCAACATGAAATGAGCACAGATTAATAATATCAAATACGAGAGTAGATGACACACGACAAGGATTCCATGGAAGATTATGATTAGAGGATTTCGGCTGTAATCGTCTCCAAAAAGGGATAGATGGTGTTTTCCTTGATTCAACTCGTCTTGCGTCTGAATCACTCCACTGGATACGTTGGAAAGAGTGACAGAGTGTTGGGAGTTGATATCCAAATTTCGAAGATGTTGATTTAATAGTTGAGTCGAGTTTTCAAACTCTTCAACTATCGAAGTGGTCCGGTTGGCTCGATCCAACAGATCCTGAAAGCTGAATGTCATAACTTCTTCTAGAAATTATATTTTGGGTCCATCTAATTTAGGTATGATAGAACTCAACGAGTACTAAAAAATGCTATGATTTGAAAAATTGTATCTTGCCTATGAACGAAGTTACGAGCCAAAAATCAAAAACCCTGGCTTGTAACTATGGTTTGTAACTATGGCTTGTAACTTTGTTTATAGACAAGCTACATTTTTCCAAATACTACAAGTTTGTAGCACTCGTTAAGTTCGATCATATCTGATTTAGTTCAAAACAATCAAAACTCACTGCATATGGGATGCTTGAATAAAACAAAAACACGCTTTCAGTGCAACAGAGTACCAAGACAATGAGCAAAGTTATAAAAAGAGTATTTTTGGTGAAGTATTGTCCGAACATGTTGCTGAAACAATACATACTAATTTTGGGCGTAATTCTTTTTTTTCACCTATTAGCCAGAATCATAGATCTGTAGATGAAAAACAGTGGGAAGGATAGGATTGCATACAAATAAGAAATCACTGCCACACAAAATATTGCTTTCACCGAATTTTCCGGAAGATATTGGGATGGTCCATGGATCACTCGGATGGTCATAGATCCACGTGTAACCATTTGGGGTTGAAGAACGAGGATAGTCGAAGAGAAGACAATTCCAGATACCGCGATGTTAGAGAGAAAGTACCGTAGTTCCTAAATATTCTCAATATTTTGAAAAAAAAGTTCTGGAACTTTTTTACCCTGATGGTCTCTATACTTTTGTGAGCCGACAAAAATAGTAAAATGCTGTTGAGAAATATCGCAAATCCATTACAAATGTAGCAATACCAGGCGAAAAAAGAGAGCATCCCAACTAGGAATGTTGATAAAATGAGTGTCTTCTATGCTTTATTCCATGTCTAGTCTTATCCCCCATTTGCGTCACCACCAATCCTCTTTTTCGAAGATTTAGATTTTAAACTTTAAGATCTGAAAAATAGAAACAACACGATGGGAATCAGTATAATTAAATATTTATTATAGAGAGCAAGAGGTCGGTATATACAAACAAAAATCGGATGAGGAACACTTCTTTTCACTCGGACACCTTCTTGGCCTTGTTTCCTCCGATGAGGAAAGCAGACCGGGCGAATGGAGCGTAGGCTGGGACGAGTGGAGCAGCTGGGGCGAGAGCTGGAGCAAAAGCTGGGACAGCTGGAGCGAATGCTGGGAGAGCTGGAGCCAAAGCTGGAGCAGCAAGGACTGGTCTCGGGGCAAGGACTGGAGCTGGAGCAAAAGCTGGAGCAGCAGCAACAACTGGAGCTGGAGCAAAAGCTGGAGCGAAAGCTGGGGCAGCAGCAACGACTGGAGCTGGGGCGAGAGCTGGAGCAGCGAAGACTGGTCGTGGAGCGAAAGCTGGGACGATTGGGGCGACTGGTGGGACTGGTGGAGCCAAAAGTGGGGCTGGGGCAGCCATCACTGGTGCTGGTGGAGCCAAAAGTGGAGCTGGGGCAGCAAGGACTGGAGCTGGTGGAGCGAAGAGTGGAGCTGGAGCAGCGAAGGCTGGAGCGGCAGCGAGCACTGGAGCTGGTGGAGCCAAAAGTGGAGCTGGTGGAGCGAGAAGTGGAGCTGGGGCAGCCAAAACTGGTGGAGCTGCGAAGACTGGTGGAGCAGCGGCCACAACTGGTGCAGCGATTGGTGCAACTCCTGGAGCCAACACTGGCTTAGCTGCCACGTAGTATCGTCCCAAGAATGGTCCATTAATAGCAACTTGTGCAGAGGAGAGAGCCAACCCGGCGAAGAGAAGGCTAAAATAAGAAAAATGAATAAGAACACTTTAAAAAAGAGAAAATGGTTGAGACCTAAAACCAAGAATAGAAAAATGAAAACTTACGAGAGGACAGTGTTCATTGTGAGTCGAGTGGTGCTAGTGAAAAAGGATCGAATGATGATTTTGTGCTCATCATCGTTTCGCTTTTATAGTACCTCTATGACCGGTCGGCTCGGGTAATGAAAAGGAGGTGGAGGTTTTGCGTGAAGCGTGGCAAAAAGTTTTACCGGCGTACAGTGTGCCATCTCCGCCCACTTTTCCGGCGATAGAGTTTGTGCGTACTCGGGACGACGCAAAAGAGAAATGGCATTGGCTTTCTCAGGACAGAAAGTGTGCGCACAACCGAAAATGCGATTAGGAGAAAAGAGTTGGTATTGAGGAAACGATGTGAATTTTGAAAATGCTAAAATTTGGATTCGAGGTGTACTGTAAATGGTAATTATAGAATTGCTACATGTACTATCATATGTACTTTGGAAAAAATGATTCTAATGAATTGTGTACTTTCTCAAGTAGAATCGTGAATGACTCACAAAGTAAGTCGAAATTTGAGTTCCGAATTGTTACTAGTTTTTATGCATTTTTTCCGGAAGGTGGGTATATCTTTTTCATTGGATTTGGATTAAATACAAAAACGTTGTTATATTCATTCTGAAGAACTTCGAGCTGAAAACTACTTCAGGCAATGTAATCTACAGTAGAACCTGTAATAGAAAGGCATCCCAACCTTTAACTTTAAGGCATTTTTTCTCGGTTCCTGTCTAAGATATCGAAAAGTTGCCGACTGGTAAAGTGATTATCATGATATCAGAAGTGTTTTGTTAGTTAACACATCTTTGATATCTTGAATAGGAAATGAGATATACGAGCTCAAACTGGACAGTGTGGGGTCCCGTCTATTACAAATTTCACGAGATTACCGTTTGGGACTGCTGCGAATCTCTACGGTTTTGAGATTTTTCCTGAATGGAAAACAACTGGAAAAAAGTTTAATCACAAAAATGAAACTCTGTTTTCGTTTAGCACAGTCTGAAAATCTTGAATCAGATGAACCACCTAAACATGGTTTCTGGGTGATTTTGCACCTGGAGGAATATTTGTGAGGGATATTTGACTTTCTGGAAAATAGTTCGTAGGGTACAACAATTCGGTAGTACAAAATTTGAATTTTCAGTTATTTCGAATTGAGGATTTTCTACCTTATTAACCCTAAAATTCTGTACGGTCCGAATTATTTCCTCTTTTGGCAAGTGCTATCAAAATTCCAAATATTAAATAATTTTATTGAATCCTTTTTCTTGTTCTTCTGGCAAACCAGTGGGCCCCGGAGAGGAACCGTTAAACCTGTAATAGAAGCCCCCCCCCCCCACACTGTACAGTTCGAGCTCAAGTATCTCAATTCCTAGACAGTTGACAACGTTTTCAAATCTTTGACAGGAATCGAGAAAGTCTGGGTCAAAGTTAAAAGGAGGCTTTATATTTCAGTTTTTACGGTATAAAAACTTTTGTCAGAAGAAAACCTACAAGGCCTTCAAATTTGAAAAATCCCTCCGTAACACCATAATATCTTATCTCTTGTTATCTTTTTTTTCCAGTAAATTCCATATAAAATCCGAACCGGTCTCTTCTGTTTCTTTTTCGCCCTTGTTGCCAATGCGGCTACTGTTCAGGAACTCCTTTGTCCGTCACTTTTTCTTCTTCTTTTTTTCACTTCCCGCACTCATTTTTCCACACCTTGCGCTAACTATATGTTTTTGCATCATCACCATTTGCCACATGAGTGCTCCGGCAACTCGAAAGGAATCTTCATATTCCAAAAGTGGAAAAAGAGCAAAGTGTGCTCGTTTTTTAGGAATACTACTCCAAAGATCGTTCGATCGAGCATAGGATCATGAAATCGAGAGCAAACTACAAAACCAATAAAGCAACTTGATCAATCCACTCTATTTTCTGTGCAGACAAAGAAGGTGTAAAGTGCAAATACTCTAGTCTGAACCTATCAAAATCAGGGATCGGTAACCAGCCACCCAGCATCTTGATAAAACTTTTTTGTTTGCATTTATTCGATCTGATATCAGGAAAAGAAGACTTGATTTCTCTCCTGACGACTATCGGCACGTGGAAAATGGGGAAAGAAAAAAGTGTTCGGGAGGGGAAAGAAGTAGAGGAGAGAAATAAACAGAAGCGTGGGAACGGTGGCGGATGGAAAAAAGACAAATGTTTTTGTTTTGTTCTCGAGAGGTTTGCGCAAGGACAAAGAACAGGGAGGCAATCAGCTGTAAAGAGAAAATAAGAGAAAGAAACTTTAGAATTTATAAAAAAACATAATCAGATTCCTATTACCTAAAAGGGGAAATGGGGTCTTATGAGTTTCAAAATAAATGGCTGCAACTAGTTCATTGAAAATCTTCAAACGTCACCAACAACTTCTGATTGAAAGTTGGTCAGATTTCGGATAAGACCGATAATAAAGTCTGCTGATTTCCGATAAACTTATAGGAATATCTCAAAATTCAGCTTTGACCATGGTCCTCTATTCAGCCGTTTTGGGCGATTTCCGATCAAAGCCTTCCTACCAAAAATAACGAGCCAACAACCGAGTGTATTTGGGTTATGTTGTTTAAAATTTAAAATTCAACAACGGGCTCGAAATAGCATTACTACAGTAGCCCTTTCCAAAAGAAATAATATCTGAACGAAGCTTGCTATGACTCACCCCGGAGCGTTCTAACACAACAACTTATTCATTTTCCGGTAAATCGAGGAATACAATATGAGTTATGACACATCAACAAAGTCTACACACTAATTTTCGAAAATTCATCATCACACAGTCAACCTCCAAATCTAGTTGAATAGACTTCTGATTCTCTGATCCCAATGCACTCTCCGACCATTTGCACTCATTGAATAGTGTACCCCACAGTTTCAATTCCAATGTCATACAACACTTGCCCAGACACCAGGAAAAGTACTATTCAATTTCACGTACATGTCTTCACTTCCGTTTCAGGACAAGTAACCGGCTACACAACGGCCTTGCAACTTTGTCGTTTTTTTGCGAAGCGCCAATGAATAGGGCGGCCGAGCAATGCGCAGGCTCAACTGCCGCGTGCGTCAACGTTTTTGTCTTGTCGCGCCCAGTCATATATAAGGTGGAAGATGGAACGGAGAAGCCATCAAAGCGATCATCACTCGTCTTCATCTCATCATGCAAACCTTCTCGTAAGTTATCATTTTAATTCTTAAAAAATCATTCAAACCTTTTTCAGCGCTGTCCTCCTTGCTTTGGGTCTCTTCTCTGGAGCTTCCGCTCAATTGGCTGCCTGGCCATCCCAGAGCTATTCTCCATTCTACCAAGCTCTCTTCGGAGGAGCTAGCACCCCAGTCCTTTCTGCACCAGTAGCCAAGACAGCTCCATCAGCTATCCCACTCGCTGCTCCAGCTCTTCCAGTCCTTGCTGCTCCAGCTCCACTCCTCGCTCCACCAGCACCAGTGCTCGCCGCTCCAGCTCCAGTTCTTGCTGCTCCAGCTCCACTTTTGGCACCACCAGCTCCAGTCTTCGCTGCTCCAGCTCCAGTCCTTGCTCCAGCTGCCCCAGTGCTCCGTGGTCCAGCTTACGCCTACGCCCCATCCCCAGTCCTCGCCCCAGTTGGAGTTGCCCCAGTTGCCCCAGCTCCAGTGTTTGCTGCCCCAGCTCCAGTCTTCGCTGCTCCAGCTTTGGCTCCAGTTGCTCCAGTCCTTGCTGCACCAAGACTCGTTCCAGCATACGCACCATTCGCTCGTGCTGCCATGTTCATCGGATCCAACAAGGCCAAGACGTAAGTTTCTTCTTAACACAGATGCCTTCTGATCTGTCTTATTTTCAGCGCATAAGAAGGTTCAACATTTCTTCTTGCTCAAGAAGTCCACCACAACGACAAAAGTATTTTTCTGTATAAATCGAAACTTGCCTTTTTTCCACAGTGCCTGTACTATTTATTATTCCTCTTGTCTAATAAATTATGCACACTTATTCCATTGTTTTCTGATCTATTACCACAAACAAAAAGATGTTTGATCCGTAATGTCCGGTACAAGAAACCTGAAAAGTAGCGCCAATAATCACTTTTTGTAGTCGGGATGGAGGAAGGACGTGTGTTTAGCATGATCTTAAGTAGACGGTCAATTGTTTGTTCTATTTGAAAGACATGAAACAAACCTGGGTAAACAGAGGTCGAAAAAAGTATAAGAAAAAAACTGTCTAGTCTTATAATAAAAGATGACTAATGAGCAGGAGTTTTCAGGGGACATCGGTGCTCAGAAGAGCAAACTTTAGATGTGTTTTTGATAGGTGCGGGTTTTTAGAATAAGCCGTTCAAACTTCAAGTTGATGTGTTAATTTTTGTTGTAAAAATTCGAAATCCTGTTTTTGAGTCTAGTTTTAGGTTGTTTTAAATACGGAGTAATATTTGGAATAGAGAATTGAAACTTTAGGTGCAGTCGATATCATTGATTAACTTCAGAAGCTAATTTTTTGAATCTGATCCTTCTAAGGCACTAAATAATGTTAAGCAATTTTGACAACTCCAGAATTTAATAGGAAACATTTTCCATTTTTTTCAGATTTACATAACTTTATGTTGATTTTATGATATTTTTCATTTACAATCTTTTATTTTCAGAATATAAATTGCGTAAAACCTGTAATGAGCCCCCTAACATTTTGCTTTCAACCAATTTTTTTCGGTTTTTGTCCAAAATATCAAAAAGTGGTCAACTGACAAACTGTTCGTCATAATATCTCAAGTATTTTATTAGTTGACACTTTCTTAATATCTTTTATAGGGATAGAGATAATTGAGCTCAAAGTTAGCTTTTTGGGTGAGCTTCTATCGAAGGAACTACGATATTTTAGTATGTTTCCTTCACACTCATTTATTTTCAGAATGAAACTGGGATTGCAACTGTAAAAAAATTAAATACAATTTGGATAAATGTGCATAATTTATTAAACAGAAGGAATAATAAATAAAAAAGGCACAGTTGATAAAAATGAAAAGATAGGCAAGTGATCGAAATATACAGAAAAAGTGATAGGTCGTTGAGTTGGCTTCTTGAGCAAGAAGAAATGTTGAACCTTCTTATGCGCTGAAAAATTAGAAATTCAGAAGAATCGGATAATCTGAAACTTACGTCTTGGCCTTGTTGGATCCGATGAACATGGCAGCACGAGCGAATGGAGCGTATGCTGGAACGAGTCTTGGGGCAGCAAGGACTGGAGCAACTGGAGCCAAAGCTGGAGCAGCGAAGACTGGAGCTGGGGCAGCGAGAACTGGAGCACGGAGAACTGGGGCCACTGGAGCGAAGGCTGGAGCGAAAGCTGGAGCAATAGCTGGAGCTGCGAAGACTGGGCGTGGAGCAGCGAATACTGGAGCTGGGGCAGCAAGGACTGGAGCTGGAGCGGCAAGCACTGGTGCTGTTGGAGCGAAGGCTGGAGCAGCGGCAACTGGGACTGGAAGAGCTGGAGCAGCGAGTGGGATAGCGGATGGAGCTGTCTTGGCTACTGGTGCAGAAAGAACTGGGGTACTTGCTCCTCCGAAGAGAGCTTGGTAGAATGGAGAATAGCTTTGGGATGGCCAGGCAGCCAATTGGGCGGAAGCTCCAGAGAAGAGACCCAAAGCAAGGAGGACAGCACTGAAAACGTTTTCAGCGCATTTAAAGTTAAAAAAAGAAGTGGAAATGTCTGAAAACTTACGAGAAGGTTTGCATTTTGAGATGAGAGTGGAAGTAGTGGTGATCGTTTGATGGATGTACTTCGATGCCAGACAGTCTCTTTTATATGCTTCTCGGTGGCATTGTGCCATAAGCCATGCCCACCGGCGTACGTCGAAAGAAAAGAACGCATGTTAGTATGTGCATAAGGGCGCCCGTCGAGGATCGTTTTTCATTGATTTCGGTGTGAGAAGAGTGGCAGAAATATAGCACACAAAATGAGGAGAGATCTTGGAATGTGCTCGACTAATAAGGGATCATTATGGCTTATAGTGTTGCAATTATTAGAAAAATGAATGGCAGACTACGGGTGCATTCAGAAAATTATAAAGATCACAAGTCAGTTAGTTTGCAAATACCGTAAAATCGGTATAAATATGTTTTTTTTAACTTTGAGCCAATTTTTCTCGGTTCCTGTCAAAGGTATGAAAAAGTTGTCAACTGATAAAATGTTCATCATAATATCCGAGGTGTCTTGTCTGTCAGTTGACACATTTATTACATCTTTCACGGGAATTGAGATGATTGAGCTCAAACTTGATAGTATGGGGTCCATTCTAATATAGGCTTACGGTATGCAGGACTTGATAAAAATAAGGTTCAACTGCAAGTCAGTTAAGAAGTTTGAAAATCAGCAAGATCTTCAAGCTTCACAGAGTTCGATTTTTTATAAAGAGATTAAAAAAACAAATTTGTTATAGACTTGATGAATCTTGAAGTACGAAATTCAATTTCGAGAACGAATATAATCATTCAGTAATTCGAAAAAAAATTAGAAAACTATAACAGTGTTTCAGAATGATCAGAATAGAAAAAAATGAACTTGATGTCGTTTGAAATATCTGAACATGTTTCAAATAATGATTTTTTTTCAGTTTTTTTCTTCAGTAATTACCTTATTTCCTCTAAATCAAATTAAAAACGGGAACATGCTTCTTCAATTGTTATACCTTAAAACCTGGAAAAGAAAGGCCCCAATACTGTCACTTTCGAACTTTTTCTTGGCTCTTTGCAAGATATAAAAAGTATGTCAACTGGCAAATCACTTCTGATATTATGATGAACAATTTATCAGTTGAAAACTTTCTCATATCTTTGACAGGAAATGCGATAAATCGACTCAAAGGTAAAAATTAGGGGTCCTTCTATTACAGGTTTTACGGTATTTATAGAACTCCAGTTTTCCAGTGACAAAGATCCCTTCCCAGTATTTTTCCTCATCCAAGCCATTCCATTTCCGTTCAAACTACAACCACCCATCTCCTTATACGGCATGGTCTTTGCACTCTTTCCGTACCCAGAAGAAACCTGCTCTTTCCCTCCTCCGGGGCTCATTCACACTCTAATACAGTACAATACAATTCGATATATTGCGCAATATAAACAATTCAATTCAATCGACCGGTCTTACTTCTACCAGAAAAAATGCGTGAAAGTGCACCCGTAAACTGCAAACAGATAGCAGATATAACCGGTCGACTTCTGCATCACCCAAAAAGTAACTGACACCTCTGTTTCTCTTCCTCCTGTTTCTCTCTAATTCCTTTCTACTCTGATCTTTCCTCGCGGTAAGAAGAAGAAGAACGTCGCGCGGAATGAGAAAAAACTATGTGTGCATGCTTTTCCATTTTTTATACGCCTATTTACCCGCCGAGAGAACAGAAAAAATTATGGAAGCTGGGGGAGCGGCAGAGACTGATACCGTAATGGCATGAGGAAGTAGTTTGCGCAGTCAAAAGGTATATAAGAGATGAAATTCACCGAAAATTCATCAACTTTCCAGCTATCAATACTCCTCAAATCATCATGAAGTCTGTCGCGTAAGTTTTATTTTTCATTATTATTTTTCTGGATTTCAATTTAATATATCTTTATTTTTATCTTTTCAGTATCTTCTGTGCCTTGTTCGCTGTCTCTACCGCTCAATTGGCTGCCTGGCCATCAACCTCCTATTCTCCATTCTACCAGGCCTTGTTCGGTGGAGCCGCTGCTCCAGTCGTCGCTGCTGCTCCAGCATATGCTCCAGCTCCAGCTTATGCTCCAGCCCTCGGAGCCCCAGCATATGCCCCAGCTCTCGCTGCTCCAGCCTACGCTCCCGCTCTTGCTGCTCCAGCTTACGCCCCAGCTCCAGTCGTCGCTGCTGCCCCAGCTTATGCTCCAGCTCCAGTTGTTGCAGCTGCTCCAGCTTTGGCTCCAGCCTACGCTCCAGCTCCAGTTGCCTCTCCAATGATCGCTGCTGCGCCAGCTCTAGCTGCTGCTTCAGTCAACGGACTCCCAGTTGCTGCTGCTCCAGTTGCTGCCGCCGCTCCAGTCATGGCTGCTGCTCCAGCTTTCGCCCCAGCCGCCATCCCAGCAGCCGTTCCAGCTTACGCTCCATTCCAAACCGCCGCTTACTGGATCGGATCCAACAAGGCTAAGACCATCAAGGCATAAGATGCGAGACTTCTTCGAATCTCGAACCCACTTTTTATGTATATTTGCAAAAGTGAACTGCATAATGAATATTATGAATTAATTTTCTGTTTTGTTTTCTTTTTGAAAAAATTTCAAAGGACAAGATCCTTATTGGGTATACGGTTTCAGGGCATTTCTGCAAAACTCATTCACCGTATTCCCTCTAACAAAATTCCACCCAACCCGTCTACTTTGAGCTCAATTATCTCGATTCCCGGGAAAGATATCAAAATTTTGTAACTGACAAAACATTAGTGATATTATAAATTTTGAAATCTTTCACAAGAATCGAGATAATTGAGCTCAAAATTGACGGTATAGGTGAGATTCTATTTGAAGAAACACGGTTTGAAGATATTTGGTTAGAACCCCTGTCAGATGGAATCAATCAGATGATAGTTTCAATGAAAATACTTCGAAATGATTTATTGGATTTTCGTAGCATTATCTTAGTCTTAAAATGATAAAAAAAATTAATTTTAGAACCAAAGTCTTCCCATCATGCAAAATAAAATACCGTATTTCCCCTCATTGTCGGCCCATTTGAACTCACAACTTTAAGATCAATTATCTCGATTCCTGTAAAAAAAATTTTGTCTACTGATAAAAAGCTGGTGATGATTCAATAAAATTTATCAGTTGACATAAGGTTTTTATAGATAGAAGTCCAAAGGTTCTATGTCGAATCCAATAACTCTACCAGATAGATCAATATGCTGCTCTATTGTGAAAACTCGTATTACCACAGATTAGCCGCGTCATCTACCGGTCCTGTCAGAACTTGTAATCTTATTCTTTGTCCTAGGAAATACAATACCCATGAGTCATGACGAATATTCACGTTTTCACCTCCTACCGATGCGATTGTACACAAACAAACAGTAGTTCGGGGGTGTCATTGAAATATTTATTGTTCAGGAATGATGTTACAATACAATATTTACAGATAAATAAGTCAGATCATTTAAAAAAGAGGTTGGTCGTCAAAGCATTTGTCACGGCGGGTCTCTTATTCCGAAGACGGCTTCTTGTTACTTCCAATGAAGTAATTCGCATAAGTGAATGGATCTTTGGCTCCTGGACCAGCTGGGTCGGCGTTCGGGGCTCTTGGTGGTTGCAAGTATTCTCCGGCTCTTGGGGCTGGAACTCCAGATGATGTATAGACAGCCTTTGAGAAGACAGCTTGAGCCTCATCTCCGAATTGAACACGATTTCCACGGATTGGTGCAGGTCCCTCTTGGATTTGGTCAATCTCTTGACGAAGAACTTCTGGCTGATTGTAGGATGCCACTTGTTGTTGTGGTGGTGGTGGAGGTCCTTGTGGTCCCATCTGTTGCTGGAAAGATTGATCTTGAGGGTACTGCTGGGGTGGTC